TATAATAATAATAATAATATTATTTAATATTATTATTATTATTATTATTATTAATATTATTAATATTATTATTATTATTATAATTAATATTATTATTATTATTATATAATAATAATAATAATAATAATAATAATAATAATAATAATAACAAACATTATCACGGGCATAATGAGGGGCGCGGAAATATATTTGCCCTGGGCGCCGTCCTATCTAGTTACGCCACTGTCGCGAGCAGACGAGAATTTTTCGTCTGTTTCTTCGCGAGCAGACGAGAATTTTTCGTCTGTTTCTTCGTAGCAGACGATGCAGTTACAAGGTCTGCGGGGCTTTCACGTCCAAACACCACAGATGAGAAACGCCGTACTGGAGGGTTTCACAATTCTAGCTTCTCGAGTTAACTGTATATGCTTCCTAATGAGTTATCGCATGCCTCCCATATAAAGTAACCCTAGTGAGTTCTTTCAGGGTGGGAGGCCTACCTTGTGTTCTGACTGTTCACTCTTGAAGAGACAAAGGGGTGGGGTGGGGGGTTGCTTTTCTTTTAAACAGGCCATGTTTTCACTGCTTGGCAGAGCACTTCTGGAATTTCAATGCGCACACACAATGGTAAAACTGTTATGTAGCATATAACTTGGTCAAACGGGTCGTCGTTAAATGAGAATCTGTGTAATGTCGATAGGCCAAAAAGAGGGTAGGCGCTCTGCTCATCGTAGCACGTGTGTGTGCGTAGGTCGAAGATTTTCAGATTGTAATGTTCTCGCGAAATGTACGCATATCACCACGTGCGAAATCATCAAGGCAGGAAAGATTTGTGTTAGTAGTACCCGTTCCGTCGCGCTCACTGATAAAGGTGTATGTCTACGTTTGTCCACGCGACGAATTCTTGGTACATCGTCGTGGCCCGTGCATGGCCGTTGTACCGGCGTGTAACAATGTAAAGGCGTTCCAAAGAAACGAATTCCAAAGAAAAGTTCAACGCTCTGTGTCTCACTTTCTGTCCCCTCTTGTCGGTAGCGATGTTATGCACGCTCGATCACATAAACACAGACGCACAAGAAAACAAAGCATACCCCCACCCCGATTCCCCTCCCCAAATATAATCTACCGACTAGAAAAACCCTCCTTCGGAAAGCACAAATTGGCGCGATCATACAGCACCAGTGCCTTCTCAACACATTACCCGACACGACTCAGACCTCGTACGTACTAACACAATCGCGACCCTTGTAATAAGGGGCCGGCCTTCTTACAGCCAACCAAAATAAATGCGGCCTAATTGAGGGGTGAACGTTTCTGCGCAGGGCAGGTACGCCTTTTTTTCTTTCCGGGCGCATATCAGCCATATCATTCGTCCCTAAAGAATGAGAAAAATAAAAACGGTCGCCGCTTTTAACGGCCGACCCAGGTACGAATTGCGCGGGGGTATCACGTGACCACAGCACCCGGGGGAAAACCCCGGCCGTTCGCATCGTGCCAGCGCTCCGCACCGATCTTATCGATGTGTCTCTAAACCGATGCACGTGTCGCAAGTAACGGCTGTGTTTGTCGCGCGTGGGGGTTCAGTCAACTTGGCACTTTGCCAGTGATGTGCTAGTCTTGATGCGCACCATGGGGTATACCGGCGTCTAAAAGAGTCTTTTTCGTTCGTGTGTCTTCCTTTTGCCTTACTTTATTCGTGCCTCGCGCACCAATATACAAGACACAGTGCCGTCCCTTTCGGGAGGGGGAAGAGGACCTGTGAAGGTCTTGGAAAACCCGTGTTTTTACAATTTATTCTCAGTAAAACCTAGAATACGGATTTCGGATTTCTATGCGAATATCTGGGTGAGGGTGGGGGACTGCTTTTTTTCTTCTTGGCTACGGGTCTGACAAGACCTGCACCGTGCTCAACACGCTTGTCTGGAACGGAACTTACGCTGACGTCACTGAAACCGCCATGTTGGTGCACAAACATGGCGGAAGGCGAAGTCTGTCATGCGTCAATATTTCAGTTAATGGAGGCGAAAATACTCGAGGTCCATGTGCTTAGATTTAGGTACACGTTAAGGAACCCCGGGTGGTCGAAATTTCCGGAGCCCTCACCTACGGCGTCTCTGATAAGTGGGTTTGGGACGTTAAACCTCGATAGTTATCAGCACGTCGCGTGCAGGTTCTTCAGTTTTCACGCACAGAGACCACCAATGTTCAGACAGTGCACGTATCACTTTGAATCAAGTTAGCCGCCTCGAGATAACGCTGCACTGACGTCAGCAAGGTCGACATGTTTTTCGGCAGCAGTACGTTAACGTGCCACGTACGTTAGTGACGCCACGTTCAAGCTATTAGCATCTATTAGTATGTATACTTCACTGGCGACGTCTACCGACTACGCCTGCTTTGAGACAGTCCACATCCCATCATGCATCATTGGCGGCAGCGCATGCGTAGATTCGAGCTAACTTGAACCAATCATTACCGGTAGACCTCGTTCGTGCGGTCCTAGCTGCATGCGTTGCTCCAGCGTTCCAGACAAGCGTGTTGAGCTCCGTCACCTAGCTAATCAATGGTTTCTTGTAAATGTAGTAGTGAACAGTAAGTCGAATATTTTTGAAAACCGAGCTGGTCAAAATTTCCGTAGCTCGTCTACTACGGTGTCCTTCATAATCGTATCGCGGCCTCGAAAACGTTACCCCCTTCTTTCGCAAAAAAGAAAACGTAACTTGCGCGGAAGCTACAGTGAAGCGCCTTGAAAGTCTATACGCCAACAGCCGCACTTGTCTGCGCGCTCTATATGTGAAACCTTATTCGCGTGATATATAGAATAGCCGGGGTTTGCGCGTGGTGAATGCTCCCACTGTCGTTCTCATATCTGGCATATCATTACATCAAGTGCTGCGAAAAAAAAAAAATGGTTCTTCTTCGAATAGCACTGGTGGGGAAAACAACCCGCGTGCGCGTCTGAGAAGGCTCTTTTTGCGATTAAAAAAAAAAAAAAAACATCCGCAGCACGTCGTTCTCGACGCGATGGAAGCTGCCGAGAAAACGAAAGGAGGAAACAAAAATTTTTTTTTTTGCGAGGCACGTACGCACCTTAATAGACTTAGGCTTTTTCCACAACTTGACGGTAGAGCCGGAGAACACTTCAACCTCGTGAACGGTCAACGGTTGAAGAGGTAGCAAGGGACGCAACGGGCGTAGATTTCCGCACGGCTCACCCAACAGGTCCGTACTGATATTAGGGGTCCCCTCACCAACCTGAAAGTACCCAAGACGAGAGCCTTATTTCCTCTCGGCGTTTCTCGTCTCTTCCGGAGTACTTCGTGACGCAGGAACGGTCATTCGCGTGACGTAATTACGGTACGTACACTCTCGATTAGCCCACGTACGCGAAATGTCAGTTACGAATTGACTTCCGCACTGCACTGCCATGCGTCCGCTCACCCGGTCTTTCTTGTCTCGCGTGACTGTCGTGCTCAATCAACCGATTTCACTTCGTTTTGTATGTTTTCAACTGCGCAAGCGGAGATAACAACGCGCGGTTGACAAGCGTGAAATCTTGATAGGCTCCACGCTTAGTCACGGCATTGTACACGCGCAAAAAGTGGCCAGGAGGAGATATCGCCCGTAGGAAGCGTAGCGAAGGAGAGAAAGAAACCTTTCGCTAGTCTTTGAGCTAGGGGTGGTGAGGGGCGTAGGTGAAAAAGGGGGACACTGCAATGACTCCCACCCTCCCTCCTGAAGCGGAACCCTGCACAAGCCCACGGTAATGCACGCACATTCATTGAGCAAACCCTCAGATTAAAGAAAGCAAAAATAAATATCGAAAACGCGTGCTTGTTCAGCGCTGTGGTGTGTGTCCGACCCTTCTTGCCCTCGTCGGGACTGTGCGTAACGAAAATCGTCAGACAGCTTACCCCGTATTCACGAACGCTCCTCGACTCGACTTTCACCCTTCACTTGACAGAGTTGAGCACAGCGCCGCTGCTCGGCTGAAAATGACGCTGCGCTACTCAAAAATAGCGGCAAATTATTACTAATACGCAGTGACTTGCCCTGCCTAGAGATGGCGCTCCGATTGGCTTTTTTAAGTGAAGGTGGAGCGTTGAGTGAAGGGGCGTTCTAGAATACGGGAGTTAGAGCGAGGAAATAATTTTTTTCAGTGCCTGAAGCTTCGCCGAATGCGCATGCTCTGCTCGACGAGGACGCATTCGCGGCCTAGATACGGAGCGTGAACATCGCTTAAACTTGGAATTTCGCAAAGGTCAGCGCGCAACGAGTGATGCAAGTTAGGATCGCCATGACATCGCTGGCACGTTGAAATGGAAGCTGCGACCGGTCTGCGTGGAGCAAAATAATGTTGCCATTCTATTTAACCAGAAACGTCCCGTTGAACTTTCAGAAGTTAACTGACACTGTCGTGCCAACGTTTTCTGAATGATCGCTTAACTGTTTGCCTCGAAACAGAACTGTCGAAAAGGTTGTACAGCCGAATAGGCAGCCACTAATACAAGCACCAAGTTTAATGTAAAAATGAACTGTGTGTTCCAACGTGTCGCAGTAAACCTTCATTAATCATTTGAAAATTCAATTAGGAAAAGACGAAAAAAATTAAAAGAAACGCGCCGTATTTAAACGTGCTTTAACGCATTGTTGCCAGACACGCATTTTGAGGTGGCGGGAGACTTGAGACTGTACCTTTTCTTTACACCTTCACTTCACAAAGCTTACTCATCTTAGGTAACACGCCCCGCAAGAAAAAAAAGCTGCACATGTGTCTAGATCCCGTAATTCCAAGCGTGTTGTTTCGAATCCAAAGTTAATCGCACGTTAATCCAAAACAAGCGCGTTTGCGTCATCCTCACGGGATTACTTCGCCAGTGCGAGGTAACGAGAATCCCGCTGGAAACGTGCTACACGTCTCGCTCGAGCGCGCATACTTTGTTTGAAAGCACGTCGCTTAGAATTCAAAGCTAATCGGACTTTAATACTAACAAGACACTGCTTTTGTGTCACCGTTGCAGGAACCATGGGGACGACGTCGCGTCCCGGTTCCGTCTGGGCGTCGGCCGTCCTGATGCTGCTCATCGCCATCCTTGGCAGCCGTCCTTGCCACGGACAAGGAGACACCGAGGCTAGCCTGGTGCGATGCAACGACAGCTGTGCCTCCTGGCCCACCTCGGCCTACGGCGAGAACAACACCGGCGGCGGCAACTCGTCCGGCATGTGGTACCCGGACAACGTCTTCCACCGCTCCAACGTGTGCCGCTGCGACGACGAATGCGTCAAGTTCGGAGACTGCTGCCGCGACGCCCCGGCGCTGCTCAGGGCGACGTCCCGGGACGTCGTTGAGTGGGAGTGCGTGCGCGTTCGAAGCGACATGCAGGCGACTTGGGTGCGACGCGCCTGCAAGGACGACTGGAACGGACCCGACGATGTAAAGCTCCGGTGCGAGCGCGGCGCCGACGCCCGCATCACGGACCCGAACGGAATGGCTCCGGTGACGTCGCTCCGGACGAACGTGACCTACGCGAACGTCTTCTGCGCCGCCTGCAACGACGACCTGAACGATACGCGACGCTGGCAGGTGAGTCTCGAAGTACAGCAATTGTTGCAGTCGTCCATGAACAGTGTAAAGGGACACTAAAGGCACCTTTCAAGTCGACGCGTTGATTGTTGAAATGACAGTCCAGAAACATCGTAGTGTTATTTTTGTGCCAAGGAAGTGCTTATTTTGAAATAAAATTACGTTTTAGTGGTCGGCATTCGTTTAGCGCACTTCAAACTACCCGCATAAACGGAACGTCGCACGTCGCTGTTGCCGTGCACAACGTTGCCCGGCTTTACTGTGCGGCCGCCGAACCTAGTAGCAGCAGAACGAAAGCAGCGGGAGCTACAGCAGCAATTCAACAATTTTTTGCTATTCGGTCAGAGACGGCATATGCAGTGAAGGTTCTTTATTTAGTGTAGCTAGTTCAATTACTAGTAATTAATTGTTGGCGGTTTGTCTGACATCATCGGGATCATTTTGAGAAAGTCCTACTGCGGTGCATGCATTCTTGTGCATTTACCTTAATTTCTCAGTAAGTAGGGCACTCCTGTTACACCCATGTGGTCATGTAAGATATTTCAAATAAATAAATAATGTTGTTTTAGATGTCATACATTGAGCTTCCACTATGATGTAAATTGTTATTTGATTTTAGCTTCCCTTCAGGTAAAAATGATAGATCTTGCAAAAAATGACGTGTAGTGGACGTAGCGCTTTGCTGCTGATGATCTGCGTAGTCTAAGATCAATAAGACTTGCATAGTCAATACGACCACGTAGGAATAGAAACAAGCAACAAAGCGTGTTCTATGTCAACACTTAGCAACTTCAAATTAGCATCTCTATCAGTCTTCCCGACGTGCCTTTAGTCGGCTTTCCTTATCTACCCTGTTATTTTCAACTTAGTCTGTGTTTTAGAATAAAATTGGCTTTGTAACTACTTGCTGATGTTCTCCCTCCTGTGTTATTCACATCAAGTGGCAAAGGCATGACTAGAACAACTGGTCATGCTGCCACATCATTACAGCAATAAAAAGATGCGCGTCATCACTCATCAGTTTCTTTATTGAATTGAGCTATTGCAGTTTGCATTTTTACTAGAATTAGTAACTGCTCAATGACCTCAGCAATGTGCGTTGTCATTTAAACTAGAATGAAAGTTTACTGCATGTCCTGCAATTTTTGCAGGTGAACCTTGACTGCAAGGAGTTTTACGGCCTCATCAACATGACGGGTGACGACATCCGAAACAACATTGAACTCGATCCCACAAACTCCAGCTGGGGCGTGTGGTTCACTGCGCCGGGAGACTACCGGCGCTTCTTTGCCTGCGTCCTGGAGTACGCACCTCAGAACCTGTCCAGCACTTACACCTGCAACTCTTTCGTGTCGACATGTGATCCCAGCTGGGCCGGCACAGAGACTGAGAAGGAGTGCCACTCATACCAGTCGGTGATTAACGTGTACGGAATGAACTATCGCAACCCAGAGTGCATGGTCTGCAACAATGACACCGCTCCGCACCAAGTCTGTGGCTTTTACAGTGACACCAGCTTCGTTAGCCCTCGAGGATTCAGTTTCAGCATCCTCATGGACGTCAGCCCATCTGCTGGCAACATTGTCGGCAAGAAGAGCCTCTGCAAGAAAGGCGAGCTCTACGACCCATTCTACAAAGTCTGCCGGAACATTCTGTGTGGTGTGCCAGGCTACGTCCTTGAGGGTGACAGGTGTGTCCAGGGCGAGGACGAGAATGATATCGAGCCCAGGATTGGTAACGGCACTGTCTCCTACACCCAGGAGTTCCTGGCGTGCCGAAAGACCACATTGAGCAAGGGTGAATACACTATACGGCTCAATGGCTACCTCTACGCAACGCGCTACGATCGGGACTTTGCTCCCGACAGCTACATGCTGGACGGTGAGCTGCGGGCCCTCGTGTGCATCATCTTCAATGGAACCAATGAGATCGCCAAGTTTTCCAAGACTATGGGCTATGTCTCGGCCGTGGGGCTGGGCGTGTCTATCTCGTGCCTTGTTGCCCACCTTCTTGTTTTTCTTGTGGTCCCCGACGTCAGGAACCTCTCAGGACAGAACCTTGCCTCCCTCTCGGCCTCACTTCTCATTGCTTACCTCAGCTTCCTCTTCGGCATGATTGGAGAGCCGCCCGCCCGTGCTTGCCAGGCATCCGCTGTCACCACTTACTACTTCTTCCTCGCCTCCTTCTTCTGGATGAGCACGATGGCATTCGATGTGTGGCGGACCTTACGCGTCGCCACCCGGGAACTGCGGGTCAGCTCCGGTACTCAGTGGCGGCGCTTTTTCTTCTACAGTCTCGCCTCATGGGCCCTTCCCGCCATTGTCGTCGGTCTCGCAGTCTTCTTTGACGATCGCTCCTCTGGCATGCCAGAAGATTTGAGACCCCTCTTCGGACGCCACGGATGCTGGTTTGGACAGCGGAAGGCCCTCCTCATCTTCTTTGCCGGCCCAGCCGGTGCACTGATGCTGCTCAACATCATGCTCTTCACCTCGACCGCCATCATGGTGATCAGCTCGACAAAGTCCAGCGTCAAGCGCTCCGGCAGTGCTGCCCGGCGCAACTTCAGCCTCTACGTTCGCCTCTCCACCATGATGGGCCTCACTTGGACGCTGGGTCTGGTTGCCGGATACCTTGACGTCGAACCCCTGTGGTATCTCTTCGTCCTTTTCAATGCATTCGAGGGGCTGCTGATCTTCGTCTGCTTCTCGTGCACCCGCAAGGTCTGGACCTACCTCCGCGACAACGTGCTGATGTGCATCAAGCGAGAGCCATATCGCACAGGCACACTCAGTTCTGGATCCGGCTACAACTCAAACAGCACTGGAACGACGAGCTCGGGATTCTCGCGCAAGGCATCACCCCGCAGTTCGACAAACTACAAGCGCACCGCACCGTATCTTGGTAAGAAGACCAGCATGGACATGTACTAGGAGTTCCATTTTTTCTATTTTTTTTTCTTAATGACGGCGAGCTGTCAAGCCAAGCGCAAGTATTAGTTACGGCGTTGCTCTTTGGCACACACGAGAACCGCATTCTTGTCACGTGTTGATGCGGAGTTGCTGCCACAAGCCCCATCCTTGCACCTTTGGCGAATGTAGCTGCCTCTGCTGACGTTTTAAGTGTTCCTATCCTCATGCGCGGTTCCTGAATCTCATCAGTGTCGTATTTATCGTTGAGTCCCATCCACGCACCTCTTTAACCCACACTCTCGTAAACGGCCAAGTCAGCGACTTTCCCCAACTCTTCTCAGGACGATTCCATAAGTTTTGTCACTTATTTATCACTGTTGCGACCAATTTAGGATCATCGAGTGTGCTTTCGAACTGCATCGCAGCGCTGAGGAGTGCGTTTCTTGTGGAACAGTTTTTATCAATTTTTATGGCCGGTTTTGTGCCAACGGGGGAAAGCACTCTCCGTAGGTTCGACTGTGAAATACCAAAGTCATGTGATGTGTGTCTGTGTGTACGTGTGCGAGTGCATTAGAAGACTTTCATCTCATGTAAATATCTTAACCTGATACTCTTAATGTCAGCACTGTAAATAAAGATGTAGATATGTTAAATGGTTTTCTGCGGCTTTCTTTTGTCCACTTTTTGTCATGTAGAACTTCTGCGGTGGTTAATTAAAACGAACGGACATTAAAAACAAGAAACGTACAGGGGACGTTATTTGCATTCTTCTAACTGTATTGCGGTAGTGACATAATTGCTACACTACAGTTAGAGGAGTACAAATAATGTCACTGTCCCTTACACTAACCTTGGCTTTATTGTCTGTCAGTTTTCATTAAAGCTGTGTCAAACAAAGAAACGATTTCCTAAATTTTCTTTTGTCCACTTTGGTGTGGTTGCTTTTTCAAATTTTAATGGCGTGCATAATCCGGCTTCAAACATTTGAAACTTGGAACGGCAGAGATGAACAAGTGTTCAGCAGAAGATGGAAGAGAAACCATCATGCGAAGAAATCGATCGGAGCATTTCAAACAGCGACCGCACAAAATAGCTGTGCACTTTCCACCAGTGTAGAAATAACTGTTTTTAAAAGATATGGTCTGCATTTATCCGAACTACATGTTTCGCAAAAAGAAATCTGCTTTAGAAACACGACGACAAAAATCTAGTGTGCAAATAATGAAATTTCATCATGGATTGAACTTGAATTGAATAGTGCGGAGAACAGCGGTCTGAAATCCTGATTATCAAATCGAATACACAAAATTTGATTGAGGATTGAAATAAAAGAAAGAAATGAAGTCTTCTCATATCTTCGAGAATATAACACAGTGAATGACTGCTATTGAAAGACTACAAATTGTTCTACAAAGTTAAAAAGACTACAACAGCAACATTTTGCTTTATTGTTGTGAGTGCCCCATGCCAAAAGATCTTCAGGCACCTTTTCACAGCAGTGCTTCAACGGCGAGCTGGGATGATGGGAGTTTCTGGACGAGTGTGGCAGTGGAGAATGCGCAGTGTGAAAAGATTTCCACATGCAAAACTAGTTTCGGTAGGTTTTGGGGCCAAGGTCTGGATATTTTACGACACTTGCCACACATGATGACCGAATTACGCAAAAAGTCCACGCCTTCGTTTCAGAAGTGAAGTTGCAAGAGGTTAAGCAGTTCTGAGTTTTTTTTTTCTTTGTGCAGAAATTATGTAGCCTCCTTTAAAGTAAACATACTGTTATGGCTGGAGTTGTCGTTGGCCCAAAAACGTATGTGCAGGGCGCAGTAGCGTAAAAAGCATAGGCAGTCTGGAACGGGTAAAAAAGTGTTTATTCCTACTAGGAGGCGGAAGCTGAACTGCCATAGAAAAGAGTGGCGACTCGCTTGTAATGAGCGGGAGAAAGGGGCAGCAGTCTACAACTGGATGCCTACAGGTACAGTGAACCGCTTATACGTTCAGGGCTCGCTCAGAACGAAGGTGCTCATGGAAGTCTGGACACAACACATGCACTTGCTTTGGAACCAGGATATTAGCGAAAGTTTTACGAAAGGCCTACTATAAGAACATTAACTTTAGATTTAACCAGCCCACCCTAACCAAGCTGCACCATCGGACTGTCGTCTTTTAGATAATCATTTTGTCGAATTAGTCGAAACTTTTGACTTCTAGCTATTTGAAACTCTATCTGAATAACTTGATTACGCATTACTTGATAAAAATTTATTCTTGAATGTTCGCACACCCCAACACAGAAAATGCTTAACATTAATTTTGACTAATGCAATATATGTTGACACTGAAGCACTGTCTATGCAAGGCAATAGAGAGAATCTGCACGATTTATTGTACACAACCTTGCAAGAGAACAGGCGTGGAGTGCACTATGTCATAGTTGCATGGGATACACACAAAAAAATGTTTTTGCTTAATGTCAATTTTTACAATGGTGTCTTTGCAGTCACTTACTTTGTAATGATATGAGAGTGCAGAATAACATGAAGCACAGTTGGATAGTACAGAAATTAGACTGCATGTTTTTCTTCTTTTCGGGAAATCGTTCACAGCATTTCACAGTAATTCTAGCTTCATAGAGTGATACATGGTACTCGAGGTTGTATGAGATGAGCAGATACTTTTAAATGATGTTCGGGAAATATGAACTTTGGAAAACATATACTGCAACATATTTACATGGTACTAAAGGTGGTCTTGAAAGGCTGCAGCTGGAGTCGTTAACATAATTGCAATGTTGCGACATGAACAAAGAAAGAAATCAATTTCCATTCTGTAGCAACAGCTATAGGTACAACGACAGGGCTTATAAGAAAACTATGCGCGAGAATTCCACACGTTTCTTCTGGCTAAATTTACATATGGCATCTGCAGTGATAGCACGAGAGGTTCAGGTCGGCATAACGTGACTTCACAGCGCTTAAATCTCTTGTTTACCAAGACCAAGACTTGTTTGTGGGAATAGGTACGCTCAAACCTCATAACAAAGTTTCATATTATGCATAAATAAGTTCGCTATATCCGAAAATTTGTTATAGAGGTATACGCCTGCTATTATATATATATATTGAAAGACTACTTTTTCATTTACTTTGTTATAAATAAGAATTTGTTATATCCGTTTGCATTATATCGAGGTATGAATCTAAATTCGTGAATTAAGTACTCTGGGCATTCTGACGCTTGCCACTCACTTTTGCAGAGTTTCATAGACACTGGTGTTTGTTTGCCACTATAACAGACAAGATGGATGAAAATGTCATGACATAGAGTTGGTATAATGTGAGGATTCATCTCGGTGAATCCTAATTGTTACCGCTCGTCACTCACAACCAGGTGACACTAGAGGGATGCTACTTCGATCATTGCTGAAAGTGCAACAAAGGTGTACAATTAACAGCACACACTTGGAGCGCGAGAAAAACGCAACGCTAAGGAAAAGGAACAAACACGACATGCAGTCAACTCTCAACTGATTGATTAAAAAATTGGGCATATATACTGCCCATTCCTTTCTGGTTGTCTTGCGTCTCAAGTTTTTCGTATAACACAGTTCCGACTCGCGCGTCTATCCCCCTTGATCACGATCGGAACAGAAATGCTAGGTTAGGGAGCTTGAGCATGTCCGGTTGATGCCATAACGCTGGTTAATGAACCTTGATAGTGACATTATACTCTACAGGAGGTATTGCAGAAAAAAAGAAGAAAGCACACAAAGAGGCTAGGTGCTCGGGATTATGCCACTGTATGAAATTTAGGCTAGTAGCTAAACAGAATGCACTTCGTTACCGGATAGCAAGTTTTGGTACTTCGTACGAAGCATCTAAAGTGGTGTTGTGTACGTAAGAATGCCGTGGTTTTCACAAAGTGTGCATGAGCACGACTATTGTGAATGTGCTCTTTGTGAAACGCGTCTGACGCTACCACTGACATCACACGATTACGGACACTACGTATGCGCAACCAACTTGCTAACACCAGCTGTGCATCTGCCTGGCTGCCATCAGGGTCACCAACATGGCTGCTCACGTTGACATCCCTGGCGCAATCTACAAATGGCTAGAATATTACGAACAAACTAAAATAATATCATGCTGGCTTTGGTTCGGTGGTAAAAGTTGGAACTCCGTTGCTATGGCTTCGGCTGCTGTGAGCTCGTTACACCCAAGGTGTGCACGTGTGGGATCGCAAAGTCTCTTGCTGCACCCTTGTGAAGTTCTCCAATACGGCGCAATCAAGGTGAGTATAAAAGTGGATATTTTTCAAGAGTCGAACGGTACTTGACAGACTGTGCTTTACACACGAAATTACCCAGCTACAATAAATTGATGAGGGCACACATTCTGCTCCTAAGCTTTTCACGGGCAGTGCTGAACCATGTAGGGCATGAAATGGCATGCAGGAAAATTTTGTTTTGGAATGAAACACATAGAATACGCTGTACTCACAGAATGAAATGCTACATCAAACTCCTACATATCATGACTGGTGCGTGCAATGAATACCTCAAGATAGCCACATCATGTCTAACCAGTAAAATTGACATCAACTCTGATGTATGTGTACTAGTCAATATACCGTGTGACATGAGGTGAAGATGACAGAAAACGAAAGTATGTGGTTTACTTAGCCCTCAAATGATGTGCTTCAGTTTCCATTAGCACTGCCCACATGATCCAGCATCCAAAAGTTCAAGGTAGTTCTACCGTTACAAAAATATCCTATTACAAATTGGCAAAAAACACACTTTAGAGGTATGAGAGTTCCTATCCCTATACAGTGCTTTGACAAAGAGTCCACGACACTGACGACATACATGGCCAATCACTGAAAGTCACAACGTCAAACATCATTGCTAGATTTACTACTACACATAGCAAAGTTGTGTTTGTTGGTACGTAAAAATGCCAGCAATCTCTCACAGATGGAATTTCATATTGAGGCTTTAGATAAGAAGTGGTGTCTGTCTAAAACTAATTGGGGAATATGAGGTTGATACAACTTCACTTTGCAAGTAAATGATGCTCATCAAGGAAAAAAGTTTGCCCAGTCAAGACAATGACGCTCATGACCCTGATGTAAAAAAAAAAAAATCCTGGCCAGGTGCACTCGATTAAAGCCCATGAGCCAGTTCTGCTGTATAAATAAAAGCAACTGCGCAGTTTTTCAAAAATGTAACGTGCAGTTCCACCCTGCAAAATTATGAGTAGGCTTTAGATGTGAAAAAATTTCTAAACTGCTCATTTATGCTGAATACCAGTGAAACAAGAGATTGCAAACGTTAATTCTGGTTATGCTATTAGTACATACCAAATGGAAATTTTTGTGAACTTTTTCAGGCCTGAAAGCACAGAAATGTTCATTTGCTTACACTGAGTTTAGTAAACCACCCCGTTTTTCCGCTTTTCTTCTCCTCCTTTCGAGTTCAGGAAGTGCAGAAACAAAGTTTGTGTTAACCATAATTGGTTCACTACTAATGATCATAAAAAATGTGGTGCAGGCAGTGTGTAGCATATTAATTCGTAGGCAATTATGAGCAAAGAGGACTTGACAGAAAAACGGTTGATTTAGTGCTCAATGAAAATTGTGCTAATGAGTGACATGCAACTGAAGAGACATCAAAGAGCGAAGATAAAAAGGGAACATGTACTTTTTTATATATATGTTAACCACAATTTAACTATACCAAAAGTACCACTCCTTCTGCAAAGAGATGTTCGGTAAGCTAGAAAACGTGCAAAAGAAAAACTCTGGTAGTGACACCACTTTGAACTTTCCACACCTGCTTGTCGTGACGTCATAGATCTTTTATGGTGACTACTAAAGACTGTATAACTGCTTGTCAGGGGAAATTATTTACACTATGTTCTGAGGGACCAAATGTTCTGACATAACAAGTTTAAGAAACTTTCACTGAACCAACGTGGCTGAGATAAGCAGAAAGACTGAATTTTGCGATGTCACAGTTGCACTGACAACACTGTCCACAATTTTACAGTGAAAGCTGTTAGGAGATCACAACAAGGATCACGTGAACCGTAGTTGTCTGCCACCGCCGCCTGTGTCCGTAACCACTATCGCAAGAATTAAGGAAAACTAAGTAAATAAAAGACCAGTGACACAATTGGATAAAAACACCAATGAGACAATGGAATTCGAACACGGGTCCTCTGCGTGCCAGCCCAGTACTCCACCATTGAGCCATGCTGGTGCTTCAAACGTCATTGCAAACAAACTGACTCTACGCTAACTTCTTGTCAGGAAAGGAATCTCGTTATATGAGTAATAAAGCACCTTAGACCAGGAAAGGACTAACGAGGCGTCATACAATGTGAATTGGGAAACGAGAGTGTCGTCGAATGCTCCAACCCATTACAAAAGCCTGGGCCACAATTCTTTGTCGTTGTCAGCCACAGCCTAGAAAAATTGGACAAATTTCATTGCACGCGTATAGCGGGCACCATGATCCTCTAAAGAATGACAAAGAATGGCATGGTGAATGCTACCCTACCACACGACAATTGGGATGAGTTATGGCATAGTGGGTACCCTGCAAGTGTTCTTGTAGCAGTTACCCAAAGAATGTTCAAAAAAGGCTCTAGAAAAGCCGTTTTTCTCGCTTTTGCTGTGACTGTGCAGCGCGTACCGCCTGGCGTTTTTTTGATGCGAAACAAAATCAAACTGACTTTCACTGTATCTTCCAATAATTATTAGTCCTATGACTGTGAAATTACTGTCAATATAGTTCAGAAAGAATAATTTATCTGTCTAAGCTGAACTAAAGTTTAAGTTTAACGTATGATTAAAGCGTGATAACACTGATTACCATCGTCAATTATGTAGTGCGGACTAAAACAAACCTCTTCGTCTTCCGTAAATCAAACATACCCGTGCCTAGGCATTCCTTAATCTTGCTGTCTGTAAATCCAGTTTCCTGCTACTGTCATGAGCACCTCACCTGCACCACATTGTAATTAACAATCCACACCACTGTAATTAAGTCGTCAAACAATGAACACCAGAGCATGCAACCAACCTATGATGCGTTACCGCTCACATATTTTACAATGACAGCATTGACTCCCAATTTTTTTTTCCATTTATCTTAAGGCTCAACCAGAATGCTGTCTGCGTTGCATCAAATTTTCCATTTGATTATCCGAATTTTTGACACTCAGGTTCAAGGACCATAGGCTACCATTTCTAGAGAATGCATTTCTCCAATAGATTTCAGTCACCAACTTCAAGAACGACCACAAATCCATTGAGAATACTTGCACGCACTGTGTTCAAGACAATACTATATAAAAAAGGACTTTAACTAGCAGTAGAACATTACAAACAATAGCTGCTTGCTAAGCCTTGTTAAAAATTGTGTAGAACAATAAAACTTGAATGCACAACAGCATTGGCAACAATAATTTTCGATTGGGCAATCAATCAAGTTTCCTGAAATGTTCGATCACATGGCTAGCCAGAAACCCCAGAACTGTGACCATTCCTAATGCATGTGTGCTAATGCAACAATACCTTGAGCGTCTGCAAGGGGGGTGCAAAAGAGGCACTCCCCTCCACCCCCTCAAGCCACACCAACACTTTCGGCTACCCAGACTACTCCAGCTCTCTCCTTCTCTCCCACTGCGATGCAACATAGGTTTGTACCCCCCCCCCCCCCCCCCGTCCTAGACCTAATCCTGCTGACGCCCATGACCAATACTAACAAGAACAATAACCTATGAAGGCACCATTTAATCCAGCACATTAAATCTCGAGTGCCATTTGCAACCCTTCAAAGGTAGTTTGATGGGTGAAATGTGTTAAATTGCTAAAGCCCCAACTACATGTCTGATTTTCTGAGCAAACTTCTCTCTTTTTACAAATAACTTTCACGATTCCCCAAAGCTCGAGAACTACTGGTTCGGCGGCATATGCTTTGCAAATGGCAGAGTCCACTGTTTCAATTACATTCTCTTCTCTCGACAATTACATTACAAATTACATTCTATTCTCTCGACAAATCACGGAATAAGCCCGAAATCACTCGTAGTAAGCCCATCTATCAGCCATTGGCTGATTTGAACATGGCGCGCTCGGTTGTTACAGAGGTCGCCGTGAGAGGCCGTCACTTGTCCCCACGTGTGCACTTGATCGCACTGAAAAAGCTGCATATTCAAAGAAAAAAAAAGAAAACAGTGCTCAAGGTCACAAGGCGCGAGTGACATTTTTTGTTTGCCCCTCCCATCCCTCCCTGCCTAGCTTCCAGCGCTTTCGTTGGGCTGAGAGAAGAAAGAATGCGACTGCAGCGTGTGACAAATTTTTGTAACTCTGCTCGTACTGGACGGATTCTTAAATTTTCGCGCCATTCAATTTAGGAGGTAATATGCTTTTCCAGTGAATCGATTCTCTTTAAGAAAAACTATCGTCTTTAAGAGAATGTAAGCTCTACCCACAGAACAGGGGCGTACTTTCCTTGCAAGTGTGAGACAGCCGTCCTGGCTGTTTCCACTTGAACTGCGAGTGCTTTCACTTGGCTAATGTAAATACCACGTATGTTAAAAGTTAAAGATTCTTCTTTATGTTAAAAGATAAAGATTCTTCCTTAGTAGCTAAAATATTGCGTTTAGCTGAGCAGTGATGACAGCATTTCTGACAAAATTTTACCACGACATTCCAAGTTTTGGACATAAAACTAGCGACACAGACATATGTCCGTATGGGAAAGTCAACCATAGGAAACACTTCAGAACTGCCTGACATCACGAAATTGAGAAAGTGCTGCTGATTGGTGCATTGATGCAAATTCTTTGTGGGAGAAACAGTTGAAGGTTCAAAACATTTCTGGCATTTTTTCTTACGCAATAGCCGACTGTAGTAGCCTGGTGCAAGCGAACCTTGACGCAACAAAGGCAGACATAATGAATTATTGAAAGTAATGATCTTATTGCGTTTCTTCACCTTCTTATAAACACCTTCTTATAAATGCCACATATGTATGCGCCGAGCATGTTTTTGCGCCATACACTACTTTGTTGTAGCAAGCTTTAATGGCGTTTGCACGAAACATCGATTCCACTGAATGACCATTTTTCAGAATTTTAGGTACCCACAATTTTTTTTTTTTTTGCAAGAATGCCTTGATGACATGCCTCACCAACAGATTTTTATGCTGCACATTGTTACACCATCCAGCAAGGTCATGGAGGCTCGCTTTGCAGCTTTAGAAGCTTTCAGGGTAGCAAGCCTTGCCGCACACAAAGCCCTTGCGACTCGCCGTAATGCAGACAGTTCAATGCAGCTCAAGAAACACCATATTGGAAGCTCTTGTTGTTTGGTGCAGAATGTGTATTGACATTAGCACTTTAAGGAAAGCAATGCAACAGCTGCGTTACGCAGAGGGGACTACCTGGCTGCATTGTGAAAGTCGATAATAGCAGCCAAGAACATCAGTGACGCGTCTTACGAAAAGGCTGCCCGTCTTGCCATGTGGTAGATAAATAGTTCTTGAAATGGATGAGCGGTCTGAAACATTGAATACGGCTGCAACACCTTAGCCCAATTAGGAGGAACATCTGAGTCGGAATGAACACGTCATTTCATATGAATGGTCACAAAAAGCAGTGATGCTCACATAACCCCAATGAATGGGACTGATTGGAATGAAGTTTCTTCCTGGATTTCCATGTGAACCTTAATTCCCAGCCCAAAACTCAACCACAAGCGATTGTACAGAAAAATATTTCAGCTGGAGAGTAAGAATTTTTATATTTCTGTATAAAAAGAAAAACAAAGCAGGTAATGAGCTCATTTGTATATTTTTATCATGAGGGCCTCAATGCTTAAGTAACGATTGCATCTTCCCAAAATATTTTTTGTCAGCCTTGGAAAGATTTTTTTCTCAACAAATCTTATGTTACAATGATTGCAAAAGATTTTTAGCAGATATGTCGACTGGTAAAACAGCTAAAAATTTTTTGCAACTGAGATATTGCCACCCTCTTTACAAAAAAAAAAACTTCTGAATTTGAATCTTTTCTTCCTTCTTTGCTAAGCCTATTTAGGTCAGGAAATTAATATGGGCATGGGATATTCCATGACAGAACAATAATAAAAAGCACAATGTGTTATTGCACCCGGTCTCATGACTGAATACGCATAGTTTATTCCCAGCCAACCTTTTCTATTCACTGGGATATTCAAATGGCCATCACATGACCATGCAGATTTTTAAAATGAATATACTCAACTCGCTCTCAAACAGCTGCCTTCTCGCTGAAATTTTTTCTACAAAATTCCTGGTGGTCGAATTTTGGACTGGAACGTATCACTTGGAATGGCACTGCTAACAAAACTAATACCAAACATCAGTTTTCATTCATGATGGATAAGATGCATCAAGCTTTCAATGTACTAACGTTACATCAGGACTGTTTCTAGTAATGCTTATTCAGGAATACGTGCTTATAAATTTGTCGAAATTCGCCACAATCATATCTGCGGGCTTCACAGGCTCGTTAACAGGTTCTTGGGTGGTTCGTTGAGGTGCTCTTTTTAAACTATCATCAAAGTAGGCACACCTTTATCTTGCCATCGCACATGTTTTTGATCTGTCACTGCAAAACATTACGTTGTTCCGTGTCATTGCGTACGAGTCCTAGCGTCACTGAAAACACACGAGCCTCCTACAGCTGTACATTTTCGTTCAGTCATTTTTTTCCGTATCTGTCATGTTGTTGCGTGACATCATTCCGTATCTGTCCCGTTACGTGATGTCATTTCGTACCAGTCAAGTCACAGTGTGCACATTCTTCCGTATTGTCAATGCATGCGTTCACACATTCTGCTATTGTACGCAAATATGCATGCAAGTCATTGGCTCACAGGAAGGTACGCACATAAACACGCCCGAGCAAGTGCAGCACCCACAATTCTTGGCCGGCGTTGCTGATGCAGGTTGCCGATTTCTTGTCTTTCGCTTTTTCTTAGCAGTTGTAAACGCCTTCAGCTGAAGTTGTTTGACAGTGGCGTTTTTTTTTTCTTTCTGGGAGGCGACGGGAAAAGTCACGATGGTACTTGCAAACGTCCTGTGTTAAAGTCATTTGACAGTGGTGCCTCTGTTTTCAGATGTGATGGAAAAAGTCAAGACGGCACTTGCGATCCTCCAATAGTGAATAATTTTGACGGTAGTGCCTGTGCTGGGAGACGATGGGGAAATTTTGGGACAGTGATGTCTCTGTTCTGAGTGGTGTTACGGAAATTCAAGACCGCACTAGCAAGCAGAAATGCCTTGTGTTGAAATCATCTGCCAGTGCTGTCTGTGTTCTGAGAGGGAAGAGGAAAAGTAGAGACTGCACTTGCAAACATCTTATGTTCAAGCCCTTAGACAGCGGCTCCTCTGTTCTGAGAGACGGTGGCAAAAGCCAAGATGAAACTTGTGAATGTCTCACAATGAAGTCATTTGACAGTGGCATCTGTGTTCTGTGAAGTGACGGGAATGGTCAAGACTAGACAGAATCGATGAAAGGTGATGAATCGACAGACAACAGTGGATAGAAATGCAAAAAGTTCATAGGAATAGTGTGGACATCTAAGGTAGTGGCCCTCTGATGGCTCGGCCAGCTCGCAGTTGAGCTCGTGACGTGGCAGGGCATCACCTCTTAGTTTAGCGATGTGGCAGGTTTCACCTGGAATCCACAAGACATGGTGGAAGAAGACATTTCAAGCAGCTGCGAACATACGCCGCACGCTTCTTGAAAGCCCTGGCAGCAGTCACAGATACGGTCGCTGACGGTAACACTACCCAAATATGGGCACCATCTCGCACGGTGCACGGACTATGAGGAACTTCGAAGGCACGGCACAGCTTTTGTTGGGTGAACAGCCATCTTGGAAGGCAGCACAGTGACAGCACGACGTGCCGCAGGGCTCCCAGGGTGGTCACAGTCCACTTTGTGTTGAGGAGCGTCCAGCGCTTTGGACAGCGGGCACTTCAGAATGGAGAGTTCATGCCAAGCTTGGTCCCAAAGTCTAGCCTTGCCCTCTTTTGCTGTCGGTGATTCGCCCTGCAAGGCAAGCACAAAATGCGGGTCTCAGACTCTCTTACAGAAAGAATGGGGACAAAAGCATAAGTATTTGTTTAAAAGGGAAGTTTACTTTTATGCACCATTGACACGAAGATTGCTGTTAGTGAAGGTTATGCCACAGTGCACAGATGTAACTATTTTTAAAACCCTCTTGTACTTCGTTTGATTGAAAATCGAAGCTTGTGATTAAGTACATGATACTTCCTACCTCCGTGCACCCCCGTACAGTAATTGAGTTTTGCATCAAATTCAAGGCAAGATTAGTAAGCAAAGCATTTGCTGGGGCAATATTGTAATTTTAATGTGACAGCAATAAAGAGCTTGTTTCACAGAAATTTCGGCATAGGAGCTGGCGTAATTGGCAGTGAGCAAAAACATTCACGCTGTCCTTGAGCGAAAATTCAAAATATATGCAAATAAATAAATAATAAAAAAAATCTTCGGTCCTAGTGATAATCGAACCGAGGTCTTCTTCGTGGCAGGCAAGTGCTCCACCATGCAGCCATGCCAGTGTCTGTGACTGCTTCTTAAAGAAACGCTACAAGATTGTCATGTAGCGGGAGTCGTCTCGTTCACAAACGTAAAATTGCGAGGCAGAATCCTTGAATCACCCTCAGGCACCAAAACACGTGAACTGCGCAGCGTGCGGGTTTTTCAAAGCTGCCCACACATGGCGAAATGCATAACTGCGCAGGCGCGCATGGCACCTCACAGACGTATAGTGATTACTTCACCAATCTGCGAAAGAAAGAATTAACAGCACAGTAGGCACTTTGCAACTGTACTTGCAGTAGAAGACAATCTTGGATAGTTGGAAACAACCAACGCTGTGTTCACCTATGCTCTTTTCCTGGCAGCACGGTAAACACTGCTTACGGGGCGATTACGCTATCGAGTTCTCCTCTTGAAGGTGAAGCTCACGCGCCCTCAAGGTTTTAAAAAGTGCAGCTCTTAGGCACTCGTTCCTGCGTTGGGTGGTGTGTGTCCGTTGTTGGTGTAACTGACGGAGCGAACAAGGACGAATAAGAGGAAAAGAGAGACTGCTTCCAAGGAGTGTTTCACCACGAGAGCTGGCGAGCCGCTGTGTTAGCGTTTGCAGTGCCCTTGTGCCTGCTTGCGATTCATTTTACAGCCAAACACACACCTGTTGCTCAAGGGCACGAGAAGGTGGGTTGACCTGCGAGACTCGATAGAAGAAGGCATGCGTAGGCTTAATGGACACGTTGTGTGTGGAACGCTCTAGCAGACTCCTGAGGGCCCTTTTATAGTCCTGTGCAGCGTTCCCGTCGGCTAGCGGCGGCACAAGTTGGTGACGCCATAGAGTTTCCTAAAACTAACAGAAGGGGACTCCGGCGCTGGGATCATTCAGCGACCATGGGAATTATGGGTAGTACACAGATTTGCCTAGTCTTCGTACTTGAGGGCGGCGAACCACACTTGCGGCGTCGTTTATTGCAGTTTCGGTTTCGTTTTGAAAGATAAAACCAATTATTTTCAATTTTGTGACCTGATTCGAAATGGTAAGCCTAAAATAATAAGGTGGTGAAGCGGAACCGCTGAACGCTTGTTGAACTTTGTTTTGTGAGAAAACAGCTCTAAGCCACACAAACACACACGGAGCAGGCCAGAAGTACAAAGATTAGACAAATCTGTGAACTACCCATCATTCCCAGGCTTGCTGAAGCGCCGTGCGTTGCAGCTTCCATAGACACTAGCGCCGGAGTTCCCTTTGGTGTATAATAAGAAACTCTATGGGTGACCGCAGGATTCAGAATACATTGGCGCAAAAACGAAGTCTTCTGTGCTCCCACTTCCGCCGTGTCGCCTTGATGCATGCATATTTACTGAACTTGTCGCGAAATCAAAACACATAAACAGTTTCGCTCAGAATTCGCATTAGGCAGTAGTGAAATCGAAGGTGAAGTTTTTTTACCGCACAAACATGTCACATTTTATGTCACATTTTGTATGAATCCAAAATGTAGGGTTGAAACAATGAGAAATCATTCAATAGGGACTGTGGATGAAGCCAATCAGTTGACAAGTGGACTTGTGTTTCATTAGGGCAGCAACTGCCCTCTATAGCAGCATGTTCGTGGACAATTTGTTTGCCATCCCCCAACCTAACAAATGTAGGAGGAGAAGAGACAGGCACGATGGCAAGTTTGGCTGAACAGCACTTGACCTAAAGCACTTTTACCAGCCCATTTACTAGAATGTTATATTCGGTTAGCATTTTACTAATTTAGACGAGAAGGTATAGCCTGCGTCGTCACATGACTCAGTGGCACATCCCGAAACACGTGTTTTTACAGCAATATGCCAGCTTAAAAAATGGCAATGTGTCTATGATCAGCTGAAATATAATAAAGTAGTATTGAAGCAAACTAATGCCACAACAGTACTACCTGCTCGACGGAAACAACAACAGCAATGTTGACCGAAAAAAAAAAAAAAAAAGGATTGGGAGACCCTCAAGCTTCATTCTTAAGAGTTGAACGCAACAGCAATATTCACGTACGTGTGTGAACCCGCTCGCTAACATAACTGTCGTCCAATCGCTAGCCTGCCTTTGCGTATTGATGAAGACCTAAACTGCGCAGTGAAGACAGCCAAAATGAGAATTCCCTCCAAGTTTTCACCTTTATTTGTACCTACCTCGAATTTTCGCTCATGGCCAACACTAATTTTTTGCTCACAATCAAAGACGCCACTGCCGGCACCGCCGACACTGGAATTTCTGTAAAAGAAGCTCCTTAACGAAAGCGATAACGATCTTCCAGTAACAACAGAAACTTCGTGCAGTTTCCCTTATTCTGGAGCTTTGTGCCACCTAATGGGCTCCTAACAATTTTCAATTTGAAAGTATTGTGGTCGTAGCAGAAAGAGTAAAGGTAATAAAATTTGGGCAGCTTCTCGCCTAATCTCGTGTATCTTGACAACCTCGTTGAGCGGGAGCAACAGCAGCGTCCACAAGAAGCCCGTCAGCCACACGTACTGCGGAACCAGCGGAAGCACCACATCTAGTGGCTCAGTTGCCCGTGCCCAGATGTTGCACGCGCAGAAGGCCAACTGCAGCAGCAACCTGGGAAAAAAAAAAAAAAGAAGAAGAAGAAGAAAGGAAAGCTTTTGATGCAATTTAACACTGCAACATTGAAATCAATGTTGGACTACAGTTCAGCATGCTTGTGTCTCGTGTGTCTTTTGTGCTAACTTAAGGGGGCAGACTGGTCTTTGCGACTAAAAAGTGACAAAAATATATTTAAACAAAATTGAAATATTTGGTTTCTGCAAGTATTTTTTCATCTCTTTGCAAATTTCCACACACCAGGAAGGGGTAATTTTTTGTAATGTCATTTTAACTATCCAGATTCTTGGTGCTGTTAACATGCAGAACCTGCAGAAAAATGGGGAACCGACATTAAGGCTCCTTTATAATTTGCCGGGACTTTTGTTAGAAGCTCTGCTACGAATTTATGAGCACCTTTATGAGGATTGCAAAACATGCACACCATGATTGTTGCTTTCTGAAGAAGCTGTGTGCTTTCAGTTTTTGTATTTTTCTCAAAAAAGTAAATTTACGACTGTTCAATTTTGAGGCCTCAATATTTCTGCAGCTAGGGCAGCTACAACAATATTTCTTTTTACAATGAAAACCTGTATGTGTGTAGAATGCAAGTATGGGAGCAGAATTTAGAGCACAAGCTCTTTTAATTAATTAATCATCAAAATTGTAATGCAATTCCAACTGCCTTTGCAACTGGATAGTACATTTTGCTGTAAAATAACCAAGAAAGGACTGAAAACAAGAAACTCTTTCAGAGTTTCAATCTATAGTCATTTGTCTATGTTGGCATATCTCAAGCATCACTTTTAATTAGGCACTTTTTTCTATGGCAGCCTTAAACAATAGGGTATGGACTTAAGTTATCTCAGGAACAAGATGAGTTACAGGAAAACTAATTAAATACTTGAAATCAGCAGAAAAAACTGCATAATCTTGTTCAGTTTCAACAAGATCACTGAAGAAATAAACAAAAAAAATGTCTAAGACCAGCCTGCCTTCTTAATTTCTAGTGTGTCGCGCCTACTTGCACCCAAGCATTGTCTTTAACCCACGTGATACATTTTTCTTGTTGACAGAGTGGGAGTGAATTGCACCTAATATGTTTGGTCTAGCAGCTCTTATTTCACTTCTATGTTTGCCCTATTCTTTCTTAAAATGCAACTGTGCATTTCATTTGTGTGCCCGTTTAAACTGTACCAATTACACTCAAACCTTGATATAACGAACCTGGATGTAACAAAATATAGGTTATATCGAACTAAAAAAATGGTTTTGCAATAGTTATAGACTTAGGAATAAACCATTGTAACAAATTTTTTGATGTAACAAGTTTATTTTCATGTAAGACACAATTTTGTTATAATGAGGTTTCAGTGTACTCCTGCATGAATCACTGGAGCATATCAGCATTTTCTCTGCTTCTTGTATAATTTTGAGAACCAGACAACTGTGCCAATTTCGTTGGTCCCATGGGGGTCGAATCAATGGAAGTCACCCATAGTTGTGTGAAATTCATTTAATTGTGTTTCACAATTCAATGGTAAAATCATGCATTGGTTCGATCAGGAAAATACCTACAGCAAGCCAACATACAGGGCTGTCTAAGGAAAAACCCGCATGCCAATGCTTGCTTGGGCATGTTCGAAGTGCTTCAAAGTTGCGTGACTTACACGGACAGACTTGTGGCAAGCCAGCACCGGTTTGTGGCTGGATTCCTCTTCCACGCTGGCTTCGACCGGTGAACGAAGCTCATGGAGATGACGACTGCGACAAGAGAAGTATGGCAACATCTGCGTCCCAATAACTTTCAACAATTGCGACTAGCGCTCGCGGTGCATGAAACAGAGAAACCTGGTAGTTAAGAGCAAAACCCCTAAGTCTGGTGTGTGAAACAAACAAAAACAATTCTGAACAACACGAGAGGCCAATTGAAATGCAGCTAATTCGATGTCTTCCGAAGGTGGTTGCTTTGTTCTGGGGAATAACTAATCAATGAGCAATTCAAAGGAGACAAAAATTCGGGAGGTAGGACCGCAACCACGGAAAGTTTTGCAGCGCCGATACCACGGCTCTAGGCAAAAAGATGAACCACAAAAGAAGCTGGATATCATCATATTGTGAATACACAGAACAACCTCTGTACAAAAATTTTTGTTTGAAATGCGAGCGAACCCCCAGTGAAAAGCTCACAAAAAAAAAAGACATGCATTATTTATACCTACAGACATTCCTGCTTTCCACAATAATGTTGCTATGCACACATGTTTATACAACAAGCTTGCTGCAGTGAAAATCACACGGCAAGACTGTGCTCATATTGATTGATATGTTGGGTTTAACGTCGCAAAACCACCATATGATTATGAGACACGCCGTAGTGGAGGGCTCCGGAATTTTCGACCACCTGGGGTTCTTTAACATGCACCCAAATCTGAGCACACGGGCCTACAGCGTTTTCGCTTCCATCTAAAATGCGGCCGTCGCAGCTGGGATTCAATCCCGGGACCCGCGGGTCAGCATCCGAGTACCTTAGCCACTAGACCAACGTGGCGGGGCCTGTGAGCTCCTATAAGAAGCGCGTAAGTGCCACCCCACCGAAGATCGCTAACGTTTAAGCGAACTGAAGCTGCAAAGTCACCGGACTGAAAGTAGAAAATTGTCATTATCAGTCAAAAAAGCACTGTTTGGGCTCGACGCTAGTACGCTCAAACCTCGATATAACGAATGCAGATATAACAAATTATCGGTTACAACGAAGTAAGTGAAAAATGGCTCCGTCGTAGGTACAGTGCTACAGATGTATGTTTATAATGAATTTGCGGATATAACAAAGTATTTTCATGACAGGTGTGACTTCGTTATAATGAGGCTCAAAAATCAAATCGAGCAACCACAGATTTGACTTTCAAGCGACTAATAACCTCATGCCTTTGGTTAGTATGCGAGGTTTAAATGGTCAGCTGCCACCTTGTGCAAAGACGACATGCCAAGTAATGCCCTCTGGCAAAAGGAGTGCTTACAGACGGCACTGGCTGACAACCCCAGGAATCACACGTTCAGAAATACCCAACGAAGTAGATGGTGAATTGTTTTTCGTCGCAGCTCATTTTGCAGGGCATTGGACTCAAATTTCGAAGGTTGTGGGCCCAGCTATTACAGACAGAAATGGTGATTTTCTGTCCATCTTAATCCATTCCCATCGTGTCTAAGTTACCACACTAATGTTCAAGACATCAATCAATGTCTTCTATGAGAATTCCCCGGCCTGAATGGCTATTGGATTTGCTTGGTTCAGTCCGAAACAGTTGCTTTTCAACCATTTGAGACTTCAATGAGCCAGAATGGTTGCAACCGAATCGGTCGCGCGACTTGAAGCGTTAGCGGTCTGAACAAGCCCTTACGGTCGTGCCGAGACAACCGAACAATGCTCACCGAAGTACAGGACTAGAAAGAAGGCGGCAACATTTTGGCACAGGGCTAGACCGGACACCCAGGACACGGCTGGTGTGTCCGCTGTTTCTTCGGTCGACCTGCGGCAGGTTACAAAAAGTCCGAACAAGCCAAGCCAAAATTAATCCCACCTGCGCACCTGTAATGCATCTATAGTGGGTTCAGTTGGTAGGGCTTAGATAAAAATTGTTTCACTGTAAGAACTTGTGCAAAAGGTATACAAATCACGCAGCAATGAAATGGCATGTACAATGGACCGCAAGAATTTACAGACCGACAGCCATGAGAAAATGCTAAATTTACTTGCAGACTGTGTCTATAGGCAGAAAAAAAAATGTACGTCATGTTTTTCGAGGATGTAGTGAAGCATCAACTCTAGGAACATGTATATATAAAAAATTACTCTATGTAGTTCAGTATATCTACAATACCTTTGCTGATCATATATGCATTAAAAAAAAAATTATTACATATAGTTAAGGTATTCGACTTGACAAAGCATGACTTATGAGCCAACAGATGTACAAAGAAAGAAAGTACAGAGGAAGTTTATTAATAGGTTCTTAACTTATATATACTATAATTACAACTTAAGTATAGGGTAAGTTTATTAACAGGTTCTTAATTTACATATCATAATTACAAGCTAAAAGAATATGATAGGAAAGAAAACGAACTTGAATATGGTGAGAGCTGAGTATGGTATCTCCACCATACACTCAATGAATGAATGAATTAATTCATTAATGCTCACCCTTCGTGAGAGAAGAATGGCCAGCACGGCGTGGAGCCACTCGTATGGCAGGAATGGATGAGCGCCAGGGTGAAGCAAGCCAAGGTGACTAACACGGATGGGCAGAACTTGGCACAGTAGCAACCGATGAAGAACAGCACCACCTTTTTGCATCAGAGAGAAACGAAACAAGTGCAAGAAATAAATGATCCCTAAACAGAACAAGTGCCTCGAATAAAAGTGCAAAATTACAATGCAAGCCCTCATTAAGTTTTTTCTTGATATACTCAAACCTCGATATAATGCATCCAAACATAACAAATTATTGATTTTAACAAAGTAAATAAAGAATGGCTCTGTCATTAAGTACAGCGCTATAAATATTTGCTTATAACAAATTATTAGATATCACAAAGTATCTTCAGGGCAGGTGTGACTTTTCTATAATGAGGTTTGAGTGTATGTTCATTTGGATAAAATGTAGGGGTGGATCATAGAGTTTCCTATTAATACACTAGAGGGAACTCTGGCGCCAGAGTCTATGGGAGCTGCAAGGCACGGGGCTTCAGCGACCATGGGAATGATGAGCAGTACACGGATTTGTTTAATATTCGTACTTTCGGCTCCGTTTGGCGTCGCATGGCTTGGAGCAGCTTTGTTACAAGACAAAAATCAACAAATGTTCGGCAGTTGTGATTCACCACCTTCATCTTTTAGGCTCACCATTTCAAATCGGCTCATGAAGTTCAATAGGGTTCGCTCTTTTCTTGGAAACAAAACCAAAACACAGCACTAAACAAAGCCACAAGTGCGTTCGAGACCCGCGAGCACGAAGACTAGGTAAATCCGGGTACTATCCTTCATTCCCATGGTGGCTGAACGATCACAGCACCACAGTCCCCTCTGGTTCATTTTAGGAACCTGTATGGGACAGATGGATGACACCCATTGGCACCTACGACGCAAAAATAACATGCATGTTTGCAACAGAGTGTCGGTTGTGCCTGCCATGCTGCCTGCCAATTGCCTGTGCTCTGCAGAGAAGCCTGCCTCGTGTGATAACAGCGATTATGTTTTGATGTAGAAGAATACAGTCACGCCCGATATGAGTTCAAACACTCTGGCCGTTGTGAAAGCACCGCCAACGCTGCATTGAAGTGCCGACATAGAAAACGACCGACAATGTAAGCACTGTTTTGACTACTGGTATTTCCAAGACCGATTTCACGCTTGCCAATGTCCTTGTATATAAGCTTAAGGCCCTTTGAATTTTGGCCACCGTCTTGTAGCTCATACTGAACACCGCAGTACAGTACTGACGGATAAAAGCGGGCAATTTAGGGCTTGTGGGGGTGCTGACAGCACCTGTAAAGATTTGTGCTGCATGGCGCGCGTGTCTTGCCCAAAGCCGCATTTCAGGGTACAACCATTGGGTGATAGGTGGCGTGTTCACGTTGAGCACCACTATTATCATCAAGGTTGTTACAGTGGTAGCGCCAGCAGTGACCCCTGGCGGAAGCAAGCCTTGGTGGCGGGCCAGATTCGAGCGAGTCTTTAATGTGCGTGGCGGTTGCCGTGAACGGTTGTCTCTAGCGTGGGTCCTCGGCGCGTGGCACCGCAGGCCTGCACGCCGGGGGTCCTCGTGGTAAGTCAAGCGTTGGCGACACCGCCTTGGGTGTGTTAGTGTGTTTTCCATGTTGTGTGTTTGTCGTGTTATTGTGTGACGATGTCCTAGTGTGTTAATTACAATTGATCTATCGATTTGGCGGACGATATCATCGTTATAAATTAGTCAAATGTATGTATGTTGTTTGGTTTGCCCCGACCGCATCTGCTGAGTCTGTTCACTCCAAGAGCGTGGCGTGGCGCTCGCCAATGTCGAGACCCCACACGCTAAGTAATGCACCTGCTTTCGTTTCCACCACTGTCTTCAGCTCGGGTCTAGAGGCATATTTTGGACTCAAAAGCGCACATTAGAGCAAAAATTATCTTTCGAAACGTGATTCATTGTGACATAACATGGTTATCTCGAGAACGGTGCATATCAGCTGTCATGCTAACAGGATTGATGCCTTGTTTGAATCCTAGAGTACTGTACACAAAAAGCAATAGAACAAAATTAGCCCACTCACTGTCAAAAGGGGCAACACACTGTAAGTGCTGTTTGCACAATAAAGCACTGTTGGTGAGTGGTCACGTACCAACATGCTCATAAACTGCTCTAGTGAGTTAGGCGTACACTCAAGCCTCATTACAATGAAGTATATTTGCAAAATCTTACCAGCATTCTTTAGATGATTTAAATGCAGGCAAACCTATAAAATTTCTGCTACAGCTTGGTGTACCTGTAGGTGCGGCACACTACCTTAAGGTCGCAACAGTGGAAAACTTGAACACTGCCATAAGTGTGACTTCAAGGCTGCACTCTTCAATGGGCAAACATGTGCCCAGAAATGCGAGCTGCATTCGTTGAAAAGATGGCTGTAAACACTGTCACTGAACCTGAACTCAAGAGCCAAGTTGATGCATAATCTGCAGACGCACCCACTGAGTATTCTAGGTTACATTGCCATGTGTACTCCTTTTTTTTCGCAATTTTATGTTGCCGGCTTGTTACACATTGTACGACCACAGTGAACCTTCCAAATTATTTTAGAGCTTTCTGATACGTTTGACCTAAAAGTGAACAGTTGTGTTTATCTCTGGTGGACAACAAGTTGAAAAACAAAATCATGGGCACATATTCCAAATACCTTTAAAAGGGAAAGGGGGTGCTTGCTTGGGATTTTACAGTATGCTTGGGCATGGTGGCAATTCAAGTTATCTTTTTTAGCACACTAAAAGAACACAGACGAAAAGAACGACACACACTGTCTGCATAATTTTTTCCCCCCTTTGTTTAGTGAGTGAACTAAAAAAAATTGAACATTCTCGATACAGTGTGCTGAGCGTAAACTTGACTACAGTGTCCACTGGACCAGGTACACTCAGTGCTATAGAGGTCGCGAAAAGGTATGCGTGACAATACCTACAGTTGAACTCCTTTATAAGAGGCATGCTCCAGGCAGCATTTCAGGTCTTTTATATAAGATGTCTCTTATAAGCAGGGTACTAAGCATGCATTTTCTAATCAACCTGTATTTTACTATAGGCACATTGGTGTCTCTCACATGAGTGTCTATTACAAAGGGGCTCGACTGTACAGTCATTATAAGGGGGTACAATTGCATGTAGCTTTGTTATTCAGAGCATGTTGTTATATTTACCTCATCGATTTGAGAGAGAAAGAGGAACGAGAGAAAAGCAGAGAGGCCAACGTAAACTTCGTCCGCAATTCAGAAACGCACCTGACGGTTTACGCGTGGGTGACTCTTGCCCGTCGCTGTGGTCATGACGCGCGGGTTGTCGTGGGCGCTGCTGCCGAACACGAGCGCCAGTGCAAGCGCGGGCAGCAGCGCCCCCAACAGCCACAGAAGCTGCGCGGGCGAGAGTGCGGGTGGTAACGCCACCAGTGCAGCCAGCGTCTGAACCAGGGCCAGGCTCAAGCAGCAGCAGAGCAGGAACTGCATGGCGCTGCGCACCGCCTGGCTGAAGTGGCGTGCCTGTGGGCATTGCGGTCATTTCTACCAGTGTAACGAACTGGCAACAGTGCAGAAACATGCGTACCCTAACAATAACCACGAAAACCATAAAATGTTACGATTGGATAGTGCAGTTGAACTGCGGTATAACGAGCATAAATAATGAAATTAGTAAGTTAACTTTGCAGTATTAGTGCCAAAGCTGAAGGAAAAGTGGAGTGGGTACAATGAAGAGAGCAGAGTATAAATTAGCAAGATCTAATTTGGCAAGGTCTTAATTAGGTTGGTACACGCAACCAGGGCCTGGTGCTATCACCGAGTTCGTAGCGCAGCCTGCCCATGACGACAGAAACGGCTACCTACATTAGATCTTAATTTGCTGTTCTTAATTATTGAGGCAATAATTAGCATGCTCTTAACAGGGGTGCAACAGCTGAACTAGAATTTGGATCAATTTTTAGAGCAGCAAAATGTAAATTTTGAAGCACCAAAATCCAAATTTAGAACAGGTTAACAAAAAAAAAACACTTTTTTATGATGAGAGATAAAATTTGGAGCAGTATTAAAAAATCTTAGATTAAAAAAAATATATTTACAAACCTTTCAACATCACCTAAGTTGCACAGAGTAAGCACGAGTGCTGCTATTTCAATAAAGCAGTATTTTGAACCATCCCACTGAGTAAGCAATAATGAAGCCTGCATAAGCATTTTCCGCACCTGTCAGATCTTTAGACACACTCTGCAAATTCATATGTAGTTCTGCCAAGCTGACAATCCTAAAATTCAGGAGACTTGTAAAACTGAGGAGTAGGAGTGTCGAAAAAACAAAACAAGAACAAATGCTTGCAAGGTGCGTCTGACCAGATAAAGTAACAATGGTGGGCACCCATTGGCCCAGTGACAGCACCAGTTATCTACCACAAGGAGGATGCAACTTCAGGACAGATAAATGTTTTATGTGCCGCTTGCAGCACGTCAAGTTTCTTTGCATGCAGAGAACGTGGCACACGCTTACAGCTTTAGTTCTTAAAATGCCATAGCCGCGTTTTCTGACTAGGAAATTCATGTTTCACACAAAGCGTTGGCTACGACAATGCATTTTTGGTTCTAAGTTGCGATGTTCCGCCGATCAGTATCGGCTGCGGTCAGCGGACTGACGGGTGTGCGGCGTTACTACTTTATTAGGCCGACGGTGTCTCGTGAGTGCCCTGACCTAACGAGTACATATCTTACACTGTGGTGTAGGGCAAGGGTCTGCGTGCTTGGACTGATTAATGACACGAACTGAGAGTGGCCAATGCGCCCTCTATTTCTTGCGCAAGTTAGTGCACCTAAGAAAATTTTGAGGCAGGACGGACATTTTGACGCAGCTTGTCGCAATTTCAGCAAATTTCATGATTCTAGTGCAACTCGGCGCAAAATTGGAGAATCGTATCGAATTGGCACTATTGGTACAGCTGTCCTATCCCTGTCTCCCTGTCTTAACTAGTAGTGCCTTGACTATCATAAAACATGATTGTAAATCAAGATATTTAGTGCCCTCTTAATTAGAAAAGTACTAAATTAGCATGGACATCATTAAATGGTTTCAGTTGGCAAAGTATTAATTAGCACAGTTTTAATAAGTAAGGTCTCGCATAGTCTCACTGCATTTTACTCCAGACAGACTGGCCCTGCAGGCGTGTGCATACTGGGCAGCTGTGCCAGGTGCTAGGCGATGTGAGATGCCTTATATATAAGGTAGAGGCTATTCATGATGATGGTAGCTTCCTGATGAAATTGCATAGCATAACGAAAAGCTTAGCAGTTCCGCAGTAAAAATATTGTTTTAATGAAGGAAATATGAAACGTGACATGGCAATATAAGTTGTCTTTTTTTGTCAGATTAAATTTCCATACATTTACAACACAATTACATTTTAATTACAGACTACAAATAATGCTCTCTCCACTTTCTGCTCCCACTGAGACAGGTTGCCTGTGCTAACTCCACCTTAACAAGGGCTAGTAGATTTCGGCTTTGGATGGGAAAGCATCGAAGCATATGACTTAGCAAGACAGTCGTACCAGTTGGCTCCTTATTTTGAGCAAGCTCCGTTTAGGCTGAAACAGATTAGGATGAAAGACTAACAAATAAAGACAAAGAAATGACTAGTACTAGTCCATGTCTCTTTGTTTCTTGGGCTTATGTCTTCATCTGTTATGCATTACAAGAAAAAAAAAGAAACATTTGCAAGTAATGCTTGTTGTAATCCATTGTTAATATTGCCTGGGTCAGTTCTTTGCGTCACATTAAATATTGCCCAGACAATGATGTTGAACAGATCGAGGGCCTACCTCCCAAATGAGATGATACAGGCTGAGGCTCTTCTCACGGGGGCTGCTCAGCACACACGGCAACGAACCCAGGGTGTGGGCCAGGGCTCGAGGGGTCATCGACACCCTGGCCGATGGCAGTGGTGATGGTGCAAGCTGCCGTGCACACAACTGAGGGGCCAGTGGTTCCAGAGCTATGCTGAATCCATTGACAAAAATGGAAGATCCTATATTTAGAACGACTGGCCAACAGCAGTAAATATTTTGTGAAGTCAAGGTCAAAAAACTAATTACAGAAAAAAAAAAGCTGAGCCAACTACTATAAATTTACGGTATGGCAACAAAAATTATTTCGGAAAGCGCAACAACAAGAAATGACTTTGCAGATTAGTGCTGGTTTTACACTAACAGACACTGTAATCAAGAATAATAATAATATTATCATCTGGAGTTTGATTTTCCAAAACAACTATATTGTTGCACAAAATATTATTATGAGAGATGCCGTAATGGTAATAAATGGTGGGCTTCGCAAATTTCTACAATCTGGTATTCTTTAACGTGCACCGAAATTGCATAATACACGGCCTCTAGCATTATGTCTCCACCAAGATGTGACCACTGCGGCTGGGATTGAACCCACAACCTTTGGGTCAGCATCCATACGCTGTTATTAAGGTCAAACAATTAAACGTAGCGTGGCTCAGGAATGCAAAGACTACAAAGTTTATTCTAAAGTGCATACTACCAGGCTTTTGCAAGTCAATGTCTCCATACGACGCTCCTTATTTCTCTTCTAATGTGCTACCAGGTGCCAACAAGTCCCTGTTGCAGCCCTATTAGCATATCACCCTCAAAGTGCTTGTCCTTGATTACCGCAGCCCTGAGGACTACCTGCAGACATAACTGCTTGTGAGGTCGATTCTCATTACCAAATGGGACATTGTGAGCATTAAAAACACGTCTTTCGTTTAAATATCAGTCGGACTCTAAAGTCAGAAACTCCGCGTGCATGGTTCCCAGTAACTTGAGCCCATCACAGCCGTGATTACTTGAACTATGGGAAATGTACAACGACACATCTGTGGTGTGACGGTGTGCGGCTGGAACCAGAGGTAGGCTTCGGCACCAGGGACGCATACAGTGAGCCTCTTCAGGTTTGAACTCATTGAACTAACCCATGCCTATTTCTGCAGGCCTACCTGCAGTCGGCCTGCAGAAAGACGGGCAGGTTGTAGAGGCTGGCAGCACTTCCTATGCAGCCGACCACCTCGCCGTACTCTTGCATGATGCGCACCATCTCCAGGGTGGCCTCGGGTGTGCAGTCCGTGAACAGGGACACCAACAGGGGCACGTTGTCCACGTGCTCGATGTGCGGCCGGATGTTCTCGATGCCCCGAGGAAGCTTGGCCTGCACACGAGAAGCATGCAGCAGCGACAGATTGGCACGAGGGCTACATGCTCAATCCTCAATAGTGTTGACCTGTGGGCGAGTTGGAATGGGATGGTCTTTTCACATTAGAACAGCTTTGATGTACACTCAAACCTCGATACAATGAATTCGTATATAATGAATTATCGGTTATAACAAGGTAATTGAAGAATAGCTTTGTCATAGATACAATGTAACGAATAATTATTTATGACAAACTTTTGGATATAACCGAGTATTTTCGTGGCAGATGTGAGCTAGTTATAATGAGGTTTGAGTGCTGTGCGAAAGAATACACCGACATGAGAAGATACGCAGCCCTTTCTTGCATCTGTGCATCCTTTCGCACTGCATCAAAACTGTTCAAATGATTCACCAACAAGCCATAATTGCAACCCTTGTCTTCTCGCGAACTGTGCAGCGGCACAGGTCTGTCTTTTTTTTCTTCGTGGCCTGTCCTGATCAGCAGTTTGAAAACAAGTCCTTCCTTAGGACAAAGTAAATCCGTATAGATCTAACCATAAACTAGATCTGTGAATTACGGGGGTCGGAGGGGGAGGCGACTGTGATTTCTCCTCCCTTCGATCTGAGCCACATAAGGTTAATGACGCAACGGCCAAGAACGCTAATAACCACAATTACCGACTCAGTGCACTCTAAACGGGTGGCCTACTGCTGAAACAAACCTTGTGCAAGGGGATGCGAAATTTTAAGCCCGACAGAGGTTTATTTTGAGCGCATCACTGAGCACACTGCCCCTTCAGCTTCCATACACCCACACAACCTCTTCTCGTTTTGAGGGGGAAATGGCCATGGAATATTTCCTTGCCTTACAGACTTGTTTCAAACTTGTTCTTACAAATACGTTGTTGCGTGTTCTAATCTGTTTCGTTCTGAAGGGTTTTTCAAAAGGATACATTTCTGCAAATAAGGAGGAACAAACAAGACAAAAAAGGGGGTCTGAATATGTGTGAAGCTTGTGTCCTCACTTTATTTGTCCCCAATTTATTTAAATAATTTGATACACTCGCTGGTACTGGTTTTCACTGGCATTACATGCACGGCCAGTCTTCCTCTTAACGTAGCTTCACTCCTCCTGCCATTCATGCTTAGCTACTGCCTGAAGAAATGAGGAACTTGCTGACCCGATTGGAGATGTCAAAGGCAACCGGTGCTCCCCTGTCGGTGCTGCTCTCGGTGGCGCTGCTTGGAGAAGGACACGCCGAGTCGCCGTGGGTCCACAGCGGGTCCGACTCGTCACCGCTCACGGTCCCTTCTGCATTGTTTCCCGTCCTGATGACACTTGTACTGGAAAAAAAAAGACACGACAGCCTTTTCTTGCAATGACATGTGTAGGCATGAAAAGACGTGTACTGTACAATGTAGAGAGCACACAGTATGAAACGTGACATTTGAAAGGGGATGGCGATATTTAAGGGAACCTGAAACGGCTTTTAACAGTAAAGCTCTATAAGCCGTAAAACTGTAAAACCTTTGGTGTGCACAAATGTGTAGAAAAAGCTACCACCATAAACAGGTGTTTGCACCAGAAATCGGGCCAATCCCACTACGTTTCAACCTTTGTCCACTAATAATGAAGAAGGCAACATGCGCACGGCAAACAACTAATAAGGATTTCTACAGAGGTGTAACCAGCTATTGAGAGAAGCCTTAATAAAGCATCGAGGCTCATCGAGAGATAAACACTGTGGCCACATGTTCCAGCTTCGCTGCAGCATCTGTTCAGAGTGCTTCAATAGAATTATATGAGCTCTCAAAATTTTCGAAGCATGAAGCGCAACATCAATCACAAGGCCATACACACGAGGCCAAAAAGCACCGAAAATAGACAAGACCACATATGTAGTATACTATGCTTTCGGTAGCTGCAGTACACCAGTGCCCTGCAGTCATTTTAAACATGAAGCTCTGTAGTCATTTATATAACACATATTTTGTCTCACTCACTGTGTGACAGCTTTCGCGACTTTGCTGTGTTTTTTCAATTCTCTTTCCAAAACTAAAAGCAAGGAAATGCTCAAAAGAGTCCTAGGTGGCGATGAAAGTAAGGCAGCGGACAAAATATCAGAGAATAAAAAAATCATTTCGACTTTTTTGTCACACACACCCACTGCACAAAGCTGTTGAAGACAACATTGTTAACAGAAACAAATGCCAACCAGCCAATTGCATTGCTACAAGGATATTATTTCGATATTATTTTTTCCCAGATGTCACAGAAATATGTAGGAAATTAAGAAATGCTACCGTTGTTCTATAAAGTGTCACCGACTTTTGAAAATGCTGATAAAGAGCATATACGAGAGCGTTCAATTTGAACTTTTCACTGCAAAGCGACATAAGACACTTCATATTCATTCTGCATATACTGAAAAATGTCAGTAAATTTAAACTGTTCTGGAAAGGATATATCTCATCTTAATGCAAAGTGTCAAGTATTAGGTAACTTAATGTACCCTGTACCTTTTTTATGCATGTAACTGAACTGTCTTCTCTGTTATGACTCTCTATGAAGGTTGACAGTGTTAATAAATACGAAAATTATATCCCCATAACAATGTAACGACACGAGAAGATTACACCAACATTACAAAAATTGCAAATGTAGATGTATCATAGAAAAACTCCGGATGCACGCCGAGCTGTCGGGAGAAAGATGCGCATTGGCCAACTTACGCAAACCGCTCACAGAGCTGACCGGGATCGGTCGGAACTCACCGAGACTGCGGCGAATCACCGTAGCGACTGCCAATCAGCTCGGAATGCACCAGGTTGGGGGCACTGATGCTGCGCGGGGGAGCCTGCATGCCGAAACGGTGCGGCTGTCTGAGCACCAGTGGAAGGCAAGCTGAACCGGTACATCGATACGCTCTCGTGACGGCAATCTTTACCTGTTCTGCCGTTTCAATTTTACATCCGCTTAGTTATATTCGACCTAATCTATAGGTAGGCGAACTCGCACATTAGTCGAGTCATGAGTCGACTCACTCAGACTTGAATTGAGCCGTGAGTCTGAGCCCCCGTATTCACAAACGCTCCTTGACTCGACTTTGACCCTTCACTTGATGAAGTTGCACACTGCACCGCTTCTCGGCTGAAAATGACGCTGCGCAACTCGAGAATAGCAGCAAATTATCACTAATATGCAGTGACTTTCCCTGCCTAGAGATGGCGCTCCCATCGGCTTTTTCAAGTGAAGGTGGAGCGTTGAGTGAAGGGGCGTTCTAGAATACAGGGGTAAGTTTGAGTAAGTCCGGGTGAGTAACGTTTTGGCGAGTTTAAATCCGAGTGAGTTCAGTTGAAGAAAAATTTTCGGGAGTGTGAGTCCGAGCGAGTTCGACTAAGAGAAAACTTTGCCTAGTCTGAGTCCGAGTGAGTCCAAAGTGCAAAACGTATTTCTTGAGTGAGTCTGAGTCAGTTCCACTTTTCTCTATCGACTTATGGCCTTATCTAAAGAAGGTGCTCTGAAGTCTTCCATGAAAGTCTCCAATAAAAGGTGACACAGTTTCTTGTATATCACATACCGTATGTAATAATGGGTGCTTTTAATGATAATGAGCACCTCTGATGAGCCGTATGTAATCAATGAATGACTTCACAGTAAAACAACAGCTTTCGATGGTTTCAGGTGTGGCTGCGTGGCAGATGTTAAATGGCAGTGACGTTAACGTAATTTCTTCGTAAACATTTGGCGCAGGTATCAGAGCTTTAGAATTAGGCTCTTGCGATTAAGGCAAAAACTAAGGCACACTTCGGGCTACCACGTGCCAGAAGAAGTTGCTTAAGCCTCGCGTGTTCCATATTTTAATTAATTATTGAATTATTTGCTCTCAGTTTTTGTGCATTATCGGTGGAAGGGGCTTAACACTGGCCACTATGAAATAAAGGACACTAGACACAACAGTAACAAGTAAAATTGAAAATAATCAATAAAATTACGTAAAAAATGTTCACTTTAAAAAATATAACACCGATAAATGTAAAAATATTGACAATGAACGTAACATTCTAAATTCACATTTTTATTGCTAACACTGCATTCCTCAGCCTCTTCTGTCCACTTTCTGTAGTGAACCACAGAGATGTACATGGCGTCTGATAATTTCTCGAAGCATTTAATTAACAAACATAGTTGCAAAATACCGGCACCAGTCATTGCTCACCACAGCTAGCTAATAATATTGGCTAACTTTGACAGTCTACTCTTACACCAACACCTACTTTTCCTTCTGTAAATGAATACAGGCAGATATGTGGTACAATAGTAACTGAATACGTTGGTGAATAAATACAGCCTGAAATATTCATTATGAAGTATGCCAGGTACACTCAAATCTCTTTATAACAAAGCTTCATCTTACACAAAAATAAGTTTGTTATACCCAAACTTTGTTATAAAGGTATGTTCTGAACACTACCTATATTACAAGACTGTTGTTAATTTACTTCATTATAATCAATATTTCGTTATAATCGGGTTTTTTATATCGAGGTTTGAGTGTAACACAGTCGCCGACCCTTTATTTTGATGCTGAAATTTCGGACATGCCCGTTTATTCGGACAACTTCTCGGCACCAGCACTTGACCAATTGAAGCAATGTAAACAAGCAAACGAAAATTCGGATGCCCCACAGTGCACCATTTGATTTTTTGAACTCTGGCTGGTTGATAGTGCGATGTCAAATGCTTTCCAGCACCGAAGGGCTGGGCGGTCGCATCCCACTGGCTGTGGCCAGAGATCATGACAGCATAAAAGTCAATGCAGAAATAACAATTGTCCATCTCGAAGGCTATGTGTTGCATGAAAGGCCATTTTTCGTCTTTAGCCAACTGTGTATCCACGGAATGACTACCACGGCCAAACTTCAAGCCAAGCCTTAATCAGAATCGGCTCATTGTGACGTTCAAGTGGCCCCACATACGAAATGGACAGAGAAAGGTCAGAATCATGAGCGCTGCTGTATGAACTAGCCTCACATCGCTGCCTTCTGGCATTTGAGTTTGTTTGTGGGTTGTTTCTGGGGCTAGGCTTGATCGACTGTTATGACTCCTCTATCTGCGCCGTCGACACTAATGATGAAACTACAATACACTGGCGATTGTGAGAACAGCCGCCAGATCGAAAGCAGCCAGATTCAATTCGACATTGCTCTGGAAATTTCGTCAAGTTGGGCGATGAACAGATCGTCTTGTCAGGTCATCGAACCAGTTCAGGTGAACAGTGGCTGCGGTGAAGTGTCACCCACACCACTGTTATCAAATGCAGATTTGGCGTAGGCCGTAACAGCGCTACAGCCCAAACACTGGCTGAAGTACTGGCCGAGTCGATTGTCTGTGATCGTGATTGAGGGCAGGTGTGCATTGACAAGCTTTTTTGGTCCCTGGGCCAATGAAGATGCTAGTTTTTTTTTCTGGTGAATTCCTTTTCTCAGATTCTCCATTATTGGCACTTTTGGGCGGTTCCTGCAGAGTCTGAATAAGCCGTAGGTGACCGCACGGTAGTCTACGGTACATGTGATGATAATAACTCAAACCTCGATACAATAAGCTCTGATATAACGAAATACCAGTTATAATAAAGTAAACAAAGCATATTATAGCAATAGATACAGTGTTTGAAATATACTTTTATACCAAATTTTTGGGTACAACGAACTTGTTTTTGTGTAAGACGCAACTTTGTTATAATGAGGTTTGGGCGTAACATGCCTGGTAGTGTGTTGCCCTGCAAGGCTAATGCTAACTTTGTTTTTTCAATACAATGCTTGTCAGTCTAACAGCTTCCTTTTAGAACCAGGATGTGCACATGCAACGTAGCGTACATTCGTCGATTTGCTGTCCACAATGACGACTCCGTGGGGGTCGACCGTCACCCCACCCAGGTTGCTCGACGGCGCGGACGTTGCACTTTTCGCCGACAGCTGCGACTGGTAGCAAGTTGACGCGTTGCTGTCGGTCCTGCGACAAAATGTTTTGTCTGCAGTTCGCCAAATGTGCTGACATTCAGAGAGTAAACCCGTGGCCAAAAGTAATGATTGGATTGATATGTGGGGTTTAACGTCCCAAACCTACCATATGATTATGAGAGATGTTGTAGAGGAGGACTCTAGAAATTCACTCAAATCTGAGCACACGGACCTACAGCACTTTTGCTTATGGGCCTACAGCATTTTCGCCTCCCTCAAAAATGCAGCCACTGCAGCCGGGATTTGATCTTGGGACCTACAGGTCTGCAGCCGAGTACCTTAGCCACTAGACCACTGCGGCGGGGCCCGTGAGCAAAAGTATATAAACCACGAGAGCGCATGCTGAAACTGTCATTCGCATCATCTACACTCATACCTCATTACAACAAAGTTGCATCTTACAAAAAAAAAAGTTTGTTACATCTGATATTTATTACAAAGGTTTATTATAATTGCAAGACCATCCTTCATTTACTTCATTATAATTGGTATTTCGTTACATCTGGGTTTGTTATATCGAGGTTTGAGTGTAGTACAAGCCTTCTGTTGTTGAGAGCACTGGTCTGGTAAACGTGTGGCCAGAGCTTGCTGTCAACGGCAGACGGCTCACTACTAGACGGCGATAATGGTGATTTCAGCATGTGGCTTCCATGGTCCACATACTTTTGCTCAAGGGTGTAAAACTTAAGTGCTTGCGATATCAGAAGTCATCTCCACGATTTATGCATGCAAACGTTGAGTGTGACACAAACGAGCCTATCTAAGAGGATATATATCACAGTGTTTTCAAATAAACCATTTGAATATTGCCCCGTGTGTGTGTCTTGTCTTCTGTATTTGTTTAGGTCATCTAAAGTGCATAATAAAAGTTTATCCAATCTAATCTAAAGTGCATGCCCATTATCATTACTTTTGTGCTTCGCCTTCAAAATCATAGAAGTGCACTCGAATTTGGTTAAAGAAATACTGAACGAATTTTGGGAAAACCAACGAAATTTATAAATTCTACTTGGAAAATGCGCACGTTCCGACAAAACAGAGACAATTTCGCGTATTTCCGAACAGCTGGCTTTCTTTCTGATGGATTATCAGCACGCGAGTGCGGGCGATGATGTCACAATCTTAGAGGGCGCGCGTGTTCTCGTCCTCTTCTTTTCTCCACCTCTTCGTTCATCCCACTCTCCCCTTTCCACAAAAATGCTGATGATTTACCCCATCCGGGAGCATTGTTTGCAACCTGAACTGACGGGGCAGCTGAGCAGCTAAGACACAGGTGACAACTAGTATTGTTGGCTTGCCCGTTCCGGGCCTATGTGACGATGCTTCCTATAGTTTACGAAGGCGCTGCTAGATGCGGCTGTTTGTGAAAAACTCACTAACTTCATTATTTTCCTGCAGTTTTTGCCTGGAATAAGAGGTTGTCTCTATCGATTTGATGACCTGGTCTTTCAATATGGATGAAAATCTTGGCACAAAAAAATTTGGTTCAGTACCCTTTTTACTTTGGTTTTATCAGTGCCATCTTGCATTTCAGGTATGTATAACTACTATATGTATATAGTCCAGCAATATGCTAGGCACATGTTGCTCACCTGTGCCTGTCACTGAGCAAGGAGACGTGGCAGTTCCAGCCAGATTCGAGGCCCATCTTCTCAGAGAAGCCCTGCGGCAATCGTTGAGGAACTTTTAGAAAAGACAGAAGTGAAAAAGGCAAGTGTAACGAAAGAGTTGACCACCGAGTTAATGTAAAGCTATTAGAAGGCAAAGAATGGAAGAGAAACAAGCGTGCTTAATCATTAGTGACAAATAAGTGACAACAACAACGATGCCAAAAGAAGCGAATGGTTCTTTTGCATTGGGCAGTGCGTCCAGTTGTGTTCTTTCATTATTCAAGGTACAGATAAACCGGTTGACTCTATCTTCACCTCTATTGCTTTTCAAGATTATTTTTCTGTACTTTTACATGAGATTGTATGACCAAGGCTGCCAGTAAAGTTTCTGACAAGTTCCATATTCCTAACAGTAAAAAAGAAGCAAAAAATTTGAAGAAAACTAAAGTTGCCACTAGTGTGGGTCAAAACAAACATCTACAATGCTCGCAGCGCTCCGGCAGCTGGGTTAATAAAGTAACAGAAAAGATTAGAATAAAAAGTACAGCAACAACGCTGATAACAACAACACAAACAGCGACATTGACAACAAAGGCTGCTATGCACCTACCCGACTGCGGAGTTCATTCTCCTTGGAGAAATGCACAAATCGGATGCAGGCATCCTCGAGCTGCTCCACGAGTTTCACGAAGTCCTGCACCAAGACCGCGGAATAAATTTCTTAAAGAAAAAATGACAAAATTATAGACAGAAAGCACAGAGGAATGCATCGAAGAAACTACTGTCTTTTTACAGCATTCAAACCATAATAAAATGGCGAAATTCAAAACAACAAGATTTAAGTTATAGTAGATTGTAATCTAGTAAAAACCATACAAAGCAAATGTCCTCCACTGTAACAAGGGTAGTGATTTGTGATCTGGCTCGAACAGCCATTGTTCCGACCACAGAGCTTCTCTAATGACACAAAAGTGCCCAAGACTTCAACTCCTATTATAGTTCTGAGCATGAGCACTTCATTCTTCAAGACAGATTGAGCATCAAACTTGCGACCGGCTCAGCAGTTCATTGCAGTTCATTAGAGTAGCTCACAATTCAATCGCTAATACACTCAACCTGCTGCTTCTCGAAACTGCCGAAACAAAAAGTACAGTGGACTCCCATTAAACAAAATTCAGTTAAACAGAGAAGCTGCATAAACGAAACTATCCAGGCAAATTTGGTTGGTCTCCTATATAGTTAATGATAAAAAGTTTCGGGTAATCGGAATATTTTTTTTTCACTTACGTCGGTTAAATGAAACTAAAACAGGTAAAATCCATGAATGGGGTAGAAGTGGCCACAACAGTCTAGCCACCATGAAACAAATGCCAATGTTAGCCTAGCTTAACCAAGCCAATCCAGCGATTGCACATGGCCGCGCACGCCGAGCAGCGATCGACGTCTTGTCGTGAACTTGAGCAACCTATAGCCTTGAGCAACCTATAGCTGAAGCTCAAGATGAGGACCTGTGCTCAAGTAGTGATGAGATAATGTGTGATCCCGAGTTCATTTCAGTGGCTGACAGGGCAGCAAGATATGCTGTCATCCTGTTGCAGCGCTACTTTGAACACAATGGTGGCACAGAGTTCTTGCCCAGCCTTTCGGCAATGCACTTCTATGTGAGAAAGTGCTTGAAGAAGGCCGAGCAAATTGTTATCCCCTCCTTTTTTCCGAGTCAGCAATAATAGCAATATTTTTTTCTAATCAACTATAGTAGTGTTGCATACTTCAAAAATCTTTATGTTCAGTCAGCGACAGCTGGTGCTTTTGAAATAAAGTCATATTTCATTCGTTCTGTGGGCTTTGCTTAAATGAAACTTCTCATAAATGAAACAAGTTTTCTTGCCCCTTCGAGTTCCGTTTAAGAGGAGTTTACTGTAGCTTACTACCAACTCTAGTAGTTACTTCTATTTTGTAATCACGAAAATTAGAAAAAAAATGAACTAGGGACTGTAGTGAAGAAGAGGGGCCTCAGCGGCATTTCTCGGCGCCTCAGGGGCATCGCCATCAGCATAAGCTCGTGCTTGCTGTGCTTGGCCGGACGCTGCTGACTGCTTCGCTTTCTGCGTTCTGCTCTGCAAATAAACCCCTTTACAGGGACAAACAAAGGAAGTGAATATGAAGACATTGTATCTTCTCGCATATAACCTGTACTCAAAAACTGAAAAATGTGCCTAAAAAGTGGTGGTCATATGCAAGTTATGCTAGCGTGCATCTAGACTTTGAGTATGCGTGACGAAGCACGATGACTCTTTCCTCTTGTTATCCCGTGTTTCAGCGTGTTAGCAGACTACAGTGCTGTAGCAACCCGTGGTGGTATTATTGAGTTTCCTAATATACACTAGATGGAACTCTGGCGGTGGTGTCCATGGGAGCTGCGACGCACGGCACTTCAGCGAGCATGGGAATGATGGGTGGTACACGGACTTGTGTAAGCTTCGTCCCTTCAGCTTTGTCGCGAGACGACGTTCAGATGTCGCAGGGTGTCTAGCAGTTGCCATTCACCGACGTAACCTTTGTAGGCTCACGGATTCAAATTGTCTCACGAACTTAGCAACGATTCGTTCTTTCATCCAAAACACACGCCAGAAGACAACAATAAACAAAGCCACAGGTGTGTTTCAAGCCCGCAAGATAGAAGATTTGACAAATCCGTGCACTTAGAATTCCCAGGGTGGCTGAACGATCGCAACGCCGAAGTTCGCTCCAGCAAATACACTCAAACCTCATCTCAAACAAAGTTGCACCTTACATGAAAATAAGTTCGTTATATGAGAAAAAGTATATTCCTAATACTCTACCTATCGCAAGTCATTTACTTCGTTGTAACCAGCGTTTCAATATATCCTGGTTCATTACAATGAGGTTCAACTGCATCTCAGAAAACTTCATGGGTGGCACCCTGTGCTAAGAAGCACATCTGATTTATACACCACACTTGGTTTATGCTGGCTATTGGCCAATAAAATGCTTCCCGCTGTCCAACTTCAACTTCAGACAGTGGGTGACTGCAGCTCCGAAGCAAGTGAGGACAAGCCTCCACACGAAAAATGGGGGGCTGAGAAAATGGCAACATTGAGCTCTGCTTGTAAGCTCTCCCTGCCGTGCTAGACAGCAGTATTTGGCTCAGATGTTCACAGCAGTGTCTGGCATGTCCACAGGATGGTTTACGACCTCCCTATTAAACTGGCGGGTGTACAAGAGACAGAAACAATGAAACAACAGCCATTACCCTCGTAGAAATATAATCACACAAATGACACCGCTGCTATGCAAAAAGTAAGCTTGCTAATAGAAGCACTCTTCCATAAATGTTTGAAGGACGAGTGTTTGTGCTCATTTGAGACAATTGGCGGGCACTGACCGGGCATGCCTGGTACTGCATGGTGACCATGCCGATGAACACCTGGTTCCGGAGCCGCTCCACGGTGGCGTCCAGGGCCTGCTCCCGGCCGGCCGGGTCCATTGCCATCGTCTCCTCCTCGTGGCTCACCGAGTCCGTGCTCAGGTGGTGGCTCTGCGTCTTGTCATCCGAAGCGACGCCCAGGGTGAGCGCCGCCCCGCCCACCTTCTTGCCGGACGAACGAAACAGGTGACTGCTGCAGGGCGTGAGAGCACAAGACACCAGTGCAGTCAGGTCAGGTCAGCTTATTTCCTCAAGGACCCCTTCATTAGGCATATGAAAGGAGGGGCCTTCTTTGGAAGGCTTGCTTTTTTTAGATATGCCAAGTAATGACATGAGCTCAACTTGTATCAGCAACAAGTAGTCTTCTATGAGCGGCAGCTCCGCAACCATATACCTCATGTCAAGAGGCGCTCGCATGAGATAAGTGCCATTTTTTAGCTCTTAATCAAGGCACAGCATAGCATCTGCTACTTGCTTCTCTGTTAAGACACAACAAATGAAAAGAACAGACAGTTATGCCATCATATTCATAAAGCACATCATTTGTTGTTTTTGACTACAGTGTAATGATTATGACATAAATTGAACAAAAATTAAAAAGCGCAAAGAAGCACCCTTCCCAGTAGTAAAATACAAACCCACAAAATTGAAATTGCGTGTCCGATGCTCTAGCAATTACAAGTGATTATCTTATAATCATTCTAGTGTAGTTAAAAACAACAAATGATGTGTGCTATACATTCTTTGGCTTAATGGTCGGTTGGTTTCATTGGTTTTGTCTAGTCTTTGCCATCCTAGGAAAGCTGTTAAATAAAATAATTTAATATTTGAGCACAATGCACAACAAAAAAAGATATGGACAAGAGAAAAGACACACCCAGCACAAGCTTTCACCTGAACTTATTATGCCACTGAACCTGTTTATACAGTTAAACCTAGATTTAACGAAATGAACAAATTCCCGGAAAAATTCACTATAAAAACGATTTCGTTACATTGCAGGTTCAGTATGATAAAACAAAAAATGAACATACAAATTAAACAAAAGGCGGGCTGAAGGCGGCACTAACTCAAAACACTTATTTAGTGGTAAAAAAGTGCGTTATTATTGCGAGAGCAATCATATGCACACACTGAGCAGGTTCTTGCTGTCCTTGCTATGTGCCGTAAAAAGTTCAGATTGATAACATGCCTACAGGCATTGTAACCCTTACGAGCGAGTGAAAGGGCGTGAGCGCTGCTGAGGCAGAGATCAAATGAGCCGGCACATCTCTACTGCCAGGAGGGTGCATGTGATATAACATTTCCCCGCGTGTTAGAACTGCCGTTGAATGCTAAAACAGAAAGGAAACCACCCGTATTGAACGAGCATGAAAAAAGCGTGGAGGGGGGAGGGGGGGGAGAGGTGTCGCTCGAGTAGAAACAATGAATTTTGATTTCAAGGGCGCAGCTCACTGGTGCGCGTGCTATCTTGACAAGCATCAGTGCAAAGAGACTGTGTGAAGAGACTGTGTGAAAAGAGCCCTTCTCCCAGGACAGCCATATTTGCTTACACCAACGTTTTGTAGAATTTCCGCGATATCGGATCCAGAAGAGTTTGCTGGCAGCCTTACTTCTGTGAAGCTAGCATATAGTATAACATATAATATAAAATATTGTGAACATATATTCACATAACAATACAGTTTATAGCAACTGCATTCATTGCATTGCATTCGACGCACCGTCTCGTTGCTGCCAAAGCTAATCGGCTAATTGCGAAGACTATGGTCCCGCGAATTCGCGTCGTGGCGCAAGACACAAGCGCATGACGAGTCGACCTCCGAAGATCAGTTGTCCCTCTAGTCCCGAAGAGTTTCCCATCAGCGCCTAATCTGACATACCCTCGGTAGTAATGACATTGTTGTCCGCATATAAAAAAAGAAAGAAAAAAAAATCAATGCTAAACGTCGTTGGAGGCTGTACCATGTGCACGCACAAAACTATACACATGCGTATTGCTTCGAAAAAGAAGATAGAACAACACGGAAACCGCGGAAAACTTTTCAGTAGCCTCAAGAAAAATAGTTACAGACACCTTTAAAGAGCAGCTCGCATGGCCAGTGACACAAGGTGATTTTGAGAGATGACCGGGCGCCAACACGCGCTGTAGTGTGCAGTAACGTGAATGCTGCTGCAAAGCTGCTTGAAAGAAAACCCTAGTCAGGAAAAAATCTTAAGTGTGAAAAATGACTGGCGTTCGTTGAACTGACGTTCCACCTACGCGTTTCACAAACGCGCAACCAACAGCGTGCCTGAAGCAGCTATCTGTGTCGCTCTATTGACAACATGTTGCGAACGTCACTCTCGCTGGTTCTGGCAGTACAGTCACTAGCACCACTGCAAAATGCCCACACGCAACGTGTGGTAGCGTTCCTCTAATGGCAAATCTGGAGACGTCCCAGGCATAGTACTTTTTTTAGGAGGTGTTGACACAGTATAGACTGCACACAGGCACACAGGGAATGAAACAACAGTTAGAAGTTAGAAGAAGCCACTGTCAGAAAGACAAGTTCTTTGCTAGTGCAGGTCAATGAAAATGGACTGATGCACTTATCACCCATATTGCGGTTGCCTCCGCCTCAGTGACATTGTGAATCAGTCGTGCCCTGCCACAATCCCGAAACTGAACCACTAAGTGTACCTGTCGGGTGGAAGTTGGAGGTAGCTGCCTTCGAGAGCCGGGTTGAGGAGCAGCGAAGGCAGGAGTGGAGCGTAGGCAAACGCCAAGCAGTAGGATGTCAGGCTGGACCGCTGGTAGAAGTCCAGGATCCTCTTGCGGTCCGAGTCGCTCAGCGGACACAGGTCCCGGCCGTCCCAGTACTCGGAGCACATGTCCAGGACGAGGTCTGCCGTGCCTTGGGTGAACATCTGCAGAGTTCCTGACAGGGCCTGCAGTTCAAAGTTGAACCTGACTAGATGGAGTGAAGTGACAAACCAAAAGTGATCCAGGCTTGCAGAAAAAAATGCGCTTCACTCTGAATTACTTTGCAAAGACAACATTCAGCAAAATAGAACGTTTGGCGAGTCAAATATGATTCATGATGTAAAGAGGCCAGAATGGTACGGTTACACAGCATTAAACAATTAGTGCATTGTTGTATAATTTCTGTTCTGTGTAGTTACCTTGCTCACACATTTTTTACGTAGTATGGACATTGCTACATGCTGTAATACAGAAAAGGGAGAGTATTTATAGATTGTGTATCTAGAAGTTTAGGAAATGTTGGGATACAGACCAGCTGACACTCACAGCCCAGGCACGACACATTGTTTTCGACTCTTGCTCAGCCCGTCTTCAAAGCAAATGTTGTATCGCAAAACCGTGATCAATGGCAAATGCAATCAATGTCTGCAAAAGTTTTGGTGCTGTCAGTTGGCTATTACTCGTCATTCTAAACTCTTCTTTAGAATTTTGGCTATCGGCTGACACCAGCTGCATATTCATATGTCAAATAAACAACTGAAAATTAAAAGCAATGTGAAACAAGTGATCGACTTGAAAGTACACACATGTAGTCACAGACATGTTAGAACGACACTAAAAGCGAAGATTAAATTAAATAGACATCAAAGAGACTAATTAAAGAGACATTTTGGTACACAAGCACAAATTAAGAAAACACAGACCTCACCTCAAGAACTGACAGCCCTTTTCTACGCTTTATTCAGGTAATTTCATAGAGGATTTTATTTTAAGCTCACATAGCGTGAATGATCGTGCCGTTCAATGCATTAAAGAAACTGTATTGCACAGGGCATATTTTACCACTCCTCGCAGCAATCGGATTCGGGACGAGAGAAATGCGGTACCGACGATGTACGACGAAAGAGCTTGCTGTGACGGTTCACCCACCTCTTTGACGACTGCACAGCACATGCTGGGAAACGGCATCTTGAGGCGTGGAAAGTTGAGCGACCGGGCCAGCCTTCCTTTCTGGACCACTTCAGGTTGCTGCGGTAATGACAACAACAACTAAGAAAAAAAGTGGAAAGGATTCACAGCGCACTTCCTCCCTTACGGAAAATGAGCGAGTTTGGAAGCGGCTATCACGATTGCACAATCCTCTTCACTTCCACAACCATTTTGGACAAGCGCAGCTCGTCTTTGCCAGACTGCGTCCAAACCGCTTTTAAAAAGTCTGGCTCGACCACTTGAGATAATACCTCCCCATGAGCGGTTTGAACAAGATTCAGTCATTTCTGAGCTGCTGCTTGTGTCGCTTTAAAGATGGCAACAATTTTTAGAGATTTTTTAAAAATTACCATTTAACATTCTTTCGCTAGTTGTGTTTAGAAAATGTTTAATGAAGGCGGCACACGGCTCGTGCGTCATCGCGGACAAAAGTCTGTCGTCAATGTATAGGTCTTCGGGTAATAATTATTTAAATACCGAAGCTTTTTTATGACTTTGCATTGCATGTTATATTCCCCAGTTTTTCGACAGTGACATCATTCAACGAAGCGTAAAAGACACTGATAGGCTATGAAAAAATACACTTCAATATGCTAATGCGATTTATTATATGCTTCGATGTTTCTTCGTCAATCAAACATGCTTCTTTTTGATTAAGACAGGAAATGTGTCAGGAAAAAAAAAAAAGGCTAAAGGGTTAATGAGTATGCAACTACTGGAACTTTGATGCAGAGTCTTTTTCGAGATGATGCCATGATTAAGTTGTGGCCTGCTTCTCGACAAAAGCTGATGATGACGCGTGGTGTCTAACTTTGACGTACAGTACTAAAGCTGAGCTGTCATGACATCAGATAGCATAGGCCTGTATAGGACAGTATACCTTCAAGTCAATGGCCTACTAACTGCATTAGAAGAACTACGACACTCAAACCTCACTATAACGAAGTCAGATCTGCCACATGAATTTTTTTGTTATATCACAAATTCTTCATAAATATACATCCTCAACACTGTACCTACTGTAAAACTATTCTTCACTTACTTGGTTATAACCGATAATTTATTATATCAAGGTTTGCATGTATGTTGCAGAAGCGAGGGCACGCCAACACGCTGTTCAATGCAACTCAAGGAGTGTGCGTCCACTTGCTGCAACAACTTTCATGACGTCACAGAACAAACGAAGGGCTACTAACATTAACTATAACCACACTATACAGGTGGCTGAAAACATGTGAGCATAAGAAAAAATATTGCCTCTGTACTAGTTTACCAAAAAGCACTGAAAACTTGAAAGTAAAGTTCCAAAGCGCATTAAGGTTATAATGTGCGGCTCGTGAGAATTTCAAATTGATTTTAAGGGGGAACGTGGCAATGGGAATACATAGTAGATTCAGTCAAAATGTTCAATTTTTAAATATTCTTTCTTCAATCCTCAGACTATCTTTCGCATCATGGTGAAATACTATTGAGCTGCAGAAGCTGAGAAAAAAGTACTTTACAAGCGTGCCGTCATCAAACACTATGAGAAAGTCGGGTGTTAAAGAATGCAGATCTTGCAGCTTTTGCTCTGAACAGAAATGCTGCTTCGGCCACATCACAAAGAAGAGAAACCAGAGCTCAGGATAGCCACAATACTGCATTTCTACAACGAAAAGTGAAAGCAGCATCCTTTTGAGTTCCATTTTTTTATTTAAGCTGTGAGCTCCATTTTCCTTGAGCTTCGTTTTCTCCACTTTTATTTTTTGCACTTCCATACTGAAACATCAGTGAGTATTGTAAAGCAGTCGATATTTGTCTGCATTCCATACGGATTTTTGTAACTTGTTTTCGGTAAAAGTTGTGTTAGTAAGACTATATGCACAAGGCACTTCAAAAATGTTTTGTGTGCTTATATGGACATTTAAAACAATAGCTTGATTGCACGGAATGTGTCCTTGTGAAAAATGTGAATGTCTAACATGCAAAAATCTTGACGAACTTATGTCTAATTTATTGCTTAACTTTAGGATGGCAAAGTGCTGTAACTAAAAAACTGCAACAAATAGCTCAGTACCAATTTCTGTAATGATGCCAGCATAGCAAATTATATCTGCACGTCAAATTTGATCACTTCACCCTAAAAAAAAAAAAACAAAAATTTTTTGCCCTCAGTTACTTGCGATGACACATAAATATAAACACATGGGACATTTTTAATTGCCTTCCACTGAAAGTTGCTGCTATACACAGGAATTGAACCCGCGACCTTGTGAAAGGAAGCCGGATGGCACTAGGCGATTCTTCAAGTACGCATAGGGGTTAACTTTCAACAATGCACTTGTCCCTTTTAAACAGAAAGAAATGTCGATAGCCTGGTGCCCAGTTCAATGACAGTATATGACCTGCAAGACAAAGCTGCAAATCAGAAAAGTATCAACAAAAGACAGAAATGGCTGGCCGGCCAGACTGACCACATGCCTGAAGAGCGCCACGTGTTGCAGGTGCTGGTACGCCTCGACTGCTCGATCCGTGAAACCCATCTGGACGGCCAGGTCGCAGAGGCACCTGGTGGCGAGACCGGAAACTAACATTCAAAGAGTGAAGCAGGCAACTTATTTTCAGCAAGGAACCACCTTATTTTTGCAACTTTCGTCCCTGCTTATCATTTGTTTCTTTTCTAAAGGAGTCCTGATTCATTGTTTCAGGCAATCATCCAATGAACAACTTCGTATCAGGGTTTGTTAAGGCAAATGCGTCGGATGCCTTATCAAACGTGAAATTCGACCGCCGGGGTCCTGCATTGGCGGTGTCCTGCGTCCTGCGGTATTAGGGTGCAATTCACATTGCATCATAGCTCGGTCAAAGGTGGTCGTCCGAACCCCGAGGCAATGCAAAACCAGGTGGGGTAACTGCGATCTTGCAGGGAGTGCGAAACCATGATTGTCTTAAAGGGACACTGAAGGCAAAGGACAATCCATGTTTGAAAGCTCAAGCTATGACGTCTAAAACGGCACTATTATTAACAGCAGTGCCTTACTTACCAAGAAATTAAACTAAATGTACCACACGACGTGTGTAATGAGTGAGACATTTGCAAAATGATCCTGATGACGGGAGAGTGTCCGCCCAAAATTAATCACTAAAAATCAAACTAGTTGAAATAACGAAAGAAGTTTCCGTGCATCAAGAGGCATGATAAAATGCTGATTGTCCCTTTATGTTTGATCTATAGAAAGAAGAACTGCCTGGCGTTACTATGGGGAATGGTGCGAGCAGTTCAAAAACGTTCAGTTTCTGGCTGACCCGGCTGAATAGGTGGTGCCATCTAGCGGGGCCCAGTTGAACAAAGCAAGCAAGAGCATGGCCTCCGAGATTTCAGAAAATAGTTCAATGGCCGTTGTTGCTACTATGGCTCCCGCTACTTTCGCTCGGCTGCTACGGGTGCCGGCGGCCACATATTAAAGGTAGGCAGCGTTGGGCATGGTAACAGTGACGTCCAAGAATACACATTCAAGGGTGGGCGATTTGAAGTGTGCTAATTTTATGTAGACCATTAAAAAATGATTTCATTTCAAAATACGCACTCCCTTAGCACAAAAGTTGCACTAACAGATTTCTAGACTGCTAATTCAACAATCAATGTAGGCTTAATATTCGCCTTTAGTGTCCCTTTAGGTGAACGCATGAGGGACCCTGTGGTGCAAAAATTTTTCAAATACTGACATCGACAGTTGCAGGAAGTCAGGCTACAGTACTAATGCTGGTTAAGATGACTTACAGTAACAAAACTTCCAAAATAGCCGCTGGTCCGCCCCTTACGAAGCCAAAGAGCACCTTGCAGATACAGTAAGAACTGAAAGTAGCCTTCAAAAATGTGGTGTAATTACTTTTTCAGGTGCACTCATGCTTAACAGTGCATTTTTTAGGCTCTGCAATGCTTGGCCTTTCATTTGACGCAAATAAACAGTAAAAGTGCATTTTTTAGGCTCTGCAATGCTTGGCCTTTCATTTGACGCAAATAAACTACATCTGAAAACATTCATGGCAGTACACCTTTAAAAGGACCCCTTTTAATCAAGTATGGCTGTTGAGCTAACTAATCTGATGATGAACTAGTAGAAACAGCTGTTAGTCGTAAAAACTTGTGGCTCGCCAAAACTGCAGTCTATTACACCAAAAACTAGGTTTGTGATGCAAAGTAGCTGGCTGCGAATGAGGTGTCGCGGGTGACAGCGGGGTACCTACCACAGCCACTGAATGAAAAAGCACACAGTATGGCCCGTCGCGTTGAACGGCTTTCAATGGGAGAGCGGGTGTCAGCCGTAGTTTCAGTTGCGACCGCTGCAGCGCGACGGGGCGAAGACAAGAGGGACGGGGCAACGAGTGGCGGCGGCTCCCTAGGGGCAACAACCGCACCAGATTGGCTGGTGGTTGTCACAACAGTGACCCACTCAGTTGTTCTAATCAGCGTTTTTTTAATGTCATTTATCACAGTGATGACATATCGCGTATTTAATAGAGTACATAGGCGCTATCTATATAAAAAGCCATTTGAATTTTTGTGTGCGTGCTGAGCACTTGAAGTTTTTTTTTCTAGAACCAACTTCTTGCTTTGAGGCTGAAAGAAAAATTTGAAATGCATTTAGCTGAGTTATATGGCACTGAATGTGTGACAAAGTTGTTGTTATATTTATGAAGATGTGGTAAACAAAAGTATTTATATTTGCGACGTTTATTCAGAACCTTTGCATTTTCTCAGCGAGAATGCTTGAACACTAACTTTTAGAAAACTTAACAATAGACGTTCATAGTTTTTATATGCTGAAAGCGCATCAAAGAAGCATAATTTGAATATTTTTCATGTTATCCGGTACATGGTAGTGTGCCGAAACGTAATTAGGCTTCAAATGATGGATAAAAATGGTTCCTCGCTCTCCTCGTAACTTTATTGAGGAGGCTGCGAAAGTATACATCATTAGAAGTGGCATTCAAATTTCTTGATAGTTATTACTAGGCAGAACAATATATATATATATATCCACGGCTGCTGTAGGGCTGTCGAGTACACATGGCTTCGTTAGAGCGAGCACAGGTGCCAATTTGTTGATGATACATAGTAGAACACATAAACAGTAATGAATGACAGAACCACATGACGGAGACTGCTAGAAGACAAGTGCGTTGGAGTGCTATTGAGATTTTCCAGTGCCCGTGGAGAGGCTAACATGAAAACACCGAAAGGATTGTTTTGCTGTCAATAGACACATACGCCAAAAGTTGGGCGCACAAGATGGAGGCAGAACAAAACAACAATAACAAATAGCGTGAAAAGTAGACAGGCACGAGTATAGCAGAGCGTTTATGCCATTTTTTTCTTTACCGCAGCTCTTTCCAAAACGACCCTCCAGACAGTCTCCCCGTAAGAGGCTCTCAACGTGTGTCGGCTGCTAGTATATATTTGTTTCAAATATAAACTCTTGTCACCCAGCAGCAGCTTCTCGGCACCTTTTTGTCTCCGCATGTTTTGCTGATGTAAGTTTGAGTCTGTGTGCCGTTTCCCAAATAACCACAGACAGCCGAACTTTTTAATGGAAGGGGTGCTCGGGCTGTTTTACGAAAGCGAACATCGGTTCCACATGGCCTTGCGGGAGAACGCACGACACCACAACGTGACAGCTTTCGGAAATAACCAGAACTAATGACAAAGGTGTCAAGGGCTTAAAGGCTTCAAACTTCAAACTTCGTTAGAAGAAAACCAGATATGCCAGGAATTAGAAAGAAAAGGAGAGATAAGAAAAAACGGGTAGGTGATGTCAAAACTCCTGGATGCAACAACGTTTGCAGCCCGCGGCTGTGGGTGTGTGAACGTAAACATATGCTTGTTGGCTGCAGAACGAGGCACCTTTTGTGTGCGTGCGTGTGTGTCACCAACTGATATGCCCACGAAGCTGTGACGTATTTGTCAGCTGGTTTATTATGCAAAGGTGTAAAGAAGTAAAAAAATAAAAAAAGCCAGCATCAGCCCTAAATTGAGAATTTAAAATATTTTCACATAATTTGTTGCGATTGTGTATTCACTGTTGAATGTAAGGTTGAATAAGTTGAATTATCATAAGAACGTCGTGACGGAAAGGGACGAAAACATTCAAAAGCACAGGAATGCAAACAGCTGTGTTTGCATTTTTCAGCCTTTCATCTCTCTTTTCGTCTCACAGTTTTCGTATTACTCACTTCATAACTACTAGCTCAATTGCCAGCACTGAAGTTGCAGTCGCTGAAATTTCAAAGAGGCCCGAGTCCACTGTTGTGAGATCGCACACATGGTAAGTATATTTCGTGGCTGTTGCATCTGATACTGTATTGTATGAATACTATAGACGTGTTTGGAGGAAGCAAAAAGTCTATCTTATTTTGTATTAAATGAACAGTGGCAACTGCAATTGCTGAGCTTGCTTATTCTAAACGAAATGATTAAATCTGAAGCAACTTTTCTGAAGCAATATATATCACAGTTACTATAATGAATTTAGATGCATTAGGAAAGGTGTAGCTCTTCCAGATCTGTTAGTTGTGATCTTGTAGGATCTGAGTAAAATGTGTTCACAATTCTTACTTCCCCGAAAACTGACCGGCGTGCAAGGTTCCATCTTGGGCAAGACAATACCAAAAATTTGCAAGGGCTACAGGTATGTAAAAACAAGATCCGTAATTATACATGCTAGACGGGTATTAAAAGATTTCACACGTTACGCACAGATGTACGCGCTCAAAAGTAACTACCGCAAACGCACCACGCATGCGATTCCGTGGGTGCTCGCAAAACTGCCCCCCCCCCCCCCCTTCGGTGGCGCTGCAGTGGTGGTCCCGGTAACTAGACCTGTCACGGCGGTTTTGGAGCACACGGCGGGCCATACCCGTGCGCTCTGTCATCCACCAACCATGGTACAGAGGAACAACAGAGCCTCACCGCTTGTTGACAACAGGAACGGCCGACTCATTGTGGAGGCTCTCACAGGCAATGTGGTCGCAGAAGCGGGCGTATTTCTCCTGTGTGGCTGGATTGCACGTGTTGAGCAAAATGCTGAGGCCCTGAGTGAGAAAAACGCGAAAGAAGAAGAAAAGCCACTGCAGTAATCAAAAGAAACTACCCTCATATTCACAAACATTAAGGCCACCCTGAAATCTAAAGTTTTATCTTCATTTATAGACAGTTGAACCTCAACACAGTAAAAGCTTTCTAGTTTGGCACTCAATATTACGGACATGGTCTCTGGCACTGGTATGCGTATGCATTGTCTCATGGTATCGAACGCTTAATTCATGTAATAGTTAGCTAGAACCCAATTGATTTGGAAGATTGCTGAAGCACGCCGAGTGGAAAGTGCCACAAACATGCAATGCACAGGAATGAAAATGGCATTCACGGACAGCTCGAATGGCCATAGCCTGCTTTCAGAGAGACGTGGTCGCCACCCAGTGACGCACTGTTGGCACATAATGACATACTGGTTCAGAGTACATTTCAGATTGAGACACGGGGGTCTTGAGTCGAGTTTGCATCGTGAAGGACGTCACAAATGACAAAACCTGCAGCTTTTGCACTGCTCTTATGCAAAATAACAATGAAACTTACATATTCGACAGCAAAATGAAAGTGCAATCATGATACTTTTGATTATTCAGCATTCAGTTGATTCGGCAAATTTTTTCAGTCCTGTGAAATCGAAATTAACGGCCTTTTACTGTACAAGGAACAGTGGCACGCTCAAATCTTGATGTAACGAAACTGGATATAACGAAATATTGCTTGGAGGGCTCCGGAAATTTTTGACTCTCTGGTGTTCTTTAACGTGCACCCAAATCTGAGCACATGAGCCTACAACATTTCCGCCTCCATCGAAAATGCAGCCGCAGCAGCCGGGATTCGATTCCGCGGCCTGCGGGTCAGCAGCCGAGTACCTTAGCCACTAGACCACTGTGGCGGGGTTTGCAATAAATATAGTGTTAGGAATATACCTCTATAATGAATTTTCGAATATAACGAAATTATTTTGATTTTAGATCCAACTTTGTTATAACAAAGTTAATAAGTTACTGGATATACTGAATCAACAAGTATAACTATTAGGCGTTACTTAACCCACCATAACGTTGTCCTGCTGACGAAAAATCACTTGAAACGCTCCTCCTATTGACGGCTCTGTCTCTTTCAAGATTCCAATAAGTGCTGCTATACCTTATTGTTTTCAGTTGAATGATACTTTGTGCAAACTACTCAAGTGGGTACATACCACTTCGCTCTTCTTCGCATAAACTCAGAAGTGAACAGCTAAAATAACCATGATGAGTATGAAGTCAGGCAGGAGAGGAGCTAAATGGAAGTAGTTCAATATTTTTATTACTGTCCGCTTTCATGAAAGTATACATCAATTTCGTTGAGACCACTGCACTGTGACAGACAATGTAAAAAGGACTTAATAATACAGTCGATGTCAGATTTCCCGGACCCTCAAAGGACCGCGAAAACGTCCGGAAAGTCGGGCAGTCCGGAAAAACGAATGCACGTGAAAATGCACCTTTGTAGATAGTTTTCGCTGACGGAGAGGGTAACGGCCAGAGTACAAGATTCCAATTGCAATTCAGCCAATGCATCGTTTAGGTGGCTCTGCAAAGAGCCGCTACCTCATAGGTCAGCACTTGGGCACAAAGAAGTCGCCTATTTTCTTTTGCAGAGTGTTCCGCTTGCCCGAGATCATGCTTGCCTCAATTTCAGTAAACGTCATGTTGCCGCTGTACATTTATGACAGTGTCATCAGTGCTTGCATCAAGTCCGAGCTCGTTGGCTGTGTAGAAGATGGCTCTTCGTTCTCGGTGTCGGATTCATCGGAATCCTCTGTAACTTGAAGAATGATTTTGTCATTGGTCAAGTTCGCACATAGCTCGAGGTCTTTGTCAGCATCGGCGAAGCCTTCAAGGTTTATCCCGGCTGGAATCGACACGCCGGCAGCGCGCAGATCATCGAAGGCAACATCACCGGATGGCCGTTCGTCAAAAATGCTGTCCACTTGACGCGACACGGCCGTCTTGGCGTAGAGTGTGATGTCCGCGTGGCGAAAACAGTTCCGCAGAGTCTCTTGCGTGTGGGGATCTGAGGCGCGCCCGCGACCATTTCGCGGGCATTCCGCCACACGGCCACACCCTTTTGCTTTCCCGCTCTGTTAACACCACGTGGCGATAGATGGCGCCACGTGCGGGCACGGCACGCGGTACGCGCGCGCCGAGGGAGCGCTCTCTTCTCCATGGACAGCGCCGGGTAAGCATGTGTCTTCCTTCGTCCGCGTCCCCTTTGGGAATCGCTGGACTGTAAACTGCCCGGGGTGGCCTTGGGCACCTCGGCAGGCGTGTTTACTTGAGTGCTAGCTTCGGTAGCGTACGCTAAGCCCAGAGCGGTGCCTAGTGCTTGAAGTGGTCGTACCACAACGAGCCGCACTTGCCGTAGGCCTACGCGTACGAGGTTTGCCCTAACACTCGCGACCAGGCCCATTGGCCATCGTGAGAGTGCGCAGCATAGCCGCGAGGGACCTTTTCTCGATCGGCGTGTCAAAGCTCGCCTTTGCCAGCTGCGACGTGCTCGCGGTTTTCCCCTTATGGTGAACGTCCGCGTGCGGGTGACTTTGCTACCCGCGTACCGGGAGCGGACATTGTACTGTTGTTCGGGGTGCCGCCAGAGGCAATAAAGTGTTGTGTACTTTTACATTAGAACACTGTCTATTTGCCTCGCCGTGCTTAACGCCTTATCAGTTGAGCGCGCGCGGAGCGGTGCGCTACACGCGAGTAAACGGAGTAGCGGCCCTGTGGCTCGCTAAGCGTGAACCCGCGGTGATCGTCCGCTGCAGTTAGTAGCGGGGGTCACCACATGCGTAACCGCCTTCCACGATTCCGCTAGCATGCGAACGGCAGACCCGAGGTCAACAGCGTAGCAAACGATCAACCGCAGACACGACCGCAGAGCTGACAGAACAACACGTGAACGAACACAACGAGGTGTGGCTTGGCTAAGCTATGGCTGGCAACAGATTGACACGTGCAGTTTCGAGGTTATGGCAGCCGCGGCGCAGTGCGGCAGTTGGCAGCGGTGCTGCTGGCCATACCTGCGATGCGAGTATGACGGGTTCTAGGATATAAAAACAACCAAAATGGCGGCATTGGTGGTGACTTTGAGTAGGCGGTTAACAGTAAAAAGTCGGAGAAATCGGATGCCGAAGGCTATAAGCGTCCTGAATTTCGGACTTTTTAATACATTGGTTCTATGGGGGAACTTGACGGTGCAACAGATGAGTCTGGGAAATAGGGCATGCCCGGAATTTCGGGCGTCTGGGAAATCAGACGTCAACTGTACACCAAGCAAGGGCAAAAAAGTAAGGAATGCAACTTCACAGGGGCTAGTCTCTCATGTCCTGTGCCATTTTTGTTTCCATGTTTTATCAATAAGATGGTTTTTATGCCAGTAACTATGAGGAAACTTCTAATTTCTTCACGTACAAAAAAAGAATTATTTTTGGCCCTAAGCATACGTACAAGGAAAAAGTTCTTCCACTTTCTAATGTCCTCTCATGTTTTTACAACAGACTTGAAGAGTGGTTATGTTACTGAGTGCACCTTGGTGCTAACGAGGTTACATATCTGAAAGAAAGCATCTGTAACTATCAATTATGAGTGGACGATACTTAATATCGATCTCCATTGAGTAGCAAGAAATATATTTGTTTTTATTCAAAAATTTCAGTATCTGCACGTTCCTAATGCTCACTCTCGTGTTTCTTCGAGAAGTATTCCAAATGGCCCTTCAAGTAAAGGGCCCCTCTACTCACGAGCGGCTTGAGGTTGTTGATGTAGTCCTTCCACTGAGGGTCGTCGAACTGGACCCCAAAGGCCGACAGCATGCTGTGGGTCAGGTCCAGCACCTCAACGTGGGTGCCCGGGTGGTACATGTGGTCTGGCGGGTCGTAACCCGACATCCTGGACTCTCGCCTCAGTGGTGCGTTGTCAGCGGTCAGCCCCTTGCCTCCCGCTGGTAAGGAAGTCCAGGAAAGGAAAGAAAAGTCGACAAATCAATGCAACCTGAAGGACATGTCTAAGTATTTGAATTCCCAGTTAAAGAAACAGCTGGAGAACGGGGGATGCAATCTCAGAGACGGTCTCGTAACGTGCATGTTGGGGCTCAGTAGAGCATTTGAATAAAACCTACGCGAGAATGACGGAGAATAAACAGCCAAACAATGAGGCGATAGATGCGAGGTCGGTGTTTCCTGTAAGATATTTCTATGCTGGTCATTTCAACTTGCCCATTTTCTACCATATTGAGACTAAGTAAACTAGTAGTTGGTAAGTTAGCGAGCTACTCTGGCTAGAATGTTGGCTAGAGTGAACATCCAAGAAAAGGGCCAGTGAATTTTCAACTCCGGCAAATCCTGAGATGCCTACCTATGCAGAGGATGATATGCGGAAGAGGATTCTGCGACTTCTCTGTGCGCCTGCATATTGCATTCACAGCTCTTGTACAACATCTGCAAGATGCAAGCTACTTCCATGTTCCTTTTGGCTCATAAGTGTCAGCTCATAAACTTCAATGCCCAGCTTAAAGCCTCTGCCATGAGTTGCCCCTCTTACACTGTCAACAGACAGGTCACATATTCTTATCCAAAATGAAACCGTGCTTTAGCATGTCACAACGAATGAAGGCAACGCTCACCGTCATTGCCGTTAGCATTGAGAAAAGGAACTGTCATAAAAAGGTAGTCCAGTTTCTCACCAAAACAAATGAATAATTTAGCTGTGCATTGCAAGTTATACAAAAAAAAATTCACAGCATATCCACGGGGTGAATGATGATGAGCTGGCGAAGCTCCTGAGGGGAAATCATCGGTAAAACCGTGACTGTTCAGTGAAAGTTCGCCCACTACATCATCAATAAAGACGTGAGAAACACTGTGTGTGTATATGTACGGCAGGGTCCTCGCGCTGTTGCTGTGACGCTTGGTCCTCTTGTTCTCAAACGCTGGGATCTTGGCGGCGGCGTCACGCAGCTTCACGGAGTGCTTCTGCCTCGCGGTCTCGCACATCGGGATTCTGTCTGCGAGCACGCGCTGCCGCCGCCTTGCGCGCTCGCCGCTCAGCGGCCTTATCTATCGGGCAACTCTGAGCGCGCACCAACAGCGAATGGATTTTATAACAATGCTCCCCGCCATCCAGTAAACAATCGAAGAACTAAACTAGAGGTAGCCACGCCATCTAATAAACAATGCAAGAACTAAACTACAGGTGGCTACATATATACGCCGAGGATGGACAGACCCACGCCTTAAGGAGCTTCTCCCCTAAAAAAAAAGCTAGCAATAGAGTGTGCTGGGCAGGGGAACAAGCAACGTTAAGCTGCACAAATCAGAAGTCCTGAGTCACTTTGGCAACGGTGCCGCAAGTCCTTGAGAAACCAGCGGCTCACCTTCAAGTACCGAGTCGCCAGCTCCAGGTGAATTCGGCCCGTCCTCCGCTATAATGTCCGAAGCTGCGTCGAGTTGGCCCGAGTGGCGGATGTTGCCCGAGCTGCTGAAGTTCGGCATGAGGCCGTTGCTCCCTCGAGAGCGTGGCGGCTTCAAGAAGAACACCTTCTCCGGCGTCGGGTTTGGCCACGACAGGATTCCCTTTTTGTCCACGCAGCAGAGAGTCTGGAGTTGCAATGAAAAGGCTTTGCACGGAAAAAACAAATTTTGTTTTTGCTTGTTTCAACAAATTCTCATGCCTTGCGTATCATTTACATCTTTTGCTCAGTACCGCAAACATCTTTTGTCAAACTTCTGTTTTAATCTATAGTTTTCTTGTTTCAGCATAGGCACGCCATCTAAAATTAGGAATAATTTCCGACAGTTCTGTGTGCAAATGTTATGGTACGCTAGGGCGAGTTCTGAATGGAGGTCCAGCACGAGGGAACTGAACTGAACCACATCCAACGCGTTTCACTTGAAAGGCAGCGTTTATCTCTTACTTTTCATCTACAGTAAAACCTCATTATAACTAAGCAGGATATAACAAATTAATAGATATAACGAAGCAATTGTAATTCCCCTTAGGATTCACATAGATGGCCATGTATTTAAAACCTCATTTTAGCGAAGCAAAAATTTCCTCACAATGGATATAACGAACCATTCTTCGTCTGCAATCAGCCTTTACTGATCATTTTGGTATACGTCGATACATTATCCTATAGCGCGAAACGATTTACGTCTTATCACGGCTGCGGTAATTCAAAACTCTCGCCTCGCGCTCCCCGGGAGCCGCCTGCGGTCTGCCAACACGCCTGTGGGAGCGAGTCTTTCTGCCTCCCCTTTCCTCAGGAACTAATGGACTCGTCCGCACAGCAAATCGCACGAGCGTGCACGTCAGCCGGCATCCCCTCTCCTGTAGAACTCGTTGACCCGCTGGCACATCTGACCTCCTCCTCCTCTTCAGTTCCACGCCGGGGCCTCTCACACCGCCCGAGCGGTGGAGATTGTGGGTTTGTTCCTTGTTGTTCGCTGTGCAAGACCTCTATCAGTTTCTGCCGCTAGACACGAGATGGACAACAGCAGCGGCAAACGTAAGCACAAAAATAAACAATCAAGCAGAAGTCGGCAATGTTAAAAGCTGTTGAGCCTGGCGTCAGGAAAAAAAAAAGTGGCCAAAGATTTCGACAATGTCGCTGGGGTGCCGCGGGCGACCAGGCCCCGACGTCATTGTACGCTCTCTTTGACGCCGGCGTTGTGCCTGACTGCGACACTTTTCGCATGTACATTGGTGCCGATGCTGTCACGGTGACAACCGAAGTTTTGTCAGATGTGGAAATTGTGCCTGCGGTGATGGGCGTGCATGACGACAGTGACGAATGTGACGACACCTCGAGCCTAATGTTGGCGAACCTGACGTACCGACGCCCTCGCAAGCGCTGGATGCGACAGAGCTGCTGTGCTGCTTCTTTTGGTGCTTACAATGACGCCGAGGACAAACTCGAAATAGCTGCTGCAGCTGGAAAAGCAGTCATCCATATGAGGAAGAGTCAGCCACGGTCAATAACATTAAAGACCAATTTTCTTCGAAGTGATCTGCCAGCTGGTGTGCTAAATTTGGCAGTAATAAAGTGCATTGTTCTTTGTTAATTTGCTATTTTTTGCCTTCTGACGGCCGTTTTTTTCTGCGTGGTGAGCTGCTGTGATATTCCTTGGCGTGTACATTCTATCATGCCTGCTAATTGTCGGCAGAAATAAATACTGGTTATAACAAACTAAAGGCTATAACGAAGTAATTACGACTCCCCCTTCAACCTTGTTACATTGAGGTTTGACTGTACGCATTTGAATCATTTCTGCATGCTGATACAATGAACAAAAAGCACCTAAGCATTACAAACCTTGTTAAGACTGAAAAGAATTGAGAAAGCGTGCCCGAGTACTCCATCCACAATGCCTTCTCTGATCAACTTGTTCCAAGATCAGCCTTCCAAGATCAAGTTGCGAACTCTATTAGGGTGCCTACTGCAAGTACTAAGTGCGGAAAAGTGGTGGTTCTGTACACACGAATTCATACATTAAATACTATCATGTATGCTTAGCGATCCAAAAAGTATGCTGTAAAGAACACGCGGCGTTTGACACTACAAAAGCATTGGGGTTTTTAATCATTACTGTAACCATAAAAATGTGGATGTTCCTGTCAACGATGTGTATAGAACACTCCCGAGAATTTTTTGTCATGTCAATCTGTGCATGAGGATGCTCGAAAAGATTTTACTTTGTTAAGAACGTATGAGCCCTGCATACTTGACGCTGTACTTGCGTCTCCAGCCGCAATGAATCGCACAATGTTTTGCAGGTTCGTAGTAGACCTGATGGACACCATGTCAGTCGACTTCAGTTACATTTAGACATTACAAGCTACTCGTGGCACTGCCAGAAGTAACTTGGAATGTCTTTATTAACTGATAAGCTCTGCACTGTCCCTGAACCAGCACGTGGAATTGTGTGGTCACTGCTACAACAGCGCGAACCGTATTGTCTGTGGCATCACTTTCAAGTAATCACGTCCACAACAGAAGCACGTCTTTACGACTTTCTTGTCACTGCACAAAGCCACTACCAGTAGGCAGCGAAGGCATGATGCCATCCAAACAGGAGGCTGCTAAGGGAGGAGCCTCGAACTCAAAAAACAGGTATGGGCAGGTCAACGGGCATATGATGAAGCTGGAAAAGTTGGTCTTTCTAATACAATGTGAATGTGACCAACTATGTGCTGGAGCACGTTTCGAAAGACCTTGATAAAATTTTTCACCCATTCCATGTTACTTTATTGATAAAGGACACTTAATTTTTTCTCCAATCAAATGAGAGATACTGAAATAAGGCGCAATAGGGTTGAAAGGTGGGCTAGCTGGTGAACGATCACCACACCGCAAGGTGATGCAGCCTTTGTCACCTCTGTCCTCGTAAAGAGTTTGCTACTTCACTCCACAGCATGATCGCAGAGTTCACTAGAAGGAATTTTGGCGACAGCGTCTATGGGTGCTGCAACACACGGCGCTTCAGTGAGCATGGGAATGAATGAGTACGTGAATTTGTCTAGTCTTCTCACTTTCGGCTCCCTATGGCTTCACGTGGCTTGGGGCTGCTTTGCCACGCGATGAACATCAACGAAGGTTTAGCAGTTACCCTTTACCAACTTGACTTTTTAGGTTTGCCAATTCAAATTGAGTTACAGTTAAACCTCGTTATAACGAAATTGGAGGGCCGCCGCTATTTGCTCGTTATAACCAATATTTCGTTATAGCCGTAGCGGGCATTTACCGCAAATATTATGCACTGTACTTACCCCCAAAAAATAGCGGGCGACATAGCATCCCGCCGCACGGTGGTATGCAACAAGATAACCGCATTCCCAAATGAAAAGGAAAAAAGTCATGCACCTATTTTAATGCACTTCAAAATACACAGCTTGCATTTCAGGCAGACTTAGCTGCAAAGAAGTCCGTAATTGGACGTTGATGCATCTTCCTGATGGGAACGGTGGCTCTCTCAGCTGCGGCCGCAATGTTCAAGCCATCTTCCCCGCCCTCATGAGCGCCGAAGTAGCGGCGCAGTACGTCCACCGCGTCTAATGCCTCCGACGCCGTCGGCACGTTTGTCTCCTGTTCGTCGACAGAGTCATCGTCAGTGGTTTCGTTACCATCACTGACAGCGCGCACAATATCGTCATCCAGGAGCTGCTCCGTTGCCACCACTTCCGAGTCCGCACTCACATAGTCGCAAAACGACTCGCTGTCAGGCACGACACCGGCGTCATGAAGTGCCGTCCATGATGCAGCGACTTCGTTTGATGTGGCAAAACCGTCCGGCACAGTGGGCTCGTCTGATGGCTTATCGTTGCCGTCTGGTGCGGCGGCAAATGAGGCGTGTCGAAAGCAGTTTGCGATCGTGGTCGCCGTCACACTCATCCCCGCTGCCTGAAGCATTTCGAGCGCAGCGTACAAGTCAACATCGGTGTCTCGCTTCATCCTCATGTTGAGCAGGAGCTTGTCTATCGCACGCTTGCGGTAACCTGCTTCAGCGACATAATCACGCCTTGGTCAAGCGGCTGTATTTTTGCTGTGCAGTTGGCAGGAAGGAACAGCAGCTCGATGTTTTGAAGCACGGCAGCGGTATGGTGGGCGGTGCAGTTATATAAAACAAGGCACACCTTGCGGTTCGCCTTTGCCAGCTTCTCGTCCTATTCGCAAAGCCATTTTGAAAAAATCTCCCTGGTCATCCAGGCTTTGCGATTGGCTACGCACTTGACTGGGAGCTGCCTCTTCCCCTTAAAGCAGCGAGGGGATGCACTTTTGCCAATTACGAAAATTGGCAGCTTCTCAGAGCCGGTCATGTTTGCACAAAGTAGCGCAGTGATCCGCAGCTTACTTTGTTTGCCACCATGGCACGGCTCGCATTTGAGGGCTAACGTCTTGTGCGGCAACATCTTGAAAAAGAGAGCGGTTTTGTCTGCGTTAAAAATATCCTCCGCGCTGTATTTTTCTAGCAGCCGCACGATGTTTTGTTTCGCCCACTTGGTAGCCTCTGCTTCGTCGACAGATTGCGATTCGCCGCAGACCGCTCTCCCGACAATGTCGTGGCGCTCCTTGAAGCGTTGGAGCCAACCCGAACTTGCTACGAAGTTGTCATAGCCCATGATGCAGGCGAAATCTCTCGCTTTTCTTTGCAGCAAGGCGCCGCTCACCGGCAGATTCACGGCCCGCGTGTCCAAGAACCATTTAAAAACGGCCCTTTCGACCGCTTCAAAGGCCGGTGCCCTCATCCTCTTAGCGCTTCCTTTCACGCCACGTGCAACAGCGTCGATGATGGACTCCTGCTTGCTCAAGATGGTTGACAGTGTGCTCGTCGATACGCCAAAGTCTCTTGCCACGTTGCCTTTCTTGGTCCCCGATTCGACGGCTCTTATCATAGCCGCCTTCTGATCTAGCGTTATGCGCTTTCGCTTCCCGCCTGGCGCATTCACGTTGCTGGAATCACGAGCGCAGCACGAGGAAAGATAAGGCGGAAGCGGTCGAAAAAGAGAAGAAACACGCACGCAAAAGCAACGCGGCTCACGTCGGTGAGCGACAACACTTGCAGAGAAAGTGACTGTGAAGAGGAAGGGGCGCTCTTTTGCGCTGCCCTCTAGGAACCAGTTACTCAAGGGGAAGGGGGTATGTAAGATTAGGAAGCGCGCCTCAGCGCCATGAGAAAGGGGAGAGGGAGAATATAAAGAAGACACAAAAGAAAAGAAAAGGGCAAGACGTTCGCGGAGCGCTCCGCTGTCGGTGGTAGCCAAGCGGCGTACGTGCAGCGACCTCTCCTCCGGAAACAGCACGTGCCGTCTGCTTTGCGCGCATTGCTGAAGGGCGCGTGGCGGGTGTTTTGAACTACTAAATACAGTTCTCGCGTTGCGAGCCGTCTCAAATTCGCGTTGTGCACTGTCGTGACATCGGCTCAAAATTTTACTTCCTAACAAAATTTGTTCGTTATATCCCATAACAGGCAAATTTTGCCTCGTTAAAACGAGGTTTTGAATACATTGGTTTGTATGAGGACTTTCAAGGGGAATTAGGATTTGCTCGTTATATCCATTATTTCATTAGAGCCCGTCTCGTTATAACAAGGTTTAACTGTACTAAGTTCAGAATGGTTTGTTCCTTCATTCGAAACAAAACCAAAACACAGCAATAAACCAAGCCACGAGTGCGTTCGACGCTTGCAAGCCTGAAGACTAGGCGAATCCATGCACTACCCATCATTCCCATGGTCGCTGAACGATCGCAGCACGAGAGTCCACTCTAGTTAATTTTAAGGAAACTCTGTATAAGTACGATGATAAGACGTAGTCACCCAAGCTGGCCCCGCCGTTGCGCGAAGGCTGCTTACCGTGACACTGCCGAGGACGTGCAGGAGGCTGGAGCTCCTCCACAGGTGCGGGGCCTTGCCCCGGAGCAGAGACAGGAACAGGGGCTGCACCTGGCCCCACGACAGGTCCGATCCGTCGGGGTGTGTCGACTCCACCTCGTCTTCTTCCTCGAAAAGGTCGTCGTGAGCACGCTGCATGGCCTGCAGCGTCAACGGGGATGAGCAGTGTTTGATTACGCAGTCAAGGGCTTAAGGCCTTTATAACAAAATACTAAGGTTTTTTCCTAGATACTTTATCATACAGCTTACGCTCGTCAATTTATATTTCATGGGACTACAAAAACGTTCAAATTAAGCAACTGCCAAATTATCGAAAGTATTTAAAAAACAATAAAGTGCAGAGCTGTGCGAATAGCAAAACTCTGGGAGCAAAGCAAATTCGAATATTGAAGTGCGTGGGCAAATCTAATCAAGTATTTTTCAAACACTTTGAATCACATTCTCCGAGATAGCACCATGAGAGTGTTTTCTTTTTTTTTTTTGGCTAGGTTGATGAAGGGTTGGTGGGGTGGTGTTTTATAGTTGTCTTAAGAATAATGAGACAATGCAGAGGCCGAATAGTATTCATGTACAAGGTTTGGCAGAACCAAAGTGTTGCCAACAACACTTTACATGCAAATGGCAATGTTGCTATCTCCTCAGTCTCTCCTGCTCTTTCTAATTCTGTAAAAGCCCGAATAACATGGCAGACAAAGGTGTACGCTTTTTGAGCTCGGAGTTCCAAATCTGCCTTGTAGACCTGGACATTTGAAATTTTGGATGACGAAAATCTTCGGTGTCCAATTTTTTTTATTTCCTCTGAAAATTTAAGGTTCAAAACAGCATTAATTGAGCTCCAACCTTCACCACATCTACCCCCTCTATGTTAAAACAAGAGTTTTATTGAGTCAATACACTTGCAACCGTAGCAGAGCTTGACCAACAGCTTTGCCACAATATGAGGATGTGATGGGGTGAAGCATATTGAAACTCTGAAGGGTTTACTGCAAATTTGACGTGAAGCATATTGACAATTTGGAGGGTCCACTGCCAATTGGACGTTGACCGTATTTGTCTTCAAATAGTAAAATTTAGGTGTGAATACAATCGAATAGCAAGCACTATTAGAAAAATATTCAATTATTTGCACACACCTAATAAAGTGTCAATTACATAAATGTAGTTACACTTTCTTGATCAATACAGAAATCGATCATTCATTTTACATAAAAGTACTTTGTTGACAATGAGTCCATAGATTAAGAGCTCTGTGTGAAAGCGAAAACGTGCTCTGGACCCATCCCTTTATACATACCGCCACCATCAAGATCACGAGCATGCGATAATTACTTAATTGCTGCAAAAATGGCCCCCAACTGATCTTTCGTCTACTATTACAGTTCCATGCAGTTTGCGTGCATTAAGTTCACTACACCTGCTGAAGCCTTGGTACCTAAAAATGCAACTGTCGTCAGATTGTGGATGGCGAACACGCCTTTCTGAAGTCCCGCAGCCACTCTGGTTGTCCATGAATGCAGTTTTCGTTTCTCTGCGTTGCCCCTTTGCGACACTTTGTGCTTGGCACACTCTGAGGATTAACCAAACCAGCCGGGTTGCGGCCAAATACGACCGAATCAATCAGTTTGATGCCGTTACACAATAAGCACGCTTGTTGGGACTGTAAAATGGGTAAGAATTACACTCAAACCTCCTCATAACGAAGTTGCATATTACATGAAAATAAGTTCATAATATGCAGATATTCGTAATAAATGTACATTCTTAACACTACCGTCGAACCCCTTTATAAGAGACACTGATATAAGAGACAAATGGGTATAAGAAACACCAGTGTGCTTACAGTAAAATACAAGTGGATAAGAAAATGCATACGAGATACCCTGCTTATAAGAGAAATCTCATATAAAAGACAAGAATTGCTGCCAAGAGCATGCCTCTTATAAAGGGGTTTAACTGTATATTTAGCACAAGATTATTCTTCATTTGCTTTGTTATAACCAATATTTCGCTATATCAGGGTATGTAATACTGAGGTTTGAGTGTATCTTAATTTTCGAACTAATATTGACGCAAGGAACCAATTTATTGAGCTTTTTACTGCACGCGTTACTTTATTGTGAATGCCGGCCCCTTATCATTCGGAAAGTGTTAGTCTGGACGTGCTTAATTTTATGCGACTCGGACACCCGTGAGTTGGCCATGCTCCCGATGGCGAGAGGAGTCGCGCACTGACCATGTGTTCCTGGGCGGCCAGCATGAGATGCAGCCTGGCCGTGCCCAGGGCGTGCAGGCCCACCCAGAGCGCGGGAAGGGACAGCGGCAGCAGGGGCAGGATGGCCAAGGCTGGCTGCAGCACCAACTCCTTGATGCTGCCGGCCCGGTCTCCCAGGTAGCGCCACTGGGCCAGCTTCAGCACGGTCGTCAGCACCTGACGCAACAAAGGGAGGAGAGGTTGCCGTTTGTATTAAAGAACAGCACAGAGACTTATGTGCACTTGATTATAACTTGAGCAAGAAATTAGGCCATCTGCCACGACAGGGAGCCATGGGTAGCGCGTGAAGTAGTGCATCGGTCGACTTGAAGTTTTGTTCATTATGGGCGCCTTGCCCGATGTTAAGGCGTCCTTGCAAGTAGAGCACACCATGAATTCACTGTAGTTTCTGTGGCAGCCACTCGCCCCGAGCTGTTGTTGGAGCACGCCACGCAGGCTCACCGCCACGCAACGCGGGAGCACAGAGCTCGTCGCGCGTCTTCTGAATCTGGTACTCAGGCGCCATCATGTGATTGCCGAGAGAGTGTAAGGGGAAGATCCCAGAGCCTCTTACACAGCCACTTATGTAGGCACAAGCGTGTTAGCTTGTGCCAGCGCTTTCTGACCACCACAGTGGCTTACCCACAGCGTCTCACAAAGCATCTTGCCCAGCCCCTTACACAGGCCAGAATGCATCAACCCGTGAGCACGTTCTGGCGGTGCTTGGGCTAGCTGTTGCGCATGCACAATAAAGGTAGCCATGCACAAACGGATTGAGTTCGACCATCAGCTACTTTGCATCTAAATAAAATGGCAGTTCTGCCCACAGAGCCATGCTTTTTTGCCCTTTTTATGAAAGACAGTTGCTAGCTGTATTGCACTGTTTTACAATGAAGCTAAACCAACTAGCCCAATTTTGCACGCTGGCACTAGCTGGTTTCCGCTCGAACTGTAAGTACTCTTTCTCCAGCTAGCGTAAATGCTACGCATATAAAAAATAACACACTCGTGGTTTACTACAGCAGAACCCCTTTATAAGAGACAATGATGCAAGAGACAAATGGGTACATGAGACACCAGTGTGCCTAAATTTAAATAGGTGAGGATAACAAAATACATACACTCAAACAGATATAACTAATTATCGGTTATAATGAAGTAAGTGATCAATAGCTTCGCCATAGATACAGTGTAATAAGTAATCGTATAATAAAATTTCGGATTTAACAAAGTACTTTCGTAACAGATGTGAGTTTGTTACAATGAGGTTTGAGTGTATGTGGTACCCTGATTATAAGAGACACCTTATATGAAAGACAAGACCCCTGGACCCGCACCCTGGTGCATGCGTCTTGTAAAGGAGTAGTACCTAAATTGTTCGGTTACGTTGAGCAGTGATGTGAGAATCCCTTGCACAATTTAGTTGAATATTTAAGTTTCCCGCGAAAACCCACGACCCAATCATGCATCCGTATGAGAGTCAACTATATCTGAAACACTCCAGACAAGACGTTACCAAAATTAGGAGGTGCCGTAGGATGGAGCGTTTATGCCTATTTTCTATGTGAGACACGGCTGGAGCAGAGCGGATATTTTTTCCCAATTTGTAACCGACCATAGCCACAGAGATTTGTTTTTCGTAGAGTGTAGGTACATTCGCTCTCAAAGGGACACCAGACATAAGCTGCACAATTGCTACCTAAGAACAAGAAGCTTTTTGTTGGAAAGTTTAAAAAATAAAGCCATAAAGCACCCATCATTTAGCTGGTATTAGTCATGCATGAAGCTTGAGCAACATCTTGACAGCTTTTTAGCCATAGTGAGGTGGTATAGGTGCCATAATCGGGTATCATGAGAGAATTTTGACCACTTGGGTTTTTTGTAAGACTGTGTGGTATCAAAGCACAAGAGAGTTTTTCGCCCTACACAGCAATTATAATACACATCCACGACAAATGCCCCAACGATGAAATGACAAGCAATTCCTTACATCCCGGTCGTAGTGTCGCTGCTGCTGTAGATGGCCTACTAAACGAAGTATGTACTTTTACGTCTCAAGCAATTATACACAAGGACATTTGACAGCGTCATCAAAACTTGACAACGCTGTTGCTGTCTGGGAATTGAAGCCGCAGCAGTGTATCCCCAGCTGTAGCCACCACGGAGTCACTGCAACAGCCATTTCGGAACACAGATGTAAACAGAAATACGACTGTTTAACAAAGCAGAGGCAAAAATTAATGGAATACCCAAAACCAGGACCTTACCAGAATGCCGATCACGGTTCGCTCGAGGTATGTGCTGTTGACGTGGTGCAGTTCCTTGGCGAACATTGAGACGGGCCGCATGAGCGAGTTTTCCAGGCATAACCTGCAAGTGAAATGAGTGAAGGCATTGGGCAAATGCACAGGCATGAATGAATTACGGCAGCTGTAGCTGTAACTCAGTAGACGAACACTCTTTTGTTTCTCATTTGCCATAATGGCAACAGCTGGCTTCAATTGATGCTCCCACATTTAAATGCACATATCTGCCCTACAAAGTCGATGAGGGGATGACTGCCACCGTAGCTCGGGGGGTAGAGCATTAGACGCATCATTCAAAGGTCGTGGGTTCGGGTCCTGCCGGTGGCAAGCAATCTTTTCATTACCTTTTCTTTCTTCACATTTACATCAAAATTACTTCTAGTAAAATCCCCTATACTTTCCGTGGCATCACTGTCAGTTAGTTCTCGTTAATATTACTGGGTAACATATATATGTTTATGAATGAACACTGAACACAACGAATCTGTTGTGTCTATGTGCAAAATACTTCATTATTAACAGTTTATACCGTACCTGAAGAACTTGAGGTAAGGCACTTCAAGCATGACAAAGTGGCGTGGTTCAACTGGCCGTCGCAGCCGAGCCCCGGTGAATGTGGCGCACGTGCCGATGCCTGTCTCTGGGGCGAAAGTTTCTTTCTCTTCCAGAACCAACGGTGCTTCCTTGCCCTGCGCATTTTGACAAACACAATTCACAGCAGAACCTCGTTAGGCAGACTCTCGAGGACCGTAACAGTGCGTTCTGATTAACGGGACTTCCACTTACAGAAGTAACAGTTTTTTTTTTTTTTTTTATTAGGGCGAAAGCCTTACATTCAATTCCAATTGCAAAGGACTCTGCTAGTGAGCACTCGACTCTGGTGTAGAGAAGCACCTCTAAATTTGTGACTGGAACACAATCCATTCCGCCGGAGCAAGTGTGGGAACAAGGAGGAAGACTAACAGTGCTTGAGTTGCCCGGAATACCATGCGTATATAGGTATTTCACTCCGCTAATGCTGCTGTAGAATTCCCACCCTTACACGGCAAATTTAGTGTCGCCGTCACTATTCAATGAATCACTTGTGAGAGAACTGGGGTTTCCCGACTCCAACCTGTTGCTATCAAGCAGCAGAACCAAAGCCACACGATTTGCCCAGTCACCCATGTCGTCCACCATTATTGTCAAAACAAGCAGCACTGGTGGCAACATCAAGCAGGCCCGTGTTGAGAAGTGCGACACTCTGAGTTCCGGTTAACTCTGCCGATTCTCACAGAGCAACTTTTCCTGCTCTACAGAGTGACTCCTGCTTTGAATCCACTCCAAATCTGCTATTGGAACACACTTTCTGCAAAAGCAGGAGAAAAAGAAAAAAAAAAAAATTGCTCGGAGTTCACCATGAGAATTCAAGATTAGATGCCTCATCAAACACGAAAATTGAGCGTCGCTTTCAAGAGATTAGGCAAAACCTGACGATACTTCGCAGGACTGGCATCAGCTTCTACATGGTTGATTAAAAAATTATAGTCATGCGGTGATATCACAGATCACGAAGATTTGTGATGTCATAGTAACACAACGCCTTCTCGTAATCTATGAAGGCTATGTATAGAATATAACCAATCACTATACATAGCCTTCATAGATTACGAGAAGGCGTTTGATTCAGTAGAAATATCAGCCGTCATGCAGACACTGCGGAATCAGGGCGTCGATGAAATATGTATAAACATCCTGGCAGAAATCTACAGGGGATCAACTGCTACCATAGTGCAATCTCCCTAATGCTATTCACCGCATGCTTACAGGAGGTTTTCAGAAGTCTAGAATGGGAACAGTTAGGGATAAGAGTTAATGGAGAGTACCTTAATGGTAGTAACCTGCACTTCGCCGATGACATTGCATTGCTGAGTAACTCAGGGGACGAATTGTAACTCATGATTACGGAGTTAGACAAGGAGAGCAGAAAGGTGGGTCTTAAAATTAATCTGCAGAAAACGAAAGTAATGTACAACAACCTTGGAAGAGAGCAGCGCTTCGAGATAGGTAATAGTGCACTTCAAGTTGTAAAAGACTACGTCTACTAAAGGCAGGTAATAACCGCAGAGCCTAACCACGAAATTGAAATAACTAGAAGAATAAGAATGGTGTGGAGCACATTCGGCAAGCACTCTCAAATTATGACAGGTAGATTGCCACTATCCCTCAAGAGGAAGGTATATAACAGCTGTATCTTGCCGGTACTTAGCTACGGAGCAGAAACCTGGAGACTTACAAAGAGGGTTCAGCTTAAATTGAGGACGACGCAGCGAGCTATGGAAATAAAAATGGAAGGTGTAACCTTTAGAGACAAGAAGAGAGCAGAGTGGATTAGGGAACTAACGGGGGTTAAGGATATCATAGTTGAAATAAAGAAGAAGAAATGGACATGGGCCGGGCATGTAGCGCGTAGACAGGATAACCGCTGGTCATTAAGGGTAACAAACTGGATTCCCAGAGAAGGGAAGCGGGTTAGGGGGAGACAGAAGGTTAGGTAGGCAGATGAGATTAAGAAGTTTGCGGGTATAAATTGGCAGCAGCAAGCACAGGACCGGGTTAACTGGCGGAACATGGGAGAGGCCTTTGTCCTGCAGTGGACGTAGTCAGGCTGATGATGATGATGATGATGGTAACACAACACAATGACCTCACCCCATGACTTCGGTAGTTGGTCAATCGTGCAGACATGCAAGGTGCCGAAAGCTTGCTATGCCTTCGATACTGAAGGCTGTGCAAAACCATGCTAGGTGCAGAATGCTTTCATGTAATCACATTGTACCATGACTGTGTGTATGATTGCCAGTGATAAACTATGTAGAGTCTGTTTCGCACTTGGGGGAAATCTCGCAGCGCATGGCATCGTGATGCAGCCAGCACTGCAGTCACGTGGCAGCAGCATCTCCTGCATGCTCAGACGCTTCAGGAGTGGGCTATTAAATCGCGTCGTGTGCAACGGTGGCGCACGATGGTCGCATTGTCGGACAGCCTGCTGATTTCACCATTGCTGCAGAAACTAGGCCGATATTCTGTACTGAACGTTTTGCGATGCCAACCTCTCAGCCTTCATTGGTGATAATATGGTTCTAGAATTAGAGCTGAACAGCTTACGCTGCTTGAGCTTTCGAAACGCCGCGTGGTACTGAGTGCGTTCACGTATATTTTTTTTCTTTGTGTGTGAACCGCAGTACGCTGCGGCGGGGAATACCATAATGAGGACATACCGTGCGTGGTACTTACTTCGTGCTTAAAAAAAAAGCACTCTACAGGGACTTCCGCGCAGCTATGCGGGGTCAGCACAATAAAACAAACGAGAGCGAGTTCAGGAATGCTGTAAATCAGTTGTTCTCAGCCATGGATGTGTCGGGGACCCCTTGTGGACTGGTGGATGGGGGACCCCTTGCAGCGGAGGATAAGGAGGGGCGTATGTAGGTAAATTAACACAACTGAAGCGTGAAGCAGGTGCCTTTTATTGCTACCAAAAACATCAAACAAACATGCCACATTACTTCATTTTGGACAGTTCATTATTACATGGCACAGCCGCGCTTAAAAAATAGAAAAAATGTAAAACAAAAGCGGGTGAGGGTTTCGTGGATCATAAAAATGGCTTCGCAGACCCCCTAGGATCCGCGGACCTCCATTTGAGAACCACTGCTGTAGATTAAGATAACGACCTAACGTGCTTTTTCTCGATCGCATTACATTACTTCAGGCAGCACTCACTTGCTGGCGCTTAAATGCATGCCTGAAGCTTCCAACTTCACTTGATACCCCGCCATGTCCCCAGCAACAGCTATGACGGCGCTAATTTTGGACGGCAGTGAGGCGTACTGTGACAAGACGAGAAATATAGGACTAGTTCCCACAGCAACAATGAAATTCGTCCGCCGCCCGACAATGCAGCCAGCGCGTATTGCTGTAGCCAGCGACGCGGATCAAGCACTCTACGAAATGCCCCTTAAGCGTCTGCGCATGCGCTACATGCTGCCGGCGCGTGACTGCCGCACTGGCCGCAACACAAGGGTCCGCACTACAAGGTTTCCCCTCGGTGTGAAACAGACTGTACAATCAAACCTTGGTACGAGAAACCAGGCTATAACAAAATAGTACCAGTCATAAGGAAGTACACTCGAACCTCGATATAACGAACCCAGATGTAACAAAATATTGGTTATAACGAAGTAAATGAAAAATAGTCTTGCAGTAAATATAGTGTTAGGAATAAATGTTTACAACAAATTTTCGGATATAAAGAACTTAATTTCGTGTAAGATGCAACTTTTTTATTATGACGTCTGAGTGTTAATGAATAATAGTTTCGTGACAGATACAGTGCTAGGACAACGCCTCCTCTAGAAAGATGCTGGCAACTTGAGCCAAAAAGCTGGTTCCCAGCGCTCTTGTGTTCTCTCCTCCTCCGCTTCCCTAAACATTGTCGGCTGCGAGCGCTCACTGCAGCGGCCGCTTTAAACCATGCCGCCTCTGAGATTAAAGCAATGTCTACTGCTGTCTCGGAGGCAACACAGTTGTGTCTCTGCGATGGCGTCACTTATGAATTTAGCAGAAGTAGTAGTGTCAGCTGCGGGCGCTCCTTGTAGAGAAAGCACTGAACTACGAGAAACCTCCCATCCCTATGGGAAAGCGTGCGATGTCGCAAGCATCTTTCTAGAGGAAGCATTGGCTTGGAATATACTTTTATAACAAGTTTTTGGTTATAACAAACTTAATATTTGTGAGATGAAACTATGTTATGAGGTTTGAGTGTATTTACTTTGGAAATAGAACGATGTATATGCAGACACAAATATTGTCAGATATAAAACATATCTGGAAAATTGAGTGTCACTGCCCCTTCTAGTGCTTTGCGCACTATGACAGTAAAGTTATTGCAAAATGCTTTTATTGACATCTTTTAATTGCTTGCTCACTGAAGCCAGTGACAACACTGGCCACAAAGCGTAAACGACCCCCATCCAGAGCGGCTCACCTTTGTGAGCAGGCTGCACTTTCCCGGCACCTGGTGCCCCGGCCGGACGACCACCACGTCCCCTTCGACCAGCAGGTGCACGGGCACATTGACCAGACAACCATCACGCACGGCCCACTGAAGGCTGATGCACGGCGATGCTGGCTGGAACAGAGGAGCATAGTCCGAGGTGCTCCAGGGTTCTTCGTCACCGCTTCCGTGACCCAGCGTGTCTTTTTGAGAGACATGGCCAAAAGAAAATGAGAAGTGCTGAAGATTGCGTTACACTTAGCGTACTGTCACGAGACAATAAAGGCATAGAATCACTTTCCTTACAAGGAGTCTCCATCACCAATCATTCCTTTCTGGAAGGGCCAGTAAACAACTTTGAGGTCCAAAAAATTAAAAAAAAATATATACATATGTGCAGTTTTTCTTTGCGAACATGCTGCCGCATGAATTTAGCGAATATGTGCTATATTAAGAAAGTTACGGGGGTTAGAACATCAGTTTAAGCTGGTTTTAAATTTTTGCGTGGCCTCACCCCCTTCTCCCTTCCATGAAAGGAAAGGCATAGCCCATCGTCGTGACTCTACGCACTTCAGCAACGTGACACCACGTCAGCGATTGACGTCATCGGCGAACTTGATTAGTCGCAACGCACTTCTACTTGCTGCGAAGCGTGGTTGCTAGTTTACTATGTGCCACACCAGCCGCGGGTCAACCGTGTAAGCGTCAGGTGCGAAGCGTCGACCACAAACGATCAGGTCCCCAACATACGCCGCTGCATGGCCGATTCGCTTCAGCCATGCAGCGCGCAGGGCCCCGTCGTGAGGCAGCCGGTACCGATGCTTCTCCGCTGCCCAGTCCCTCGATTTGCAGCCGACGACAGAGCAACGCTTTTTACCCGCGTTGCTCATGCCAAGAGCGAAAGTACGTTTGTATGTGTGCATAGGCGCTGTAGTTGAGCGAGAAGTGTACACGTGCACACGACAACTGCGAGACTGGTTCTTTAAGCCCAGTGCCAAGAAACAAGGGGCAATTTCGTAGCTGTGGGTGGGAACAGGAACTGACGTTGATTTCACTACTGTTTTTTTACACCTGATTTAGACCAATCAGTGAGCTGCGTGCTACGTCACGTTGCCGAGTTGACGTCACTGCGGGTGCAAGGAGGTCGGTCAGGCGTAGGAAAGATGCGCAGGAATTGTTTTTCGAAATAGAGGTGCTGCGTGGCGCGCAGCGCTGTAACATTCAGAAAACATGATCACTGCAGTCTAATCTACGAATTGCCGAGCTTGTATGGGGGGTGTAAAAAAAAAAGTCAGAGCCTGTTTACTGGCCCTTTAAGAGTGCCGTAGTTAAGAATCCATAAATTAGTCTGTATGCTAATTTTTGTTTTCATTCATGTTACAGCCTATTTGTTGCACAATTCTGGCATTCTCACTTTTATCTTTATTATTACTTGTTCTATATTTGTTGTTATTTCTTCTTGTGGTCTCATTGCTTTTAGCCAATATATTCATCTGCGGTATCAAGATTTCAGTAGATTTTCTTGTTTCTTGCATTTCACAAGCTATTTGATTGTTCGAAATTTTTTTTTTGTATGATTCCTTCAGTGGCCATGTGTACAATCGTACACATAAGCTTCAGACATGCATTACAGACTTTGCATCTCCTCAAGTAGGTTGAATTGCAGTGTGCAACATACAAGCAGGATTCCTCAAAGGACAACTAGCGGAAATTTAACTTCATCGTGCTGCATATTGCTGCAGAGGATATCTGTACTGAAGACATTACTACGTTAAACAGTCGTTCAATGTGCCACATTTTAGGATAAACATCCTTCTTTTTCTGTGCTCGAAATGAATACAGTAAAAAAGAAAACTGTACATGCATTCTAGGCCTATAGTATGATTATTTTTTTATGCAAGCATTGAAGCCCACTAATTACAGAATAATTTGATATTTAATTACATGCAAATTAACATTTACACTACTGAAACACACAAAACAACACAATTCTTCATTTTCTTTATGGGAATGTAATAGTGAGTGTCTTGGTATCGCATTATGCAAACTCGATATATTTGCAAATAGTGCATCCTAATTCGTGCATGAAGGGGATAACCCACTCTTGCTAATGGCTTGTAAAACAAACTGGCAGTAGGATTATAATATTATCTGAAGGTTCTATGTCACAAAACCACAACATGAATACGACAGACACCTCAGTGGAGGGCTCTGGAAGTTTCAACTGTCTGGCGTTTTCTTAACATCCACTGGCATCGAAACGGGCCTCTAATTTTCACCTCCACCGAAACGATACCACCGTGTCCAGGATCAAGGCGACAACCTTTGGCTCAGCAGCGGAGCACCGTAATGGCTGACCGATGGCGGCAGATGCTGGCAGTACGAAATGAATAAGCAAACAAATTAATACCATGCAACCCACTCAGCTTTCTTTGTGCTAAAGGTGTGTTTAAATAAATGGTAAACTAAATTGTGAACAAGGCTACTCGGCGGGAGCCAGGACATTGAAGTAAGTACAATTTTGCCTTCAAGGTTTTCACCAATGTTTCATCCTGACCAGATGAGATTTTGTCAGACCCTTGACTTTGACTCATACCTTAGTGGACTCAAAACTCGATATAACAAACCCGAATATTACAAAATGTCGGTTATAACAAAGTAAATAAAAAATAGTCTTGCAATAGATGTAGTGTTACGAATAAACCCTTATAAAAATTTTTCAGGTTTTACAAACTTATTTTCGTGTAGGATGCAACTGTGTTATAATGAGGTGTGAGTGTATGTACTGTCTTCCCTCTTCTCAGTTTGCACTGAAGCCACGGACAATTTGAAGGACGCTTGACAATTTGAATGGCCTCGTTTCTTTATGCCAGCGCTTTGAATCGCATCAAGGTGGCTTCTATTGGAGCGTGCCGTCAGCCTTATTTTATATAACATCCCGATTGGTTCCTACCGCAGTTACTGCTCAACCCCTGTAGTGCAACAGTACTTTTCTTAAGTATTATTGTAAAGTGATCCTAATGCAAGGCTTGGGTGTGTGGAAGCACTACTGTTGCACAGTTTCTTCTTACTTGAATAAATTTTTGGCGTTTCTGTTTGGGGCACTGCCAAATCCGCATGAAAAGAGGTACGTCATTGAGATATGATCCGTCAGGTGCTGTAGCGAGTCCCATCTGATGTGCTACCAAGATTTGCTTGCTATCTGAACCAAATTCTACTAATTATAAGACGCAAACCACAACTTATGAACTTATGACATACATACCTTAAGGTATACACTATCATCGACAACCCTCAGCTTAATTCAATCCCTCCCTCTTATATACACCTTTGTTTTCATGGATTCTCCAACAACTCGCAGCGGCGCTAGACAGGGTACTCTGGAAGCTACCCAAGAGCATCGCTCGGTGCTCGTGCCACAAAAAATAAATAAATAACAGCAGTAAGCTAGCAGCAGTCGCGGAAAAGATGACGCACTGGCCAGCGTGTTGACCATGGCCTGGGCGCGGTGCCTCATCTCCATGTGACGCAGCCTTGTCTCCCAGATCACGAGGATGACGTTCAGTGCGAGAACACAGATGAGGAACAGAGAGTCGCCAACCAACACGGGTCCCCTGAAAGAAAACGGGATGACACGTAGTAGATTGATTGAGCTTGTTCCTTTATATTTACTTCAAGAAACTTTAACCTTCGAAAATGTCGGAGAAGAGCGAAAAGGAAAATGCTCCATGAAGAAAATTGAGAAAACCCTGCCATCATACAGGTGCGGCCATAACTGACACTGACAGAAAAGCAATGCATTCTGCAGGGCATTCAAGAAGACATATGTCTCCGCATTTCCGCGTAGATTTTTTTCAAGATGAAATTCAAACGAATAATGATGAACTGCACTTATCCCAGGTTCTTTCAAGAAAATATGTTCCAAATTGTGTTTCTTCACGACAGCTGATTAAGTTGGCATACAATAAGTAGATAATTGCAAAAGGAAGATATGTGTGTTGCTGTATGATTGAAAATGATAGCTTCAAGTGCATTTGCCCAGTTTTGTCCAATCTGCGATGGCTGTTGCTACTGTTTGCCAAATCAACATGCTCTCACAAATAAAGTCACATGCACCTACATTCGTGATGCCAAAACAATTTTTCCAGAAAGATTTTTGTCTGTGAGCTCCCCTAGAATTTGTCTCTTGGTAACAAAACCAGCCTGTGTGACCACAACGCACGGCGTTTCCTCTTGGATCAGAACAAACTGGCTAGTTAATGCTCGGCGACAAAAACTTCGAAAAGTGAATAGGCGACGATCTGGCTCGTGCTTTCGAAGCATTCGCAGTCGCACACTGAGAACGAAGACTCACCCTCCGAGCGAGTAAGCCACGACAAACGCCACCACTTCAAAGAGCAGCAGGACCACGCTCGGCCACCGGAAAATCGAGTGCGGGTTGTTGTGGTGGAATGACTCCCCAAGCCACGTCACCTGACACTCCCTTCGCTGGAACGCAATGTAAAGAAAGCAGTCGAGCTAACCAGAGGAAATGTAACTGTTAACTCTACAGCACAGAGCTTACACAACAGACAATGAGACGCAAAACGTACAAGCATTAGTGTTTTTCACATCTCGTTGTCTGTAATGTGAATTTCGTATTATATAGCTGCGTATTATATTTATGAATTACCAACTAGTCTGAGCCAACGCTTCTCCTCAGGATACTTAGCCAGCTGAACTTCATGCAATCAAGCTTGATTCGCCCTGGCGTGTTAAACCACATAAAATGACAAACTTCGAAAGAGCCCATGTGAAATTGTATCAGCTTAAAGAACAAGAGCTTGTTTGTACAAGCCTGTTATCTTTCCTACTCTGCACGACAGTTGTTTTTACCAAGTCTAACCGGTCTAACCAAACAGCCACTTCAGTGATTATAAGCTCCATCAAATGAGTAACAGAGGGGAGTAGTAAAACAGGCAGTTCAACAAGTTTTACATAATGTAAAAGACACTCACAACACCAGCCATTAAACAGGCCATTTTATAAGGCCTACAAATTTTGAGGAAATCGATCCACATTCTAGGCAATTAAGTCATGACTGCCCAATGAGCACAGCCAGATGTACAATGTTACAGTTACAGCTGGCATGTGAAATCGTGAGCTGGTTTTTCGATGCTAAATTCGCGACACCATACATGACACAGGCTTTCTAGACTAAACAGACACGCTGAAGTGAAGACGATGTTATGAGAAGTGTCTAAAATGTAAACAAGTTATGATTACTAATAATTTGCTCATCTGATTGATTGATGTGTGGGGTTTAACATCCCAAAACCACCACATGATTATGAGAGAAGCCATAATGAAGGGCTCCGGAAATTCCGACCACCTGGGGTTCTCTAACGTGCACCCAAATCTGAGCACACGGGCCTACAGCAATTTTCGCCTCGATCGAAAATGCAGCCGCCGCAGCCGGGATTCGATCCCGCTGTCTGCGGGTCAGCAGCCAAGTGCCTCAGCCACTAGACCATCGCGGCGGGGCAATTTGCTCATCTATAAATAGGCTAAGATAGTACATTGCGAAGCTCAAAGCGCTATTCATGGCAAACATTGAACACAGACAAAATACGGTCCTGCGGCATCTCGAGAAGTAGAAAGAATGCTTACTAGAAAGTGTTCAGAAAGATGAGCTCTTTAAGTAACAGAGAGCTGACCTAGTTGGCGTGTATGCATGTTAAAACTAACGTAGATCCCCCTACACGTGCCAGATTCACTGTCATCACCTTTTGTCTGGGCATGTGCAGGTAAGTTTTTGTGTCTACTGTCCTTTCCATCAGTGTGCACCTTTTCAGCTGTTAGTCCGTGATTGTGTTGTCTTGACTTCTCTTTTCTATCTGTGTTTGCGTGCTCAGTCCTTTAGCATGAAATTTGAAGCCCGTGCAGAAATCTGACTACCATCAAAAACATGCCGGATGCAACTAGACATCTCTCTTGATAGCTAGTTCCACACAGCAACTCAACTGCTTGACAATGTCTACTTGTTGTGTGCAGTAATGTACATGTCCAATCAAAGGGGCCAGTCAACCCATTCATGGGCCTACGTTGCATCCACTCTTTTAAATGATCTTGCCAAGCAAATGACAGCATTACTGCCATCCTGGTAGCAGAGGAAGTTTTTAGCAGGCGAGTGTGGTAAAAAGTCTGTTTCGTTTGTACGGCGAAAAATTCACTAGCTGAGGATTAAACGGATGCCCCTTTCCAGCTTAAATGTTAAACCGCAAAAGTCTGCAACGGCTACTTCTGCTTTCAGTGTTGACATCAATCCCAAGTACAGCGGGAAGGCAGCGACCACTTCGTACCGTAACCATGGCAACGAGAGGGGCCAATGCGCATGCGCAATGCCCCTCGATAAGTAACGCGCCCACGTACTTTAAACTGCTCCAGTTCCGTCTTGAGGCTGTGATGCAGGCGCCGCAGGGCTCCGGCGGTTGTCAAACCGGCGGGCTCCATGTTGGCGTAGACGACGCGTCGTCTGGCTGCTGCTTTACCGTGTTTCCCCGTAGTGACTAAGTTTTCTTCACGTTGGAGCCATCGCCAGGATACGGCGAGGCACGGCCTCGCAGTCAAGGCACTGGAGACAAGAAAAAAAAAAGATAACGTCACGGAGTCCCCCGGTCACTATCTTATTCGTTACCTTATCGCCGACCAGCCTGCAAAGACGCACAGTTTTATTCGCTGACTTTAAAAAAGATCGGTGTATCGGTAAATCTTTTCTACATCAACCGGTTCGATAAGCGGGCACACTGTTCACACGTCCACCTCGCTGTACAGGAAAGCTAAACAAAGGCTCGGGAACCGTCGACAGCTCAAAACAAACAACAAGGACAAACAAACGTCGAGCGATGGGACTGGTCCGGCCGGTGTACGCCTCCAAAAGCTGCGGACACAGTGGTGTTCGAACGAGACCTCATAAGTTCAAGACAGTAGTTGGTTGGTACTTCGAGTGCTGTTCAGACTTACTTTCATTTGGAGCGCCACGACAGCGGCGCGAAGCACGCTACATCGATCGGTGCAATGGTGCCGTTAATAGATAAACGACCGTGCGTTGGTCACCAAGGGTAGGTCATGATGCGAGGATAACATACAAATGCACCGCGTATCTTACAGCGGCGGTCGATTGCGCGCTACTACGAGCGTGCTCGATCGAGCACACTTGTCGGATTAACTGAAGCGACGGATGCCACACGAAGAAAGTGAGCACTCGCGAACCACGGAATGACGCAACAATCTTTTAAAGCACACAAAACGACGGACGAACACCGGAGTTCTTGGGTTCACCCTTGGAACAATGAACGCCTATTGGGTCGGTGTGACGTTACGCACACGTAGGGCTTTCTCGAGGAGCTTACCGCACTGGCGGACTCCACTGGGCCCGGAGACGTCAAAGGAAGTGTGCCATTGAGGGGTTCTATTAGTTGCGCGACAAGTGAGTTATGAAAGCTGTCTGCTAGTTTTTATTTCGGGATGCTGGCAGGCGCCATGCTGGTTTGTGTGCCCGACTGTCGCGACATCTACGGTGAAAAACGCAATAAAAACAAAAACAATTTTGTTAATATTGTGCATAACACTAAAAACTCACATATAGTTAATTGTAAATGTTACAAATAAATTTTGTTTTGAACATTTAAATTGGCGAAGTTAGTTACATTTCACAAAAACAATATTACTGTTCTAAAGACGCCATGTAGAGAAGGGCTACGCCATGTTGAGAAGGACTTGTATAAAAGCTGGCTCTTTTGAATCGGTCTACGAGCTAGTGAATAGCATTTAATGTACATTAAACGTCATTTACTCTACTGGAGGAGATTTGCTGCTTGGCTTCCGTAACGGGGAGTGTGCATGTCACCATATGCAAATTATTCCAGCTCTTGTGAGCCAAAGAGCAGCATTTTACATGTTCCCTACTTTAGGTGCACGTAATAATAATAATAATAATAATAATAATAATAATAATAATAATAATAATAATAATAATAATAATAATAATAATAATAATAATAATAATAATAATAATAATAACCGGTGTTTAAACCACAAAACCAAGATATGATTATGAGAGACGCCATAGTGGAGTGCTCCAGAAGTTTTGGCACGCTGAGGTTCTTTTATAATGTGCCTTAAGTATAAGTACAGGAGTCCCTACCATTTCTGCCTTTATAAAAAATGGCGTAAGGATGAGGACATAAGCATGCGCCGGATCCCCTTCAGGAGAACCCTGCGCACAGCCAAAACATCACCCCTCCCCCCTCCCCGTGAGCACGCCTATGGGTGAGAAGAGAAAAGAGGGGAGATATTATGAGAGAGTAGCTGAGATGGTCGGCTTAAATCAATTCTCTGATCTGCTACCCAGCATTAGGTGGGGGATGGAGAAGAGAGGAGGGGGAGGAGGTAAAATATGGCACAACCAGGAAGGACATGGCAACGAGAAGGTAAGTCACCGGTTGAAAATATGAATATCAGAGGTGTAGCCATAACTTTTTTTCGGTGGGGGGGGGGGGGAAGGCACCTGTGTGCGACTCCCTGGCTACGCCCCATGAGGAAGGTGGTCAGACCAAAAGGAGAAGAGATTCCTCCACTGCTATACCACATATGTCAGTGTTATCCTAGCTTTGTACCCCTTAGGATATTATCGATGAAGCTTCCCATGGCTTAGCTCCACTGCAGTGTAGTACATTGGCCTTTACGACGTTAAAGGGCCCCTAAACCAGCCAGTGGTCAAAATTTAGTTGAGGTGAGGAAGTTGTGCTCGAGTTTACAATGAACACGTAGCCGTGAGAATTTTTTGAAACGGTGCACTAATTGCGGAGTTACACGCATTTGATCGAAACGTGACGATCGCTTCTTTCTCACTTTCCTACGCTACCCTCTTCCAAAACTGCTTGGCCCCTCCTCGCTGAGTCAGCAGAGTGCCCCTCCTCATCTCGCGTGGCAAACGTCACCACTGACGCGCTGTTCGAGACAGCGTCTACTTCCGGCTGCCGCGATCCGCCACTCCGACGACCCAGTTGCCAGTTCGCCCTCAACCGTGTTGTGTGTGTCATCTGGGTGCACTAATCGTTGACTAACCGTTGTTGCTGTCGTGCCGGCCCATGCCCCTACAAATCGTGCCGGTATGGACCCTGTGCTGCGTTACGGGCCACAGATGTCGATTCTCAAGCGGCAAACACGACCAAGAACAGCAAGGTGTGCGCGAACAGCTGTTTGCCGAGTGACCGAAAGTCGTCGGTTGTCGTTCGGCCAATCGCAAGCATCAAAAGTGGTAACGTCATCGAGTTTCACTGCTGATGCCATACATATCAGTGGCGGGAATGGCGAAAAAAAGCTATTGTATTTTTTGTGGCGCGCCCGCTACCTGTAGCGCTGCAGCGTGTGGCAACGTTGATCGCGATGGCATTCTGCACGTGATGTGCTTGTTTACTTAAAATGTTTGGGAAAATATTGGAGCGGGTTTAGGGGCCCTTTAAATGGGCCCTGAAACACTTTTATCAAGTAACCATGAAATGAATTCACTGAAAGAGCTTGTTGACTCACGAATTCAAAGCCACAAAAAGTTTAACAATCCGTCAAGTGCGAGTGGAGTCACAAAGGTTTGTCGCATGCTGCAATTGCATTCTATCTTCTCTCGTCCAGACGAAAGCGCGGGAAGCTAAGCAGGTAGAATTGGCAGGGCCACAGACAAACATCACGCGCGTTTCACGATCTTGAGCACTCTTTTTCCTTTTTTTTCTTCATATACGCGGCTTTTTCACTGTGATCACGCGCGCACGCGAGGACAAATGGCGGCCTCTCGTGGCGATCTCTGTAACGAGCGAGCGTGCCATGTTCAAATCAGCCAATGGCTAATAGATGGGACGTTGACGTGTGATTTTTCGAGCATGTAAGGTGATTTGTAGAGAGAAGAGAAAGCAATATTTAGTTGACTTTGACAATTTATTGTGAATTCCAGGCTACGTGCTGTGCTATAATATTTGCCTCGCGTGTTGTTGGGAGCCTTTACCACCGATCGGCAGCGTTTTCTGACCATGCTCAAAAAGTGTTGCAGGACCCCTTTTAAGAAAACTAACAGCCAGTCATTTTTTTTTTTTTGCTGGTGAGATGTTTACTGTTTCACCGTGAGAACATGATGAGAGCCACGATGAGGCCGTAAAGGCCGAGCACCTCGGCGAATATGAGTATGAGCACCATGCCGACGAAGAGGCGCGGCTGCTGGGCGCAGCCGCGCACGCAGGCGTTGCCCACGTCGCCGATGGCGAAGCCGGCTGCCATGCCGCTCACGCCGACACTCACGCCGGCGCCCATGTGCAGGAAGGAAGTGAACAACTTGTAGTGGGTGCCCAGGCCGCTGGACACGAGCACGGCCACCACAAGGCCGTAGATGGCAATGATGCCGGCCATGACCACAGGGATCAGCGACTTCATGATCAGCTGCCATACGAGACAAGAAGTGTGACAGCTTGGGCTAGTTGGTATGGCATGCCGTTAGTTATAGCGCGAGAACAAAACGACGACACAGAGACGTGTCTTTCGTGTCCTTCTTGTCTCTGTGTCGTCGCTTTGTTCTCGCGCTATAACTATCGTCACGAGACAAGAGACCGCATGGCCATCGAATTGCGCGTATGTGCCCAGACCACGCAGGGCTAGGGCACTGGCACCCCGGTTCACAGAGCGAAGCTGTGCGTCCAGGTACCGCGACGCAAGCCCATGTGCTGATGGCGGGCTGTTCTTGCGGGGGAGGATAGGCGGGGCAGTCAAAGAGAATGTGGTCTAGGGTGCCAGGCGACTCTCCACAGAGATTGCAGTCCGGAGAAATGGGCCGGAAGTTACGTTGCGGAAAAATAATTCAGGTGCCTGGTTTGCCGACTTCTTAGACTAGATTTAAGTGTACCAAATGTGCTTTCGTTAAGGGGCTTTGTCTCTTGGCCACAGTCTGGAAGGCTGCCGATGCGTTCGAGGAGTTTATTATATATTCGAAGAGACTTGGACAGTAGAGCCAACTGATACTCCTATGTTCTAAATTCTAAATTTTTCCTAAATTACCAAAATCAGGGTTACTATCTGTTTTTACTTATCCATCGGAAGTATTTGCAATTTTATTACATTATTTCCTTCATATTTAACTAGACGACATTTAGTTTAATATTTCGGAATTTCTTTTGGGAGCTACCCAGTTCTTGGCCAACCCCCAGCGTAGATGTGTGTCACTGTTCTATTCTACTCAACTATGAAGCCGCGCCCGCGGGTGAGATCGAGAGAGAAATGGATGAAAGAAATTGGCAAAGAAAAAGTCGCAGTATCACCGCTAGCGCAAAAAAAAAAAAAGCGAGAGCAACAAACTGAAATTTCACACGAATTAGGACTAGTAGAACCCCATTCAGCATCCGACCCTGCGTAACTACACAAAACGCTCGCGTAAGGTAACTTCGAAGAAAGCGACCATCGTGCTGGTGGTGCACGGCACTACAAAGTACGTGGGAGATGCCAGTCAATTCCTGTCAGGATAGCGAGGCACGCGCCTGGTTAACCGTGCGGCTTTCGTATATTTGCATACCCAGTTCAGTTTCTCGATCAAAGGCCACGACGATTGCATCCCGTACTCCATACGTTCGGGGTTCTCACCTCGGGCTTCATCACCGACGCGGCGGCGATGCTGGCACCCGCCTTGGCCGTGCCGTACGAGGCGCCCAGGGCGCACAGAGACATGGCGGCCACAGCACCCATGATGCCGAAGAAGGGCGCGTACAGGGGTTCGTGTTGCTCCTCCTCGCCAGACAGGACCACCTGCAGGGCGGTCACCACGCGCTCCGGGACGTTGGCGGCCATGTCGACTGCTTGTAGGTGACTTCGCGAGGCCTATCACGGGGAACGGGCAGCAACTTCGTCGCACGATACCTGCGGGTCGCAGCGGGAGCGCAGGAGAGAGGCGTTGTTCTTGGACGCTGAACGTGTGGCTCATACTAACTAAGAGGATATCGGATTATATGACTACAGATGTTTTAGGTTACAGGGCCCGAGTTTGAAAGGCGAGGCTAAGGGTTTAAAGGCGGAAACGGAAGAGAGGTTATAGGTGTAGAGAGGGGAAACCATAAGCAGTCTGTTACCAAAGCGCGCGAGACAGAAAGAGGAAGCATAGGCACACCGTCACATCTATCTATCTATCTATCTATCTATCTATCTATCTATCTATCTATCTATCTATCTATCTATCTATCTATCTATCTATCTATCTATCTATCTATCTATCTATCTATCTATCTATCTATCTATCTATCTATCTATCTATCTATCTATCTATCTATCTATCTATCTATCTATCTATCTATCTATCTATCTATCTATCTATCTATCTATCTATCTATCTATCTATCTATCTATCTATCTATCTATCTATCTATCTGTCTATCTATCTATCTATCTATCTATCTATCTATCTGTCTATCTATCTATCCATCTATCTATCTATCTATCTATCTGTCTATCTGTCTGTCTGTCTGTCTGTCTGTCTGTCTGTCTGTCTGTCTGTCTGTCTGTCTGTCTGTCTATCTATCTATCTATCTATCTATCGATCTATCTATCTATCTATCTATCTATCTATCTATCTATCTATCTATCTATCTATCTATCTATCTATCTATCTATCTATCTATCTATCTATCTATCTATCTATCTATCTATCTATCTATCTACTGACGCCACTGAAACAGCTATGGTGGAGTACCAGTATAGTAAGACGCGAAGTTTTAGATGTCACGGTAATGTTAGCAAAACATCGCACACAAACTTTATCGTTAATCAGACACAGAGGCCAATCACATTCCCGAAGTCTCATCATTAGGTTGAAGCAGGTTAACAGCCGCGTCATTATGCTACCCCGACGTCATAAAAGCCATCATGTTGGTACCATGTAGATCCGGAACTTGCGTGCTTGACGTCACGTGCATACGATCCCCTCCTTCCATCTACGCAACCTACGCATTACATCGAAGCCATGGTACAGAACATAAATACCAATGCCTTATGCAGTGTCACGGCCATAAGTGAACTTACCACCGTTGAGGCGCCGACCGTGTTCTTCGAATACGGGGTGGGTGCGCGGAAGCGTGAATCAGACGAAGCCTTTCGCGAAAATGTCGTTTCAGGCGCGTTCTCACACGACTATCATAACAGCGCGGGATGCAGCACCACCACGACGGCGCAAAATATATGCAGGCGGAAAAGCCTTCGTCTCGTTTCGTTGCGACAAAATAGACCTTCCTCTTCTTCTTTCTTGAAGAGCTTAAATAAGACTCGAATGTATCAGATAACTTTGCACGTGGTTCGCAAGCTCACGTGAACTGGTGGACTCAGGCTTTATTTTAGGGGCGAAGTTCCTAAAGGCGCGGGTCTGTCCATTCTTGTATGTATGTAGTAGTACGTAGCCACCGGTGGCACATACCCGCTCTAGAGCGGGTATGTGCCAAAGGGGATGCGAGATGGGAGATGGCGGTACTTGGAGTGTTCACTAGATGTACGGACGGACGGACAGACAGACTAGCAGGCGGACGTATGAACGGGTGGGCGCACGAACAGGTAGACAGATGGATGGACGGACTCACGGACGGACGCATGGGCAGACGGACGGACGCAAGGATGGACGCACGGATGGTCGCGCGGACGGACGGAAGCACGGACTTGTAGTTGATGATGCTGACACGACCAATAATTGGCTTATCCAACATGTGGCTTCTAGGCATGCCCTCAGATGTATATCGTGTAACCATGTGAAACCAACAATGATCCGAGGCACATGCATTGACCTAGTGTTTGCAAATTTTGCACTGCATCCTATACGAGAACCGCTCACTCTTTATTTCACGGACCATAAAGCCGTCATAATGAAGGGACATCGCAAGCCATCCATCGTCTCTAAGAACCAATAAAAGTTGATGATTTGTATAAACAAACACAGTGTTTTTCATGTCTTTAGACGATGATCGGTAGGCGAACTAAATACGGAAGATTCACGATTTACCGATGATTCCCTCCGGAGCTTCGCCCACTCGTCATCATTCACCCCGTGGATATGCAGTGATTTTTTCTTCAGGGAGGGGTCTTCTGACAGTGGTGTGCACTATATCTAAAATTAATGCTATACTGCAACCACCACCACCAACTGTTCGTGCTGTTACTCCTCCCACTACTACTATTAGTGCTACTACTACTACTACTACTGCTGCCACCACTACTACTGCTGCCACTACTACTACTACTACTACTGCTACTACTACTACTACTACTACTACTACTACTACTACTACTACTACTACTACTACTACTACCACCACCACCACCACCACCACTATTACTACTACTACTACTACTACTACTGACGTAGTTAAAGGACACTAAAGAGAAAAAAAAACAGTTTTAGAACAGCGCTACGCTTCGCATTTGCGTTGCGCATGCGTCGCGCGCCTACCTCTTGCGGGCTTTTATTGAGTGACGAACGCTAACGCTACGCCCGTAACACCCGCAAGCTTTGTTGTGTACGGTGTTCAATTACCCGACGACTTGAAATTTAGATGGATAAACTGCACTCTGATAACTGTTGTACCTCAAGTTATGACTATCACGAGTTCATTATTCGCGGACAAAGTCGAGGTTGATATTTCAATTTTATATTATGCGCCGAAATCTCCGCGTGTTACGTGAAAATTTTCAAAATGTATTTTTCATATTTTCGACACATTGGTCCAACGAAATTTTGTGAAACATTGTGTTAGGGCTATGGCACCCACAGATGACAACGTACTTCATTATTGTCGATTAGGCCTGTTCAGTTATATAGGATTAGGCATGTTGCGGTCTGCTTTGATCGAATGTCCGTGATAGTGATATTCACATACGCAAAATATGTTGCGAATCGTCTCCTGCACTGCACAGCCATGCAGCCGCCCAGCTCTTCCTTTTCTCGCACGCCTGTTGTGCACGATCAACTGATTTCACTTGATTTTTGTGAGTTTTCAACTGCGCAAGCAGACAACGTGTAGCAGACACGCGTGAAATATTGATAGATTCAACCCTTAGTGCTAGCATGGTACATGTGCTCTTAAAAAATAAGGGGCAAGGAAGAGATATGACCTGTATAGGCGACAAAGAAACCATCCCCTCGTTGTTGAGATAGGGGGGGGGGAGGGGCGGTGGTTGAGATGTCCTATAAGCGGCTAACACAGTACAGCGAATTGAAGAAAACTAAACCACTAAGCGAAAGATTCGAAGAATTGGTGTCCTCCGAAAATTTCTCAAAGGTAAATGTGGTTTATTGCTTAACACAGAATGAACAAGAAAACAAAGGTGCACACTTTTCAACATAGTCCCAGTCCCAAACACTTCCCCCTTAGAAAGAAAAAAAACAAAGAAAAAGAAACCCTGGAAAATGGTAACAAGGGCCAGTATAGGCCATGCGGACATCATTGGTGAGTCTGCAGCGGTCAGTGACCAAGCTCTCCACGGTGTTGCAATCGATGTCCAGAAGTCTCACCGAGGCCTCGTAGCTTTCCTAGTTTCGCCCGTTGTACGCCTGCACCGAGCTTTCCTTCTTTTTTTCAAGGCGGAGGCACCACGGAACAGTAAGCACTCTCCCATCTGCAGAGACGACTCACGGTCCCGATCACACTCTCCATCACTTTGGACAGATCCGCTGTCGGCTAGCAGTCCAATCACAACTAACATCAGCAGGCGAAAGAGAAAAAAAAGAACGGTGGTCTGTGTCATACTTTTGAGGGTCGTACTTCCAAACAGCCGCCCGTCGCCAAGTCCCTTGGACGTTCACAGACACGCATTGACCAGCCGTCCTTCCGGCTCTCCTGCTGACGACGAGGCAGGTCCTTCGGATCTCGACGGGTTGCACTAACGCGAGTACATGATGAGCGCCACAATGAGCCCGTACAGACCAAGCACTTCAGCGAAGATCAGGATCAGGATCATGCCGACGAAGAGTCGAGGCTGCTGGGCCGTGCCGCGCACGCCGGCGTCCCCGACTATGCCGATGGCGAAGCCCGCGGCCAGGCCGCTCAGCCCAACGCTGAGGCCGGCGCCCAGGTGCAGGAAGGACTGGTACAGCCTGCACCGACAGTTGAAAAGTGCGGATCACGGCTCAATGCCCTCCATTCGTCCGAAAGAGATGCTCCCAGAAGATTACGCCCAACTTCAACCGACTAAAAGGGGCATTGCGACAATTTTCCGAGTAATAATCGATGGTTACATTAAATGAGTTGTTGGCTCCCGAGTCCAAATATCACCAAAATGTTCAGAATCATTATGATGATTGACGACATACGGGGCTTTATGGGCTAAGTGCCAGTGATGGCCAAAGAGTGCCGGGTCATGATTTGGGATGTGGTTAGTGATGGTGCTTGGTGGCTGTATAAGGGCCTAAAATCATGCGCACTGAAGGTGCGTAAGAGAGTAGAATTGTTAAAATAATGAGGGGCATCAACATATACACAGTGTGCTGAAAAGTTGAAATCGTACACAGTCCTACTACCTCTGAAGGAAACTTTCGCGCAGAAGAATAGTGCATAAACACAATGTCGTAGCGCCATTTTCTTGAAAAGGATGCGCTACGAATTTAAAGTCCAGATGATGTTCACTGTGCGGGACTCTGAGAAAGTTTAAAACAAAGTGATGATCGACGCATGCATGGTTGCCTAGAATTATTAAAGTACAAGCAGAGTTACAGTTACTTGTCGCATGCTTCAAGTGCATCCTCTCTCCTTTGATGCTAGCGAGCCCGCAGAAAGCTACGCAGTGTCGACAAAGGGGCATGTAGATTAGTCCTTTCGTCAGTCCGCTTCACGACCTTCAACACGTTTTCTTTCTTTTTCCTTTTTTTCTTTGAATGCACTGTTCACTTTTAGTGTGATTGCGAGGCCGTGCATCGGCACATGGCGCCATCTAGCGGCGGATACGGTAACTATGCAGTTTACAGTGCTCAAATCAACCAACGGCATCATAGTTTGTGGCATCATTTGCCGAGAGAAGAGGGAATTATCTCTATAGCTACCTTTGTGAATTAATCGTAGATTGAAGGCGGCGTGCTGCGTTATAACGACATTAATAAAACTTGTTGTTGGGCTAGTTGGTTATACATCATATACTTAGAAATTTGGCGCAACCTCGACTCACGCAAACACTCACACAAGCACACACACTTACACCAGAGCAACACACACGACACGCAGCGCTCACTACCAACTGTTTATTGCTCCTATCTGACCTTCTTAAATACGTACATCGAAATGCGCAAAGGCACAAACTAACAGAACTGCGCCAGTAGAAAACCAACATGGCGTCACCACACCACAAGGAACATAAAAAAAGTAAAAAAAAAAAAAGGTAAAAAAAGTAAAAAAAGGAGTTAACACAAAAAGGAGATATAATCGCTAAACCCTCGCATCAAGGAAAGATATTTCTTGTTGATGCAACACCAAAGATGGCTCGCTGACACATATATCTTTATTCTTTTCTATATAATATGCTTCTAACAGCAAACGTGCTGATAAATTTGAGCTTCTCCCAAGAATCCTTGTATCAGAAAATCGTGGTTCACACCCACATGCGGCAATATGCGACACAAGATGTGCGTACTTGTCCTCGTTTTTCTTAACCTTTAGCGCATGCTCCCTAAGCCGGTCATTGAGGCATCGCTCGGTAATGCCAATGTACACGTTACCGCAGGAAAAAGGAATGGAGTATACAACTCCCATGGAACATTTTACGAAGGCATTCTCATGTTTTTTCACGCAACCGCGTCTCTTGCCATTGCAAATACGCGGACATAACTTGGCGAGCTTTTCTGGCGCAGAAAAGACCACAGCCACACCATGCCTTGCAGCAACCTTCTTAATATTATGGGAGAGCTTGTGCACGTAAGGCACGACTTGAAGCTTGGAACCCGAAGGATCCCAAGTAGCTCTATCCCTTTGTGTTCCACGTTTCATCTTCTGTAGTAGTGACTCGGTGACCGCGTTTAGGACCGACGAAGGGAAGCCCGCCGCCGTCAATCGGCTGATCTGTTCATAAAAACCATGGGAGTTGTATACTCCATTCCTTTTTCCTGCGGTAACGTGTTCCATGGGAGTTGTATACTCCATTCCTTTTTCCTGCGGTAACGTGTACATTGGCATTACCGAGCGATGCCTCAATGACCGGCTTAGGGAGCATGCGCTAAAGGTTAAGAAAAACGAGGACAAGTACGCACATCTTGTGTCGCATATTGCCGCATGTGGGTGTGAACCACGATTTTCTGATACAAGGATTCTTGGGAGAAGCTCAAATTTATCAGCACGTTTGCTGTTAGAAGCATATTATATAGAAAAGAATAAAGATATATGTGTCAGCGAGCCATCTTTGGTGTTGCATCAACAAGAAATATCTTTCCTTGATGCGAGGGTTTAGCGATTATATCTCCTTTTTGTGTTAACTCCTTTTTTTACTTTTTTTACCTTTTTTTTTTTTTTACTTTTTTTATGTTCCTTGTGGTGTGGTGACGCCATGTTGGTTTTCTACTGGCGCAGTTCTGTTAGTTTGTGCCTTTGCGCATTTCGATGTACGTATTTAAGAAGGTCAGATAGGAGCAATAAACAGTTGGTAGTGAGCGCTGCGTGTCGTGTGTGTTGCTCTGGTGTAAGTGTGTGTGCTTGTGTGAGTGTTTGCGTGAGTCGAGGTTGCGCCAAATTTCTAAGTATATGTTATAACGACATGTTCTCAAGAGTCCCAACAATGGCGATCAGCAGCGTTTTCTAAATAAGCTCACGATCGAGAAGAGCGCCGATGTTTTTTGAAAACAAAGGATAAAATAATGCAAGTGACCAACGCACCTTCGAGGACCTAATTTTGTCTACACCTGAATTCATGTGCATTTGCGGGCCTGTCGACCATCTGCCTCTACGGACAAAGACAGCGGATACTTTGCGAAGAAAAAAAATGCACACGTGCTATGTACCTGTACGAAGAGCTCAGTGCACTAGAGATGAGCACCGCCACCACAAGTCCGTAGATGGCGATGATACCGGCCATGACGACCGGGATGATGGACTTCATGATGAGCTCGGGACGCATCACCGACATGGCGGCGATGCCCGCGCCGGACTTGGCGGTGCCGTAGGCGGCGCCCAGCGCGCTGAACGATATCGCCGCCACGGCGCCCATGACGCCGAAGAAGGGCGCGTACGGCGGCTCCTTGTCCTCCATGATTACGTGAGGCCGGCGCTTCTCAGTCGCCCCGCTGTGGCTGCCGCTTCAGTTCTTGCATCAGGGTGTCATCCGACTCGACGATCACCTGGACCTCACGACAGCAGACGACGATCTCACCGTTTCGATATGGGTTCCGCCGCCGCGACCTCCGTGTTCTTGCGTCTTCCTTTTCGTCTTTCCTCTGCTACGCGCATGCTCTTCATAGGGGGATTATGCCGCCTCTGCCCGTTAGGGTGTGCCCATGTTTGTTGTTCTCTAGAGTGTATTGTATAGTTCGTCCTTGGTTAAAACGACGATGATGATGCTATGTAAATAGTCGGCATAAGCGATTACGGCGAGGGACGTTTGGCTATGGTTTTTGTTAGTAAAAACAAACAACATCCCTTATGCAATTACTTAAGTCAGCTCGAAAACGAAAGTCATCTTCTTCTTTACTTAGTAAAAAAAGTATGAAACGACCATGGTATAGGTATTGATCCTCCATTGATTGCCCTGCCGATTGGAGAAGACTCAGGTCTCCCTTGTCGGTACGTCCAGGCCTTGCCTAGTCGGCGCTTAGCCGATCAGCTGGATGGCCCAGATTTGACCGATGAGCTCTGAGATATGCAGGGCATCGATAAACTGTCGCCAAAAGAACATTGGAGTTAGAGGTACACTCTGAGTCAAGTAGTTGCTTCACATTCACAGAACATACATGTAACATGTGTTAGGGCGTAGCAGGTTTCGTTAAGTGGCACTATGTGGCTGCCGCCAGGCGTATTACATGATTGTTCATGAGATTTCACGCATGTTCAACTGGGATGTCACTCACTGGTACCATGTACTCCCATTGATTTAATTCCTGGCTAATATCGCTTATTCAATGAGCGCCGGGAAAAATTATCATCATGAACACTGTGTGTGAACGCTGCAAGCGTTCACACACATTGTGAATATGTCGCAAAGTGGTAGATTAAGCGAAGATCTCAAGAAACGTCCTGCAAAGAGAGGTAAAACGGAAATTAGTTGCTCGCTTCTAATTCGCTATACTTTCACAAAAAGTAAGCTTCGTTACCGTCTTTGCTACATTTTCTTTTTCTTTTTTTGCAAATCATTTTGCATTCCTGTTGTCGCGGGATGGCAAGTTGAAGAAATTGAAGTCCGGGCCGTCGCTCGTGGTGCGCGTGACGCGTCAGATTCTTCCAGGCGTGTCCACCGCCGGCATCTTCGAGGTCTTCAAAGCTCCGGTAAGTCGCTCTCTGTCCTTCGGTCCAACTGTATATCCTACAACTTGACGGCTTATTCTTGTTAGGTGTCGTTCGTCTCAACCGCTGAAAAGTTCGAGCTTCCATCCGCTTCGAAACTCTATATATCTGGCAGGTGACACCATGCCGCCACGGTAGTTCTAGAAAAAACTTGGCAGCGTGTTACTGATCTCTGTAGCAGATGAAGGCGAATTCCTGGTTTACACTTAGTAAATGTTTTAAGTGGTACAAGTGGGGACTAGAAGACATATGGAGTCGCAGTGATAAGTATTGTATCGTCGTCGGACGAGACGCACGGGAAACGCGAGGCCGGCCGGGAAGGAGGAGAAAGTGAGACGCCCTCTGTGGGGGCCAGAGAACCGGTCCCGAAACCGTAACCCAGACGCCACAAGAAGAGAGAGATGGAGAGAGAGATACTTTTTGTCACAAAGATGCTCGCTGGGCTTATACACCACTGGCATGCTACTCTGTATAGGGGTGGAGAAGGGCATTGCAGCATGGCTGAATAGAGGGAAGACAAGAATAAAACAAAATGATATATGAAATGCGCATGTGAACGAGGCACGCAATAAATTACCTTGGCGATCTTTGTCTATTGCATTGCGACTCCCCACCTGAAACTCTCTGCATTTTTCATGGTGTTAACGTAATAATTATTGTTGGGCTTTCGCACCCCGGAAACCCCGATATGACATACGCCATAGTGGAAGGCCCCGGAAATTTCGATCATCCGGCGTTCCTTAACGTGCAACTAAGTGCGTGGATATCCTTCGAAATGCGGCCGCCACGGCCGGTATTCGATCCCGCGACCTTTCAGATGAGCACCATAACCATTACAGCACCATAGCTGGTTGACGTAGTGTTATTGTCGTGTGTCTGTCATCAGATGACGTCATGGCATAACGCAAATGGACGACACAAATTTCGAACGTTTGTGACGCCAGTTATATATACCGTTGTGTTACATTAGGGTAATGCAACTTTTGGTAGCGTTCTTGTTGACGCCGTCTCCCGCGGCCACTTTTTCGTCGAACGGGACATACAAGGCGCTAGGCCTAAACTATACGGCCAAAGGAGGCTAGCTGGAAGGTACGGGAAGAGGACTTGATGCTTTGTACCGAACGTAAGGCACTCATACCGGTGCTCTAACACGGTCGCTATGATGTATCGTATATAATAAACGGCGCGGAAAAATGATTACGTGTGTTAGGCTACGGCAGGGTCACCACACATTTTAATGTCATCGAAGCGTAGTTGGAACGCCGCCAGCGTGCGTTCCCGACATCGTTGGCTCTCCAATATGATGGCTAGGACGAGGTTAGTGCAAGCCACTTTCGATGTCATGTAACCACAGCGTTAGTAACGTTTCAGAATTAGTGATTTCTTTGAAGGATACAAAGGCCCCACCAAGATACGCAGTCCTTTCACTCCGCATTTTTCTATTTTGTTTTCTTTACAGCTCCCGCAAAGGAAAACGACCCGCTTCCGAAGACGCCATTGCAGTCATGAAGCAAGTTCCGAGGTAGGGCTCTTAACAATGCGTGCGAACTTCTCAAGCGTTCACACACATTGTAGACGCCGCAAACGCCGCTAAGTGTGAACGCCGCAAAGCGTTTACTTAAGCGAAGAGCTCAACATATTTCCTGCAAATAGAGGCAAAAGACTGGCGGCGAACAAGATGACCGATACAGCGGCAAGTTAGATCGGGTTAACAATAACGCTTAGACGAGACTTATTTCTGGGGCTCGACGTCCAACGACCGCGAGAAGATTACGAGAGACGCCGCATAATGGAGGGAACCGGAATTTAGACTGTCTGGGATTCGCTAACGCTCGCCCAAATATAAGTTCACGGGCCTCCGTCATTTCGCCTCCATCAAAACGCGGTCGCCACGGCCGGGATTCAATCCCACGACCTTCGGGAGCGATCGAGCGGCCCATCCACTCGATGAACGCAGTGGGCGTCAGTTATATCTACAAACACTTCGTATATGTGTTGTATTTGTAGTCTTTTGTGCTGTAGTCTTTTGAAGCGAAAAAAGCCCGTCGTGCGTAATGAAAGTAGTGCGGTCACGGCTTTCAGGATATATAGTTCGAATCGATGGTAAGCAGACGCCAAATCCACCTTCGAGAATCGCTTGGCGCCAGCTAAGCTGTGCAACAGCTCATCTGTCTGTGGTAGTGGAAAGCTGTCGACAAATATAGCTTTATTAGGCTTTCTCAGATCAACACACATTCGTATTGGGCGAATCCTTTTTACGAACAACCGCAATAGGAGAAACCCATCGAGAGGCACCAACGCGCTCGATTATGTCTTGAGCTTCAAGTTTCTCCAGCTCAGCCGAAACCTGCTCACGTAGGGTAAACGGCAGCCGTCGTAATTTGCTTGCAACGGGTGGAATGGACTGGCGAAACTTGACTTTGTGTTTGAATCATTTGGGCAAGTCCGAACTGTTGGTCAGAGCGATGTTCATACTCGAAACGTAACTCAGTTGGCAATGTAGGAGTTCTGGTGGACAATGCAAGACACTCAAGGGATTAACCTTCAATGTTCTGTAGTGCCACAATCGCGTCTAAGCCCAATACAGTGGTACCTTAATAGTTCTGTCTTGGAACACAGCTGAAGCGACAAAACATCCTCGAACTGACATCTTTGACTTGGAGTAGTCGAAAAGCTGCACTGAGGTCGACTTAAAAGGGCAAGTGATCGCATAAAACTGACGATAGAGTTCTTCAGCCAAAATAGTGACAGAAGATCCCGTATCAACTATACACAAGATCCTCTGACCCCCCACTGTGATGGATGCGTAAATGCCATGCTTGTGTTCCTTGACAACACAAACTGTTTCGCCGCTACACTCAGAGCTAGTGTCGTCATCGTCATCAACTTGTCGAACTTTCGCAGAGTATGCAGACGACCTGCACATAACGTCTAAGTGCCCAATCTTCTCGCAGAGACGACATCTGCGCCAGCGAGCCTTGTATGCAGGATTATTTGCAAGATGATCAGCCGCCCCACAACGATAACAAGCTCGAAAGTTTGCGGTGCCTTGTACAGGTTACCCCATTGGTTTGGCTTTGCACTTAGCACAACATGTACATTAATTTCTTCGTTATGGAGGCAGAGAAGAGCTTTGAGCTTTTTTAACGTGGCGAACTGAAGCGTCGTCGCAAAACTCTTTAGCTTGGCTCACGGCTTGTTCGTACTGGTTAGCGAGAGTAATAGCTCGTGAGAGCGTCAGTGAGGAGCCTTCAAAAAGTAAACGCTCACGTAACTGATGATTCGTAGCCTTCGAGACGAGCTGGTCACGTAACATCTCATCAGCGAGACTTCCAAAAACGCAGTCAGCGATGATGAATTCGCAAAGCAGGGACGTATTCCTCCACTGTCTCACCTGCCTGCTGAGCACGGCGACTGAACCGTTGTCGAGCCACGATGACGTTGACTGAACGGTTGAAATGGTCCGAAAGCAAGGCAAATGCACAGTCATACGCATCGTTTGTCGAGCTGGTGTCGCCTGTGCCCGAAGAGCGGCGGTAGAAGAGCCAGACTGCAAGTCCACCGGCTTCCATGTGAAGAAGATCCCTGCCCCTCCATGCCAAGGCAGGGGAGCAGGATCGCTTTCCGGCGGTCGGCTGGACGATCTGACGCTCCAGAAGCCACCATGTACGTCTGAATGGCCTGCTTTCACTGGTCCCATGGGACAGCCGGATGACCAGGCGAAGACAGGAAAGGCGGTGGAATCCCGGAACG